GGTAATACGATTATGCAGTGCACTGTACACTTCGTGTTGCTTTTATGCTAAGTATTTCCTTTTTTGGAGTGGTGCAGCCAATACAAGACGCAGATTATACACCGTACACGAATGTCGTCTCAACACTCGTAGTCGTCCGGCTCGATCCAATTCTCTTTAGAGGCAATCTTCGGTCCTGCCCACGTGCCACGTCGCTTCCCAACACCCCAACCCTCCACAGTTGGTGTGATCTCTCACCACCACGAAGCTGTGAGACACTGCGATTCGGGCAGTATCTCGATGATCTGCAGTTTCCTTGTCCGTGTATGGTCAGCGCCATCTCTTTTGGTAGTCCAGATACAGATGGGTAATTATACATCAAATTATGTACGATGCAAGGTGTCCAAAGACATCTTGGCAGAATGAGGTGAAGAAGTATATAAACATCTTCATCACATCCTTTGTAACCTCACCACCACACCTCATCCACTAATACACCCAACTCTTCTACCATCTCTAAACACAAACATGCATTCCACCCTCGCCATCGTCCTCATAGGCTTCTCCGCCCTCACCACCGCCGTAGAAGCCCCCAAAGGCCACGCCTGCCAAATCATATATGACTACTGCAACGTCGAGCCTGGCACCCATCACCGAGGCACCTGCTGGTGGAACTGCGGCCCCAAGGGGAAGAGGGACGGCTATAACGGTGCTTGCATGGTGTATGTTCTTCCCTCTGTGTACGTTTTTACTGAGAGAGACACCTGGCTAATTGAACGTTTTTTGCGTCTTGTAGTAACGGCAAGAAGGAGCAAGAAGGTGGTGCTCCGCCTAACTACTGCAGCTGGGATCCGGCGATTCATTTCTAGGAGGCTGGCTTTGTTCCGTGCGTATGCGAGAGGAGGGAGGGGAAGTGACAGTGGCTTTTGGGGAGGGGGGAAGGATGCTTGTTTTCAATAATCAAGTGTAGGACGTGGAGGACAGGGTTAATGAATGAGAGGGAGGTGAGGGAACATAATGTCTAGGAAGAGAAATAAAGAGACTTAGCTTCTGCCATCTCCAGCTGCATCTCTTGTGCTGTGATATAGTTATGCGAGTATGAAGTGACATGGCGAGGTAAAAGAGACTCAGGGGAATCAATGACTGCATTATATAAGATACATTCTTACTCTACATACTTAGCCATTTTGAAGAGATGCAGTTGCATAATTGCAACTCCATCTCCTCAAAAGGGTTAAGCAGGGTAGAAAAAGACGAGAAGCGCAATTGCCCGGATCGAATAACGTTAGTACCAGCAGACGTCAGACAGCAATCCTCAATCCTCAACCCTATAACCCTCGATCCACCAACATCCCCCCTACCACTCCCCCCATTACCTCCCATCACTCACCTCCCTCCTTCCTTACCTCCCGTTCAGCTCTCCTCTCAGCTCTCCGCTCAGCCCTCTTCTTCTCCCTAACCTCCTGCTCCTTCCTCCGCGTCAACACGATAAGCGCATACCACGCGAACCAGCCTATGCCCGCAAACAGAAAAGCTACTGCTGCTATGATGCCGATGAGTGCGGGCGTGGAGATCAATGTCCCTGCTTCCGCTGATATGAGTAGTGTTGAGGTAGGGGTGGGGGTGTTTGGGGGGGAGGCTGTGAGTGTTGGGGGGGAGACAAGGGCGAGGGCTAGGGCTAGGGAGGTGGGGAAAAGGAAGGGTTGTGTGAATGGGCTGGCTGGGACTGGAACTTCTGGTGATGCAGAGTTATGGGGTGTTGGTGTTGGTGATACAGTTGGGATATGGCGCTAGGGATGGGCGAGTAGAATGGCGGCATGATTGTTCAGTGTTGAGGAATTCGTGGAATCCTGTGGGTGCGCCGGCAATATATCGTTCCTGGTTTGAAGTGTACCTAGGAAGTGTTCGAGTGATATTTCATGTGAAGAATTTGTACGTGTTGGCAACACATCACCATGGCGAGAGTACAAGACAGTTGTGAGACAAAGAAGTGCAAGAAACATAAGACATTGTGAGGGCATTAGAGAAATTGATTTATCGCGCGCGACAACAAGTAGCGACCTGCATTACCAGTAGAGCTGCAATCCTATCGAGCAACGTTCCTGCCAACTCCATCAGATTACAAGACAAAGACCCAACAATAGTTACAACTAACCGGAAACAATGAATGAAATGTTCTCACACGTGAAGTCGTGTTTCACGCGCTTGTATCCGAGATAAGGCTCATTCATCTCCTTCCAGCAGGTACTTCGTTTGTGAGGAAATGGTTGATGTGCGTCTCCATGAGTTTCTCCTCCGCGATCCGCTCCTGTTCACGTTCTGCGCGCAACTTCTTGTTCTGAGCGCGCTTAACCGTGTTTTGGTATATGAACCAGCAGAAGAATGAAACCATGGAGGGTCCGAAGATGCAAATCGCGATGAATAGAGGTAGAGGAATGGGACCGATTTTGCGATCCTCAGCGTTTTGTGGTTCGGCGTTCTGGCGTGGGAGATACATGGTGATGAGGTGAGATTGCGATATATCGAGTTGAATGTTTGAATTGAGAAGCGTAGCGTAGCGAGCGTGTGTAGCGGTAGAGATGTTCGAATGAGGTTTATTCGAACGAGCTATTGCAGAACAAAGATAAACACATACAAAGGAGTGGCGTGGGTGAGGGAAAAGCAAAAAAGGACTCTGGCTGACATTGTGGGAAAAGCGCTCCAAATGGGGTGAGCAACAACGTATATTGTGATACACGAAACCGAGAATCATGGACCATGCGTTAAAAGCGGCGGATTACCATAGCCCTGGGGGTGGAATATCACCGTCTCTATCGCGCTTTGGGCATCGTGCTGATTTTGTGGGGCGCCCCAGAAATTACAAACACGAATGTTATCTTGCTACTTACCTGCGCTCGAATCCAGTCTACTCCGGATCCAATGCGCGTCTCATTTTGCTCAGAATAAAGGATGGTAATCACAAAATACTGTCGTTTAGTAACTAAGATGCCCAGCCAGATCGTCGCCCTGTCGGTGAGTTCAGCGGCGACACCTTGGAGTAATCAGTTGGGCCACGATGCCGAGCCTCCTCCTCGGTCAGCGGCGAAACAGGCGAGATATGCTGCGTATCATGCCGTTGCTTACCGACAGGGTGAGCTGCAGGAACCGGCTTGCGAGGTGGTACATGCTTTGGCAACCGCACACGAGAGGATGGACCGGTACTACTACCGCCGTACGTTCGGCTGACCTGAAATCCGTCAGCATCAAATGGACGGTCCCAGCCCTGTGCTTGTGCAAGATCAGACTGGCGAATATCAAGTGTTGATGCTTTGCCTGCGCCACGAGCGGTATCGCGAGCCTCGTGTTGGACACCCTTGCTGTCCTGCCAATTCATCGCATTAGCTACAGCAATTGGATTCACGCCGTAATTATGAGACATCGGAACGGAACGGGAAACCCCTTGGCGTTCGCGAGAGCGGGTGGAAGGCAACTGACCCAGCTCCACGTCGGAAGACTTTGCCTTTGAGCGCTTGCAGTACTTATACAGCAAGAAGATCAACATGATGCCACCCACAACTGCAACAGTTCCACCAATCATCGGACCCAGATTTGATGAACCGCTGGCTGTATCCTCCTGGTTGGGCGCTGTAGTTGAAAGGGGAAAATTGTCGGTGATAGCGGTCGTGGCTAAAGGCTGAGACATTGAGAAGGATGTTCCACGCTCGTACTCAGTCGTCGAAGCACCAACTGGTGGTGACTTCACGCCTACAGTCACGGTAGGGGTTACTATAACTGTATGAGTGACCTGCACATGTGTAGTACGCTGTAAGCCTGTGGATGTTGGGGAAGCAGTGGAAGATGACGAGCTATTACTACCCGATGTGGCAGAAACTGCCGCAGAGAGCGAAGACAACGGAGCATCGGTGGCTGAAGCGGTCGGTGTCATCGCCGGCGATAAGATCAAGACCGAGGAAGATGAAGGCGTGGCGTGTGATGGGGAAGATCCGGCACGAGAAGGCCATGTAAATCCCGTCATACCGCCGCTTTGAGACATGGTTGATGTTGCCATTGTTGGATCGGTAATCTATGATGCTGATAGGTTGGAGAGAATATTATTGGGTTTGTTTTGTAGTCTCAGTCCGTGCTGTTAAGAATGCGCTGTGTGGAAGCCCTTCAGTCCCATTGTGGCTACATGGAACGCTGTGCATTCACGATGTTATGATTAGCATGCGCGCTTCTTACAATACTCTAGTAGGTTCGAAAAGCCTATAATGATTCATGAGCGAGACAACAGTGTACTTAGCCGCGAGGAGAGGCTGATCATAGTGAGCAGTGTGGTGAGCGCCTACCTAGTGAGGCATGCGCATTGCACACGCATTAGCATTCAGGACAGGAACAGGAACCGATTGGCAAAACACCTCATGATGAGGTGGCGCTACAAATGACAAAGAAGTTAATAGGGTAAAATAGTGATGGAATGATCGAGGTGCACCCGGATTGTGTTCCGCCGCACCTTCCACGTACTGTTAGCCTGAAAGAGGCCAGTGCGAGCCAACACTACGACAACGGCATCTAACGTAATCCAATTCGCGCTTTTGACCTCGATTACATAGATCAAAAAAACTTTCCGCCCTAATGTACGATTTTACGAGTAGATATATTGGTGCGAACAACGTAAATAAAATATAAATCATTGCGTGGCATCACGTCATCGCAGCAGCAAATATGGAACTCCCCAACGCCCCTCTAAGAAAATATCATTCCAAACCCACAACTATCCCCGCTTCCGCTGCAACTTTCCCGCACGCTCATCCTTAACCTGGTGTGGCATGGTCAAAGGAAGAGGGTCCTGCATAAGCGGCCGCGCAGGGCGGTAATACCCCGTCCCTGGCCCAGGATTGTTCCGTTCCGGGAACGGATACGTGTCGGAAGATCGCGAAGGTAAACACCCTGGCTCCTCATCATCGTCGCGTTTGCCGAAACAATCACTACAGCAATTGCATACGTTGATGCCACGAGATGCTGCAAACAGCGCGTAGCCAAGGAGGCCGAGGAAGACCAGGCCTAGTACTGAGCCCACTACTATACCGGCGATCTTGCCTTTAGTTGCCCAGGGCGTGGAGCCTGAAGTTGGTTCTGCGCTGTGGGTTGCAGACGCAGCTGCGGTGGAGTTGGCTACCGTGTATGTGGCTGCTGTGGACGTGGTGGAAACGGACTTGATTGAGGTAGACGTAGCCGGAGTAGATGTAGCGGGAGCAGATGTAGCAGGAGTCGATGTAGGTGGGGTAGAAGTGGCTGCAGAAGACGTGCCTGCATGCGAAGTAGCCGTTGTCATGGGCGCGGAGGATGTGCCCGAATGGGACGTGATCGTTTCCGTGGCCACAGAGGATGTACCTAGATGGGACGTAGCCGTTGTCGTCGGCGCAGATGGCAATAGTGACGATGCAACGGTTTTAGTATCACTTACAGATACCATAGTGCTGCTGAGAGATTGCGAAGTGATGGAGACTACCGAGGTCGTGCGTACGGTTGAAGCCATTGTAGTTTGTGGCCTGGACGCAGACGCATCCTGACGCATCACTAGGACAGGCGCATAGGTCGATAGAGCATCGCTCGTCTTGTAGCTCGAAGTGTCATATCGCGCGCCTGAAAGCACACTGGAAGCAGCGATCGCGGTTGTAACTGGAAGATGCATGTTGGGGAGCGGTACCAGGTGGATATTTGGTGGTCAAGAAAGGCATAGAGCGTGGTTTGCTTTTAGTATGTGTCCAAGACTTGTTGTGAACTTGGTCTTTGTTACGCTTCATTATTGTCATACACAACAATGACTCTAGCCGGGCCGCTTCACAATATGGTGCCAAGCAGGAGATGTGGAGGTCGCAAGCCACGTTTGTAATGGGGTTGTTACCATACAGTGAATACTCTTGTTCACTAGAACGTATGGAATTTCAACTTGGATGACAGAGCTTTTCATAGCCATCCCTCACTGCCGTAACAGAGCTGTTCGTTCAATCGAATGATTGCCAGCACCGCTCAGCTGATCGTGGATGTAACGTAGATTACGATACTACCTTGTTTGGAAATGGTACAATAGAGGCAGAACAGTTGTTCTGTTGATATCCTGCTTGTCGGAAATATCACGCGCTCGCTAAGAATAATAATGACCTTCTCCGAGAATTTGGAAGCGATGAGAGAGACCGAACTGGAAGCCATACAGGTGATGTCAGGCGCATGATATTGCCCTTCTAGATCTCAGTTAATTACATTGTTTCGTTCACTTAAGAGCGTCTTGATTTTCCATATCGGTAAAATTTGCCATAGAATGCTAAACTATGCGCAACAGCTACGTTCCGAGTCAATACCACTGATTAACCATAAAAGTTCCCTACAACCCTGTGCACAGTATCTCTATCTTGCAGACACCGTCATTGGAAGTTTGAGTTCGGCGTACACCCTCGTCATCATTTATTCTCAGATCGTCGGATACATCCTCTCGGACATGCCTTGTTCTTCGAGTCAAAGCTTATAAGTAGACGCCACTTTGGTTTTCGAGCATGATAAACTCCCTAGAACTTTATACACAGCTAGTAAAAATGGGCAGACTGAACAAACGAGGGAGTATCAGGTATTGTGTGATGATGAACTCCTGTAAGGTCCCATGTGAGATCCGCATGCTTCTCATGCTCATGTCTCTGTGTTATTGTTATAGAAGTACCATATTGGAAGGTTCACATGAATTGCAGAAGAGAAGTTTCAACGTAGGCCAGGGCACTGTCGATGCAAATATTCCTGCTTATCTTCCATAGAGATTTGCATTTGATAAGCCAAGATTTAAAGAAGTGGGGGTGTTCGATGTCCGTAATTCTGAATCGCTACACCGGCCAAGATACGGTCCCTGTGACTGTAGAATGATGACACCGGCGTAGAAGAAGCGGATATGCGGGTGTGCCATCTTTGAACGGTGGTTAAATCAAAGTTAGCTGCAGAAAGGGGACGTGGGAAGTTTGTTTGGCGCGCGAAGTTTCAACGAGCAACATTCATGTATGCCCCCCATGGATTGGTCACAAATTGGAAAAATGTGACTGGATCCTCTGGTCGCAAAAGCTTCCGGGCCACAGTCGGTAAGCCACTGATGATGACGACCCATGAAGAATAAGCACATTGGTGAAACAGCAGCCTAGGTAGACTACAATATCTGGGTCAACTAACGTAAGTCATTTCCTTGAACTTGACGGCACGCGACAGCGGAACAGTGGTTTCCAGGTAGGTGCCGCCCTTAAGGTTTTGATCTCGCTAAAATGAATATCGCTCGTGTTACAAATTTGCGACAGTTTACACTTCTAGCCTGCAGACGTCGTTGAAGAGGCGGAACGTTCCAACCACGTGGCATGCTGTGTTCAAAGTACAGGATTTGAGGCATGGTATTGTTCACTGGAAATACCGTCCGCGGGGCATCGGACGAACGATTCCTAAGGTGTAGTCATTTCACTGAGGTATGCTCTCGGTCGCGCGCCAATTTTGTGGGTCTTCGTCTCGGACTAGACTCCGCAACAATCAATTCAATCCGGTCACTCTCCTAGACCCACTTACCTATCTAGGTAGGGCTTAAACTCCTATAGGTAACTACTAGGCTTAAAGCGGTAATCAATCAATCCAATCTGAACCTTCTAGGACCCACTTAATTGATTGTTGCGGACTGTGTCTCGGACGCAGGACGGAAGGCGGGGGGCGTAGCGTAACTTCCACATATGGTTTCAGCATCCGCAGTATACCCACCTTCTTCCAACCCTGAAACATCCTATCTTAGCCTAATCTTGTTCACTCAAACCTGACAACCGTTCAATCAGGACGCGCTCGGGCCATCTAAGATCTTGGGTTCCGCCCTCCATCATAGTCTCATGGTATACAAGCGGCTACCATGTATCAATTATCATATTATCACTCGCAAGACCTTCCGCAAAGATAGAATTCTCACGGGGATGTGATTGTGACGGGAAGTCCAAGCTTTACCTCGCTTGTCTCGACATGTTACCATGTCTCCGCGGAAGCCAACTTGACTCGTCCAGCGCGCTACCATGAGGGCATAGCGGTAGAAGAATCAGGACCGCAGCTGATTTGAACCTGCACCTACTCAATCATCGCAGGGAACACCTTGGTTTGGCACACAATGAAGCCGGGAATGTGGTCAACTCAGCCAGCGATCGTAATAGTGTATGCATCAATGGCATACTTTCGAATACGAACATGTTCACAACGCCAAAGCGTCTAGACCTAGGTCCTATACCTAGAGGTAAGTAAGCCCTCGAACCGGGTAGGCGATCTGGAACCGATGGTCCGAAGAAAACGTCAAGACCTCCACATCGACGGTGAGTCTCGCGGGCAATCCTTCACGACCACGACGGAGCCACGGCTTCCGTCTACAAGGTCATCAAGCGCTGAATCCTCCAGACTTCGGACCGTTCGTAGTCATGCTCTCCTGCTTCCCCTGTGCCTCGCCATTCAATCTGGATAATAGGTGTCATGTTGAATCCTTTCGAACCGAGATTGGCTACCGGAGGTATTTCTCAGGATGTCTTAGGCCTTGTGAGAATTTCGGGAGGATTGTTCTTGGAGCCACGATTCGATGGCTGCACTGAACTTGCTGGAAGTTTGAACATGGCGCCGATAGTATACTCGCGTGCTTTTCTTCGTCGTAGTCGCCCATGGAGATAGTAGACGCAATTCTCGAATCTGATACGGAGTAATAAGACAGATAGCTGGTATGTCGACGGAGGTACCGTAAGAACTTGCGCGGACCCCTACCGGGACGCATCGGCTGCGGGATGAAAGGCGTCTACTAATGCTTCTAACTTATTGGGTAGCCGTGCATACGCGGGCCTGTCGTATTCACTTGCATCATGCGTGCGCAACGAGTATGGGCTTCCATAATGTCGCTATTATGGTTTTATTCGTTGCTCGAACCGACGTCGAATATGAATACGCATGCGTACCACTGTTTTCAAAAGGGATGGGTCCACCTTGAGAGGAAATAGGTGGAGACACGTAGGGTGGTGCAGTAGCAGCACATCGCAATTGCGCAAACAATGTCGCGGCAGTACGAACTTCTGCATGGACGATCTGCTCAAGGTACTGGTATGCAGCCCATCTCGTGGGGCTTGGTGGCAGAAGAAAGCTGGCGGCGGTTGTGCCCCAGCTTTTGACAGCCCTGACGTAAGCTAGCTCAACCCCTTCTCCACTTGTTTCAAACTCTAAACAAACTCTACTTGCATACCAGCGACATTCTCGAAGCCGCCACGCTTTTCACACCCCCTTTCCTACTCCTATTCCAACTGCGTCTTGACTATACTACTGCAGGTGGCGTTCCACTTTGTCCAAACTACCGTATCTAACCATGGGGTGCTGCGTCTCCTACGACCAATCTGGCGGCGAGCTCAGACCATCTCTCAAAGTTTAACCCTCCATCCATTTATCCTTTGGAAGCCAGCACATACTTACCCTGCCTTCGCTATTGATACACCCCAGGGATCCGCGTGACGCATGCGCATAGCCGAGAAGTGCCGTTATACCGGCCAAGACAAGCTTTGTCCTTGAAGTGAACAACTAGATCGCCACGTGCCGTTGCATCTCCACCCAGTAACTAGCGATCGCACATGGCACCTTGACTGGGAGTTCCTTGAACGCTATAAGCCGATCATCTTTCCTGGTCCCGTCAATACGACGGCGCAGGGCTTCAATCCCAAAACTCTGCCGCGGTGAATCCACCAGCAGATATGATTGGCTCTACTTCAGGTTCATTGCCGGCAGCCAAAAACGCGCCTCGCAAGCCTCCACCACCAGGGCCCATTGCAATGACTAGGTTCGCGCGTCCTTCAAAGTGATACATTCGAGGAAGATCATCTTCATCCTTCTTGTTGATATACTCCCCCGACTTCTCCGACCAACCCCATGTCACGTTCAAGTTCCGGTTCCAAGCAAAGGCTTCCCAGCCATGAGAGTTCGAGCGCTTCTTGCAGTCTTTTGGGTCTTCTTATCGATCGGTGTTGTTGAGGCATTTGGGCCTGGTGTGAATTCGAGGGCGCTGGGCGTCGCTGATATTCCGCCATGTGGAGTATGTAGTGACTTACTATAAGCGTCGCACTTACTAACTCTCTCTCAGCTTGTTTGCACAATAAGTGCACTTTCTGTTAGCGGTTGTCCCGCATCCGATGTCGACTGTATATGCCGCGACTCCAAGCTTACGCAGACGGTAGCTGAGTGTATGCTCGCCAACTGTACGATGCAAGAAAGTTTACAGACGGCGAGAGTCCAAGCCGATCAGTGCAACCTATCTAGAGAGTCGAAGCGAACGGATATATTCACATACACTATCGTTGTGTACTCGTTGGCCATTGTGTGTGTGATCCTTCGGATCGCAGGCAAGTTTATATCGAAAAGATTGGCATTAGACGACTATATTGTCGTCATTGCGATCTTGATATGTGCGCTGCCTGTCGCGTGCGTCATATGCAGTAAGTAATCGGTATTGTCACAATGAGCATAGTGAACTAACATGTTGTAGTGACACAAGAGGGGTTTGGTGAGCATCTATGGAACCTCCCAGATGGCGCACTGCTGAGCGTCCTCCGCTACTGTAAGCTTCATGATCCGATAGCATACCCACCTGTAGTGCTTTACTAACATTGAGACAGTTTTCATATGCTGGTCAACCTATGTCCTCGTCCTCGGTCTCATCAAAGTCTCTCTGGTTCTTTTCTACCTAGAGATCTTCCAGACTCGACGCTTCCGGATCACTGCCTATATCGTTCTAGCCTGCATTATCATCAACTCGGTCACAATCTTCTTCTTCACGGTATTCATCTGCAGTCCGATAGAATCTTTCTGGAACCGGGATATCAAGGGGAAGTGCATGGATCTTCGAGCTATAGCCTTCGCAAACTCGGCTAGTGCAATTGCGCAAGACATCGTCTTACTAATTCTGCCGCTGGTATCTATCAAAAACCTTCAGATGAAGCGCCAGCGGAAGTGGGCAGTCGGATTCATGTTCGCCATCGGTACCTTTGGATGTATTGCAACCATCTTCCGTTTCCAGACCCTCACTACATTCAAGATATCTGTGGACCCTACGTGGGACTACGTCGCTGTCACCATCTGGACAGAACTTGAGCTGGCCGCAGGTTTCATTTGCGTGTCACTCCCCTCTATCCGAATAGTGGTCGTTCGGTTATTACCTAAAAGAATCAAAGAGTTTCTTTCCCACATCACTCACTCATCGAGCGACAGCGACCGGACACCACAGAAGCCCTTCATCCACCTTCCACCGCCTCCTATGCACAAGGAGTGGAATAGACCTTCGGGTTGCAGTTGGATTTCACTCGGCGCCAATGATCATCCGCCTATACTTGAGACCAGAAAGAGCTTCATGAGTGGCATTTGGCCCTGGGTAGACTCCGGAGCCACCCTTCCAACCTCGAGCTTCTCATCGAATAAGGCAGGCAATTCCCGTCACCCGCTTTCGATGATGAGCAACTATAGCGACACCAGAACAGGGGTTGCAGTCACCCAAAGTCCATTCCACGAACGAAAGGACGAATTCGATCCCGATGCCCTGGAGTTACTCACGGTACCACCAATTTCCTGTGGCAGATTCATGAATCGAGACTCCTGTAAGACTTTTGCCAGTCGAGACGACTCAGTCACGGCGTTGCCTAGCATAGGCTGCTTACCCGAGCGTTCCTTCTCACAGGACATGCCGAGACGGAAATTGTCAAAACGTGGTCGCAAGGATCCAGTTTGAAAGATGAAGAGATCTTGCGTTCAGTGTAGTCCGAATGCCGACTAAATTGCCGGCCGGGCCAACCATCTTAGCTATACGCGATCATCAACTTGCGCGTAATCAAACAGGACAAAATTGCCGGTTTCGGGGTCATACCTCAGGCATTGCTCCCGGGTGTTCTCCCGCCGTGCTTACTGCGCACGGATCGGGCTTGCGCCATACCCGAAGCGTACGAGATACCCTTACCTTATGTTAGATTAGCATAGGTTCCAGCGCCAGGACGCGTCTATTTTTTCTTCTAAAAAACTATCGCTACCCAATTGTCAACGTTCCAACACTCTTCTCTTCATCTGCAGTATTCCCTCGGAAGTCGACCTTTCGCCCATGGGAACATTATTCGTGGACCATAAGACCTAGAAAACTCAGATATTCAAGTCAGCTCCAGAAAGCACCGGCGCAGCCTGGCGCGCGCTCATCAGCAAAAGCAGATCCAGTTTTAAAGATACCAAAGAGGCAGAAGAGCAACATGATAATTATAGTCGTTCTTTCGACTCAACGCCACACAAGACCTTGGCGTCAGCGCTCTCATCTCTCCACACTCGGCGACATACCTAGCCCCGCTGTCTAAGCACACCGAGTCGCGATGATTGTCATCACTCAGCGCCTTCCGAACCATCCGAAGTACGAGGTTGTCTGACTTTTCATCACGCAATTCCAGGGGTGACGGGCTTTGCCGATGACGAGTCTTGCAATCAGTGTTGCGCTCTCAGAAAGAACATAGGGAAAAACTTCGTCGTGAAGTCTAGAATTTTGGAGATCGCGTGGACCGGGCGTGCGGTACAAGATGGAGATTATAGATTGTGAAGTTGATGTTGTCAGTCAGAATGTACGCGTCACATGTCTAATAGCCAGCAAGACCAAGATACATAAATATTCTCTTGCGTGATCTAACATCAAACATCCCCAAACACGTTTCCTTTCCATGTAGAAACACATCAAGTATTCCATATAAAACAATACTATAAGATATCCCATATTCGTACTCTAGGGCCAGAAGTCCCACGTCACGTGAGACAAGAGGCATAGCCCACGGACAAGGCATTCCAACGCCCCACCTATTCAGACAACCATATGCCCATCATCATCACCCAAACTCGAAATTCAATCCAATGCTCGTAACCCAATATGTTCACCTCTCCACACCCTGCTAACACCACACTAACGCCTCATGTGGCGTCGCCGCGTGGCACAATGAACCACAGCGGCGGAACCCCACCCACGTGGAAGTCAGCCGAACACTCACCTTAGCGCTGCCGTGGCCGTCATTGTGGCGTTTACACAAAGCAAGGATGCCTTCCCTAGAATATTTGATAGAAAAAGAGGAGTTGGGTTGCACAAAATGTTTCCGATTCAAGTACCAAGGAAGATGGAACTTGCTCTGGTATCGTGGGTTTCTTTTGATTTGATAGATACATCATTAGAGCTCATGTAGTCTCCTAAGCTATTATGTTTATTTAATAGCGCCGCCGCCGCTGTTGTCGATGGCGCGAGAATGTTGAAACGATGGTATCCAAATCTCTGCAAAACGTTGCGTATGAAGAACAGAAATCGTGAGACGACTACAACAACAATAACAACGACAAAGCCTCCCCGCTTCCAAACCCAACCTACTCATACCGAATAACCGGCAGCTTGAAATTCTTCTTCGCGCTGACGAACCAGTGTATAAACGCACATAGAACTACGCCACCGAAGATGGGGCCCGCGTAGTTCATGTTGTCCTTTGTGACAGGCAGGATCTGGGGGAATGGCATCCAGAGGACGACGAAGAAGATGTAGCATAACGCGAAGATATTAACGGGTATACCGTAAGCACCCATTTTGAAGGGGCCGTATGGGGGCGGTGGACCCCGGATCTTGCGCAGGAAGATAAAGAGGATGGGGAAGAAGTAGGATATGTGGAGGCCAAAGGCTTGGAGGGAGATGAGCGCATTGAAGGCTGTTGCGCTGGCGATGTAGATGAGGGAGAGGCATGTTACTATTGTGCCGACGAGTATGAGGGCGTTGACGGGGAGTTTAAGGGTGGGGTGGACCTGCAGAGGTTGTTAGTCATTGCCATGTGTACGCTGGGAGGAAACATACATATGAAAAGAAGTTTGAGAAAGGGAGGCCGTTGTCGCGGGCAAACACCCAGACCAGTCGGGAAACTGAAGCGAAGATGTTGAAGAGGGCGAAGAAGAAGATGACGGCGATGAGCGCGGTGATGACGTTGGCCGCGACTGAGGATTCCGTGATGTTGTAGATGACCCATAGGATGGGGAGTGGTTTGTCGACGACTTTTTCGAGCGGGCCCATGTAGAAGAGGAGGATAGTAGCAAAGATAACCAACATGATGGAGTTGGCTACACATGTGATGATGATACTGCGTGGCACACGCGTGCGGACCTTTTTCACTTCGTCGCCTGCATATACGATCAGCGGGGAGACACAATTTAGAGGAACCGAACTTACACATATGCAAGACACTATCAGCTCCCGTGACAGAGAAGGTCATGCTCAGTAGACCAAGACCCCAAGATATGCCCTTGTTGTTCCAACCAGACTCTTCCCAAGTAAGCGTCTTGAACACAAACTCCGGGCTGCTGCGCGGTCCGAAAACAACGAAGATAATGACGACCACGACGAAGAGGCATATATGGAGAATGCCACCAGTAATCTCAAAAGCGTCGAGCAGTTTGCGGAACCAGAGGTTGAATGTAAAAGGTACAATCATGATCGCAATCATGATAAGACTGGTGTGCCATCGCTGGGGCTCGTAGCTAGGGTTATTGAAGATTGCAAGCGAAGTAATCAAATTTGCAAGAATCGATGGTGGTCCGCTGCAGGCAAAACACCATGCGCCCACAGTGATCCATCCTGCTCTTGTAAGTTTAGGTCTACTGCGCGAAAGTCATATCGTTTACCTTGGAGGAGACCCCAGAAACGAGGTGCAGCAGGTGCGAGGTTGGCTGACCAACGGTACTGAGCGCCTACTGTTGGATCTCTGTTCAACTATCAGCGGAAACTCATGTTGTTTAATATGACAATGACATACATTGAAGCAAGTTCAGCAAGAGAAAATCCCACAGCACAGGCGCCAAAGCTAGCTAAGAGGGAACCATAGAAGATACTTGCAGGACCTCCATTGGTTAGGGCAAACTGGAAAGTCACTGCAAACGACTCCCATGAAGCGAGGATGATAATTGCAAAGTTGATGACAGCTGAAAGATTAATGTATCGCTGTTTGGGTCAACATGTGTTCTCGATGTAGCAGCGTAGGCTATGCGTACCTCAAGCTGCCCTGGTAACCGTGCTGGCACTGAAGGCGCAACGGACGCATCTCTTTCTGCCTTCTCTCCCTGGCTGGACGACCCTTGCTCGGCGACTTCAAGATCGGCATCCGATTTGTAGGTGTTTAGCTCCATGTTGGCACAAATGATGCGATTCCAGTAGTCGATGGAGGAAGCATGGAAGTCTAAATGTGACAGAACTTCTCAATAAGCGGTGGGGTCTCGCTGCATGGGATGAAGAGAACGGCCGGAAGAATACCGCAAGCCATTAGGTGACGGGTCGTGGTGATTGGAAGCGAGACCGCTGGGATGCCTGCCAAAAGCAGCCTCGACTCATGCGTGGCGTTCGGTAAAATGCAGGGCCTCGATCAAGGTCCGCAAAGTCCCATTACCGTGCGCATTGTGAGCGCGTTCTCGACTCTAAAGACAGTGTCGGGATCTCCTGTTGTGTGACTACCTGGTCTTTGATTTTTGGGGGTAAGATGGCCAAGATGGCCAAGTTCCCCCGCCGAAGGCGTGCTTGATCTTGGAGTACGTAGGATGGGTAAGAGATTGGAATACGACATTTGATCCCAACATAATCTCGCACAGTCCAGAGCGGCCCGCATCGTATACGAACCACAAAAGGGACATGTTGCCGTCGTCGCGAACAACGTCCGCGGGTGAGGCGGGAATTCCACGCTAGTGACCTGATTCAGGTACCCTTGTTGAACAAGCGACGGAGGAAGAGGCGTCTAAACGACGGCCCGCTGCGTCTCGAAGCCAACGAGCTTGTAGGATGCGGGATCTAGCATATTTCTCCGCGCCCTGTTTACTAGACATGATTATGGATTGAATCAGATTGATGAGGAAGAATGCAGCTATTGCTAAATCGATGGCGTTACTCGGTCCTACTGTCAGTGACGGCGAGGCGTAATCTATCGAGACGCATGGCCATGCAGCTGATGAACACCCTTGTTACGAAAAGCGGTTTAGCCTTTTGCTCACGTTGACGCACAGACAATATCAAAGGCCCGTTAAGGACGTGGAAATGCCCGTTATTCGCGGTCCATGCCCTGAGTGGGTAGACACGTGCTGTTGTCTTGGGCACAAAAAGACCGTGGAACCTGTCACGACCCGGGGCCGCCGGGGGTCGTGATAGGTGCGCCGATTTGAGATCTATACGGCAAGAACGGCGGGAGCGCGGAAAAGCGTCTTGTGTGCTGACACCGCACGTTCGTTTCTCTAACCTCTACGATCAGTCCCTACTTTGTTCAGCAGAAAACAGCGTACCGCTAACACCTTGTCAATGTTGTACAATGGTGCCCCTAAGTGAGAACGAGGGCCCACGCAATGCAGCAACCACCAGGAACGGATTCGCCCTCGTCTCCACCTACACCTGGGCATGCGTAGTACTGCTTGCACTGGTTGCGCGATTTGGCCAGGGTTATTCTCACAAAGTCGGTTTTGGGCGAGATGACGCAGCGATTGTGGCAGGGACAGTAAGACCTCACGCTGCCCTATGGCGATTCATACTGACCTGGTGTAGGTGTTTTACCTTTGCACGACCGTCTGCTACCAGTATGCCATCAGCGGTGGTCTGGGGAAGAGAGAAGATGATGTCACTGCTGACGATATCACCATGTTCTACCAGGTCGGTGGATTTCGTCTGTTGGATACACTCATAACTGACCATGAAATCTAGGCCATGTATGCTGCAGCACTGCTCGGCATTGTTGCCATGACGCTCTCCAAAATATCCTCGGCTTTTCTCATCGAACGGGTGGCGACGCAGACGCGATGGCCAAGAATGGTTTTGTACGGCATGATTGTCGTCTACGCTCTCTTTGCATTATTTGGTGTTTCCTTCCAATGTGGGCTACCAGTATGGACCACACACTCGCTGCAGTGCGGACAAGCACCAATCCTACTGACAGGGATTGCGCTCAACATAGTAACGGATATCGCTTTGGCCTTCTGGCTAGTTCCGACGCTATGGAAGTTGTCGTTGGACAAAGAGAAGATCATGTCGGCGGGAATGCTCTTTGGGGTGCGTGCAATGTATGTCGATTTCCTTTACCTAAAATTCAAAGATTAACAATTCTGCAGTGTAGCATTGGTCAGTGGAGGGCAGATTTGGGCCGTCGTGCATGTCACTTCAAGTCATGACCCTGCCCGTAAGTCATATCGTACAGTTTCATCACCGAAGACTGACAAACTGTAGATAGTGCGGTCGACCTCGTAGTTCTAACCCAGTAAGCATTTTCAGATGATTCAAATATCAAGCTAATCGTTTCCAGATCTGTATCAGGTCTATCCATCATAGTCGCAAGCGTACCCCGGATCAAGCGAATCCTTGGAGTGGGCGGCAGCGGCATCCTTTACCCAGACATACAACAGACCGAGATTTCCCTCTCACACAGATCGGGAACTCACCCAAACGGCCCAGCTAGGAACAATTCCGAACCGGTTCTGGTGCCCAGAAACCTCGGAAACTTCACCGTAACCATCTCTTCCAAAGGCTGTCCGAAGAAGAAGCCAAGAGAGCATCCGGACTGGCAAGCGATTACGATGGGTACTCTTCCAGATGGACATACAAGCACCTCTAGTCTATTCGAACGCGATGAGCAAGAAGGCGTCATGATGCATCATGAGGTCAAAGTCTCCGTGGAGGACAACAAGCCGAGAAAGATGGTTTTCAAGCAGCATCAGTGACGTATTCGCGAATCGACGAACATTACGATTGAAGTTCCGGCCCGTGCTCTATCGTGCATTTTGCGGTCATATGTTGTGGACTGTGGATACTGGCAGAAGTTGGAAGATGCGAGAACAAGACGTTGCGCAAGAAGAGGTCTGTGAGAGAGTGTGTGGCGAGGGAGGGTCTTGCGGCCCACGCCCCACTTTCCGCTAGCGCAGCGGCGACCACGGCGTCACGGATGTTCCCTCGCGGTCTCATACAGCACTAGCTCCAGAGATACAGCATGCCCGCTTTTTTTCACCATTGGTGACAATCTGGGGGACCCATCCAAACACGAACGCACCGTGCTCTTCCGGCTATATCTCCCTGGCACACAGCTTTGTGGACGCGACTCTACGGGACAAATTGTTACGCCACGGCATCGCCACGACTCCATCTGGTACCCTCGATTTGTTTCTCTAAAAGCATCCCATGTCTCATCCCCTAGAGGATTCTTTTTTTTCTTTGTTCTTGACCTCTTTCCATTTTGTAACTCCGGCTACGACCGATTGATCAGCTTCGGCAACGCACTTGTAACACTTGAGATACCCCTTCTGGATACTTGAAAACGTTTCTTTTTTGATGTATGAGATGGTCTTATGTCAGTTATACTCAGCTCGTCTAGGCTAGATAAAAATTGATTCTACGTACGGTTGATGCATTGAATTGGTTGTTCTTTGAATAAAGCACAGCCGTGTAGCGAGCTTGTCGTCGGTGTACGAATATATGTTGTTTCTTTGTCGGGAGATGCGATAGTATAGGTGCAAACTAGCCAGACGTAGTTACAGCTGATATCACTGTTGGCCGAGGTTCCGGTTTGGAAAAAGCATAGTAGTAGTAGTAGTAGTAGTATCCATTAACGTCCTTTTTCAGTCAGAGACTATGTAGGACGGTGGCCTAGGGCCGTTTGACTAGTTTTTTCCCTCTATACCCGTAGGATTTCGTTTCTTTGGTCGAGTTTGACTATGGGGGTTTGGGTTTTTTGCTTCTATACAGGAAAGAGAGAGAGACCTTGTAATAGACACCCGTTTATCTCCACCTTTGTGACCAATCCCTTTGCTATAATAACCCCGTGCTCCTAAGACTGAAAAAAACCTCGTAGGGGAAAAAGTCATGGGACCTTGAACGTTTGTTGTATATAGCGGCAGTTGCGGCATATTTTCGTCTCGGCGGTACTTTGTGGCTCGGTTGTACGGCGGCGGCTAGCGTTAAGCGTGCGGGGTATTGGTGAAAAACTTTCCAGGTTTCGAAAGGAGCCGTTCGATGTTTTTTGGTAAAGCTAGAATAATAGAATTATTATAGCGGTGAGGGGAGAAGGATTCGAACCTTCAACCTCTGCGAGCAAGCTAGCAGAAGCAACCAGGCGCACTACCACTGCGCCATCCCCCCTGGAAAAAGCATAGATAAAGTCGAATTGGCACGGATTGAACATTATATAGAGCATGCACGTGTATCCTCGACCGATATCCCCTATCCCCTGTCCCATCCCTCATTTCCACCCCATCCTTCCTCGCCGACCCTCTATTTGGAATACTCCAGTTCCCGCCCACAGCCTCCGGGATAACCTGGTTTCATATGGCAGAACACATGTCCACACTGTAACGGGCTGAGCCCTAAGTCACATGACTAGGCTGCGAGCCTAGTCGCTTCCCCGGCAACGAGAGGGCCGTGCGCCAACCCAAACAAAGCGGGCTCGCCGCTCGCGTCTTACCTTCTTTCTTCATCTTGACTGTAAATAGCATCTGGACTAGGTAGCTGGAATACAGTTCCTACAGACCGTTCACATACAGTCAAGATCAAGAAGAACACGCAGAATACGCAGAACACGCAGAACACGCAGAACACGCAGAACACGCAGCAACCAAGGCACCGTTATAATGAGCTCCCCCGGGGATACTAACATGACGACGAACGATTCGAACCAGCTGTTACAGTCGCTACTACAGAGACTTGAAGACATGAGCACTAGGATGGAGAGGCTGGAAGCATCATCGCACGAGCCACCTCAAACGCCTGGTCACAATACAGACGCCACCACTGATCCGACGCCAACCTCCGAGACTTCGAACACATCTGTGCCTATAATCCCAAAGCCGCGGCACAGCTTACCCCACCCGCCTACGTTTGGTGGAAACAAATCACAATGGCGAGGATGGAAGCTAGAGATGGAGGGCAAGATCGAAGAAGACGCGCAAGCTATTGGAAGCCTAAAAGCTCAGCTACGCTACGTCTACATGCGTCTTGATGGGGCAGCGAAAACCAACGTTACAACATACTACGAGATACAAGTTAAAGAAGAATCGCCAAACCCTTTCAAGCTGCTTGACCGCCTTGAACTCCTCTACGGCGAACGAAATCGGAAGGAGAAAGCCATTCAGAACCTCTACTCTATACGCCAGAAGGACGACGAGACGTTTATTTCCTTCTATCCACGGTTTGAGAAAGAGATGGCCAACGCTGACGCAGAAAGCTGGCCTGAGCATACGAAGATATCCTACTTACGCAACGCATTAAGTGGTAGGATAAAGGATAGGCTTGTTGGTACATCAGGAGCAGAAACAAGCACATACGCAAGGTTCGCTCAGAAGTGTGTAGATCTTAGCAACGACATGGAGTTGTTCGGCCAATGGACGAAAACAACCCGCCGTTACGGTAGCCGAACTGCTGAAAATGCACTAACCTATGAACCACCAGCAAAATCAAATAATGCCACGCTCACAGCAGTTTCCCCTGAAGACATGATGGAATGGGAACCTACGCAGCCTACAACTACCCAAGTGAACGCTGTCGGCCTCCGCGGCAAGACCAACATGAATGGATATCCATCTAGGCGTCCCGAAGACCGAGAACTTATTGGAAAACGAGCAAAATGGGTCAACCAAGAGGAAATCGATGCTCGACGCCAGGAACGACGCTGCCTCCGATGCGGCCGCAACAATTGCCGAATAGCTACATGCCCGTTAGCAGCCGCTCTACGACCAACTCACGTTAGCGTCAAGACAGCAAAGAGTACTGTGGTCACCAAGGCAGCTGTAGAGGAGGAAGATCCAGAAGACTCCGAAGCAGAGCAATAGGAACACGCGGCAGCTCAGAAAGAATGGAAAGAGACCGGAAAGCAAAAGATGGATAGCGATCCCTTTGTACTGGACGTTAGACTTAATGGAACTGACTTTGTCACTGGACTTGTTGACTCAGGTTGCCTTTGCTATTCTGCCATTAATGAACAACTCTTTCGATCTCTGAGACTGCCATCAATCAAGATAGCCCCGCGTCAGCTAGAGGAAGCAGCTGGGAAGAACGCAGAACCAAGTACTGTCCTAGATACAGTTACTTACGCCTCGATAGACATAGACGGCCACCAGCAGAAACGCGTCTTCTTCTACGTTGTACCTGGCCTAACTTACGACGTGATCCTAGGAAAGCCCTGGTTAGAAGATGCCGACGTCACAATTTCGGCCAAACAAGGCTGCCTAGATATCGGCGCGTCAAACATCCGCGCATGGAACCACAAGAAAGCGTCATACAAGCCACCACTAATGAAGGCTACTCAGGTGATGGCTTCCGCATTCATGGCAGAGGTGAGAGGAAGCCGTAGAAAGAACAAAGGAGACGGTATTGCGCTCGACACTGGACTGGTTCGCTGTTTTCCATCGCCGACATTGAGAAGCTTTGAAACCGCGCAAACGATCCGATCCAAAGACGAAGCTCCCACCCCAGTACCACCAATGGCTGAAGGCTTTCGACCATTTCCTAGCTGAGAAACTTCCCCCACATCGTAAAGGCGTTGATCTCCACATTGAGATTGAAAAGGATCAAGACGGAAACGAGAAGACCATTCCATGGGGTCCGCTCTACGGCATGAGCCGAGAAGAGTTACTAGTGCTTAGGAAAACTCTCACCGAGCTGTTAGACAAGGATTTTATCCGCGCAAGTAACTCTCCCGCAGCTGCACCCGTCCTGATGGTCAAAAAGCCAGGAGGGGGCATCCGATTTTGCGTTGACTACCGAGGCTTGAACAACATCACCAGGAAGGACCGTTACCCTCTGCCTCTATTCACAGAAACACTGAGAAATGTAGCTAAAGCTAAATGGTTCACAAAACTTGACGTTATCGCAGCCTTCCACAAGATCCGTGTGGCCAAAGGAGAAGAATGGAAGACAGCTTTCCGAACAAGATACGGCCTATTCGAATGGCGGGTTGCTCCCTTCGGACTAACAGGAGCACCAGCCGCATTTCAACGCTACGTAAATGGTGTTCTACAGGATTACCTTGACGACTTTGTTTCAGCCTACGTTGACGACATCTTAATCTACTCGTCAGGATCGCTTCAGGATCACAGAGAGAAGGTTGGAAAGGTTCTTCAACGCCTTATAGACGCTGGACTGCAGATTGATATCGACAAGTGCGAGTTCGAGACTAAACGAGTCAAATACCTCGGGTACATTGTGGAAGCAGAAGTGGGTATTCGAGTTGACCCTGAAAAGATTATCGCAATCCGCGAATGGGCTACACCAACGTCAGTTAAGGCTATCCGAGCATTTATTGGTTTTGCCAACTTCTACCGAGTTTTTATATCGAACTTCTCGGACATTGCTGAACCGCTCATCAACCTAACTAAGAAAGAGATGGTTTTTCATTGGGACGAGGCTTGCAATCAAGCATTTGAAACGATTAAGGAACTTCTCATTACAGCACCAATACTCGGCCATTTTGATCCAGAGAAGGACACCTTAGTAGAAGCCGACTCCTCAGGACATGCAACTGGCGGCCTATTGCTGCAGAAGGACAAGAACAACAACTGGCAACCCGTTGCTTACTACTCAAAGAAGCACTCACCAACAGAGGCCAATTATCCAATTCATGACAAGGAGCTTCTAGCTATTGTTCGTTGCTTAGAAGCATGGGCTCCTGAACTACGTATGGTTAGGAAGTTTACAGTTCTGACGGACCACAAGAACCTCCAATACTTCTACCGCGAACGACAGCTGTCTGAAAGACAAGTACGTTGGTCAGAGTTTCTCTCACGATTCGACTTCTCCCTGGAATGGAAACCTGGAAAGACTATGGGAAAACCCGACGCCCTATCACGACGAGAACAAGACCTACCCGCCAACTATGACGATGAACGAATACGGTCTCGATTTATCCGTCTCTTCCAGAGCAAGCACTTGCGGAGTGTTCAAATCCAGTCTCTATCGTCTGAGGAGATTGACTTCACAAAGGAGATACGCATGTTTGAGGACCAGGAGATGCAGAATCTGTGGCACCGAAGCCGCCAAGAAGATAAGCTTTATCAGGAGCTTACTACACTAGTAGCAAATAAGGAGAGGAACCTCCCTACTAAGCTTCAGAAGGAGAAGTTAGTGAGTATAGCAGAATGCACCCTAGACGAGAGAGGCTTGTTACGATTTCGAGACCGGACATGGATCCCTCACTGCGAACCACTCCGCACGCGAATCATTCAAAATATTCACGACTCGCATATTACTGGCCACCCCGGACGAGATCTTACCTACTCAATCTTATCAAGGCAGTTCTTCTGGTCAGGTGCAGCAAGCGACGTGCGACGCTTTGTCCGTAACTGCGAGATTTGCGGAAGGAATACGATATGGAGAGAAACAAAGAAGGGCCTCCTTAAACCATTACCGATCCCAGAACGTATATGGGGGGAACTTTCAATCGATTTCATTACCGACTTGCCGCCATCTGGACGGGATAACGCAACGAACTGTATGGTGGTCACTGATCGGCTGACAAAGGGAATTGAACTAGAAGGTATGCACGATATCTCGGCACAAGCCGTAGCACAACGACTTTTCGAACGGCATTATCCTATTCACGGTATTCCAACGGCAATTACGAGCGATAGAGGACCACAATTCGTTAGCGATCTTTGGAAGCATTTCTGTAAGCTCCTTAGCGTTGAGCAACGCCTGTCGACTGCCTACCATCCGCAAACCGATGGTGCAACAGAACGAATGAATCAAGAGATTGAAAAGATGATTCGAATCTGGGCCACGTACACGCAAGAAAACTGGCTGGCACTTTTACCTGTCGTTATGGGAGCAATCAACAACCGCGAGGCCTCATCCACTGGCCTAAGCCCCTTCTATTTCATGCACGGATATCACAATGAACCTATTCAGCTAGTAGAGGATCGAACTATTCAGGACCGACCAAAGAAAGATGGCGAAGCACTAGCAGAAGGCTTCCTCAAAAGACTCCAAGATGCAACAGAGTGGGCCCAAGCCGCGATCGCGATGACACAAGAGAAACAGCAGCATCAGGCTAATAAGACAAGAACAGCAGCGCCCCAATACAAGGAGGGAGACTGGGTGTTTCTAAACCTTAGAAACGTGAAGACAACACGACCTTCCAAGAAGCTAGACTGGTTGCATGGAAAGTATAAAGTCTTGAAGCAGGTCAACTCCCACTCTTATAAGCTTGACGTTCCGGGAAAAATCCATCCTGTCTTTCACGTAGACCTGCTTCGCTACGCGCCTGACGACTCTTTCCCATCGCAGAAAGTTGGAGACACTCAGCCAGGGCCTATACTTATAGATGGAGACGAGTTATGGCTGGTTGAGCGTATTCTGGGCGAACGGACAATAGGGCAAGGAGGGAAAGGAATCAAGGAGGCATATGTGAAGTGGGTGGACTATACTGAACCGACATGGGAACCAGTGAGCAACGTACTAAAGACTGACGCTTGGAAGAAATGGAAAAAACTACACGCTAAAGGGAAAGGAGGGGGGTAATGTAACGGGCTGAGCCCTAAGTCACATGACTAGGCTGCGAGCCTAGTCGCTTCCCCGGCAACGAGAGGGCCGTGCGCCAACCCAAACAAAGCGGGCTCGCCGCTCGCGTCTTACCTTCTTTCTTCATCTTGACTGTAAATAGCATCTGGACTAGGTAGCTGGAATACAGTTCCTACAGACCGTTCACACACACCCGGTTTTTATACAATCCCTGGTGTGCTCATTGCGATGATTACAAGTTTTTCCCTGCCCTCCGCAGCACCTCCATCTCAAGGGTGGGTTAGGATGACTTTATCCTTTTGGGTCGAAGCCGGCCTCAATTTTACTTGACTCGTGGTCTGGGAGAAGCGTGTGTTCGGCGTTAAGACTCTTTGTTGGATTTGGATCGGTGATGCGACCTGGCATCTTTTTGTCGGGGGAGTTGGACATTGTTTTAATGGAGTTGAAAAATTGCTGAAGCAGAGTATGTAGTCGTTTGGCTGAGTAGAGATAGACTTTGTCTGTAGACTGTGTGTTTTGCTGTAGAAGCTGCAGACACAGGATCAAGTCTGTATATACTACCAGTGGAGTCACATGAACCAGGACAAGAAACGACTCTTTACTGACATCATTGCAGTCATGGTCGTCCATATTGGTGACTAGATATATATGTATTAATGACTGGACAACGCAAGTTGTGGTATGGCCTCCACATGGTCGATGACTGGGCCTGGAAAGTGCGCAAGGAGCATTTTAGACTTGGTACTCGTGCAAGAGAACAAAGCTACGGCGAAAATGAAAGAGTGGTGGTATGAGTGTTGTAGTGAGCGCAAGTTCTAGTAATCGATATACAGTAGTGGTAACGGTAGGGTCGCCCTAATCATGACTCCTCCTGTCTCCCAAACACAATACCCACACAGGTGTGTCAGTTTTCCCACACACTGATCGATGCAGCGATTCTGAGTATAATTCATTTGTAACGTGCCCTCATGTGGCGATCGACGCAGAGACAAACTCTACGCACAGACACCTTCCAACAATGGTGTCCACCACCAACCACCCAAACCAACAGACCAACAAACCAACAAACACCAATAAAGACTCACAACCACCAACAGAGACCCGTGCCTCCATTCTAACCCTCCAACCCACCATACCCTCAGAAAATCGCCACAGCATTCGGTGGACTCCCCACCCCACCCGGCACACACCCCGGTTTACTAACCAGCAAAAACGACCACCTCCCCTTCTCCATACACATCTTGACCAACCCCTCAAGATCCCAAAGCTCACCAATCGGCATCCCCCACATACTCAGCATAGACGCATGCAAGCTACTCGCGAAGCTCTCCGGGGGCCAAGCCTCGAAATTCACATTGTCAGTAGCAGCAGCCGCAAAGTAATTGTCGTGTAGGAAATCCTTCATTTCCTCGTCTGCAGCCAGGCCGGCGTAGAAATGAGATGCGAGGTCCATGGTGCCGCGGTCTTGCTTCTGGGCGGACGTGAGGGCGTGGTAGGTGGAGAGCCAGCCGGTGCGGATGAGGAGGATGTCGCCGGTTTGGAAGGTCGTGTTTTGAGAGGCGGCGCAAGCGATAAGGTCCGAGGCGGTGATATTGTGGTGGAGGAAGGGATCGTAGGGGTTGGTTTGGGTACGGGACCATGTGTAGACGTCTAGGAGGACGCCGCGGCCTATGATGCCTTTCTTTGCCCAGGCGTCGATGCCGAGTTTGCGAAAGGGGATTGGTGGGTCATCGTTTTCTTGTTCTCTGGCAGCATCGTCGTTGTTGTCGACAATGATTTCATCAGATGGCATGCCGTTGTAGTGACAGCCATATTCTGGATTTGCAAAATGACGGAATCCGTCCCATTGACTGCTGGATTGCGTGTTGTAGGATACTTCGTCGTCGAAGGCGCCGAAACCAATTGATTTGATGTAGTGTTTTAGTGGTGCGCGACCGAACAAGGCTGGGCCTGGGACGTCGAGAGGAAGGTCCAGGGAGATGGAGTCACCAGTTTTGACGCTTTCTTGGGTGACCTTTGCTATTCGCTGTGGAGTAAGAAGGTTCAAGCGTCCAAGTTCATCGTTGCCGCCCCAAAACCAGGCGTTGCCTTTTGGTGTCCCAGATGTCTGTGGCAGTGCTGCACGCTTTGGGAAGTTCGAAGAGTCGCCATTGGGGTCCAGTCTCATTCTGAATGATTTCTAAGATACGATTTTCTCCCGTATATGATTGAGACGAAGATCTGAATGTGGGATTAAAGTCAAGGCTGAGTTACATATGACGTTGACAGCTCAACATGTGGCTTTACTAAGCGACTAGTGCTTCCCCGCGCCCCACTCCTGCATATCCCGCCTGGGAGAGGTCGGACTACATTCACTTAACCACCTGAACAATAATCTCACAATTCTCAACGTCAAATGCGAGTGATTTAGAGAGGGAAGCTCGTACTAGAGTCCTCTGAATTGAGGTAGACCGCTATGATGAGTAGGCGAAGATTTGCTGGATAAGAAGCTTAAAACTCCGAAGATAGCCATGGAACACATCACTTGGACGCAGCTTGACGAAAACGAACACGCGACCTCACTTCACTTATGAAACGGACTGTAGACTCTGTGGCATTGCATGCAGCTTACGTCTAATCGATTCATCAACAAACTGACTCCAGTCAACCCGATCCCATGCTTGCGCTCCCACACCTGCCAAAACGAATATCATGCATGTAGGAAGGAAGGAAGTACAGAGAACCCCACAACAGACTCCAGAAAATACCGTATGTTTTGCATCACATTCGGTATCCTTCTGATACAACTTGGTATTTAATGCCCAGCATTACCAATATTCCGCGCGTTGCTTAGCGGTCTGGAGCACCCGTTCAGCGTCCTGCACCTTCTTTTCGCATTCTTCAAACTTCTTCTTGGCTTCTTCAAACTTTTCCTTCGCCCTGTCGCATTCCATCTGGGCTTCCATGTGTTCCCGTGTCGCTTGTTCGATGCTACCTGGCAGGTCCTTTTGTGGGGGTGTCTCCCAGCCGTTCCACGCACCGTATCCACCGTATCCGCCCATGGTACCGAAACCCCCAAAGGAAGCCATGTCGAAAGTGGGGAAATTTTCGTACGCGCGAGGAAGGCGGTTTGCACGTCTTCGGTGACTGAGATGAGACATGTCGTACATTGCGGCTGGGTTGTACGCAATCGTTTGATTGTGGTTTGTTGTTGCGCAAAGATGCAGATGAACTTTTGGGTTTGGAAATGACGAGACAGATGTGAGGATAATGATATGTTGACTTTTGCGAAAAGCAGACGACAATTGTCGCTCGCTTTATACAAAGCAAGACTCGCGGGAAGCAGACAGAGGGTCCACGTGTGTTCGAAACAGGATTCGTCCATGCAGCGGGAGTTGAGTTGGCCTCTCGGTCACCAGTGCCACTCAAACGTCTCACATCGTGAGTCTTGGCCATAGACGTCGGCAGGACGGCGTTGAGATTAGCCGCTGCAGCTGAGATGTTGGCAGCTCCAGAATGACCCTTGGATCGGAAGCTTTTCTTCGTTCATCTAAGCTGCCGCGAGCACAAGGAAACGCCCAGCCACGTCTATCACCTTGGCCGATTACTAGCAAACAATAGATTCCACCACATCTACGACGAACGAAACCCCTGAAATACGCCGGCACCAAGGTGTAGGAGCAATACTAGTGGATGTGGCACTGTTGCAAGACTCGAAGATGTGAGGTTTGATTCGGTTTTATCATTTTCATCCAACGCCGACGATACAATCAGACAATACCAAACCGCCACTCATGGCGTACAAATACCATCGAAACAGCCGTTGTGTCACAACGGCTGTGACTCAAGACGTGGGGGTAGTGCTACTAGCAGCGTCGCACGCTGGGCTTGAATCTGCTGTGCGCATCAAAAGACCAAGGAAACAAGCTCAAGAGCTTATCTTGTTACATTCAAGCGACTTTTGGACTTGCGGGAAGAGTCGTTGGCCCCAGGTAACATGAAAACCATCGACGATGGCTCTTCGTTGTCTGATGTCATCATCCTCAAGGTAACAAGTTGGTGACCGATCACATCACAATCTCCACCTTGTCAGCGAATTATCCATGGCGATTAATGACATAAAGGGTAGGTTATACAACCAATGTTTTGCTGCTTCACTACGCGAGATCATCCAAGCCACCGATATTATACGCAATAGCCGCCGATTGCGACGCGTGATGCTCAAGATCTTACTTTGGAGTCGCTTTCAACAAATTCTTGATCATTTGATAGCCAATACTATGCATTGGCTTACCATGAGGCTTGCTACCCGCCGTGGTACGTGACGCAGTTAATCTATTTCAAGTCGTTGACCATGATCTCGTAGGCCCGCTGTTTCCCGCATTTTGTAGCTACAATGGGGTAGTTTCGGCCCCTATCGAGCCTTTAACGGAGCAGCGCGAGCATTAGAGAAGAATTTACCTAGGTACTGTAGTTCCAATTGGAACGCCTCTAGGGTTCATTTCGGCTCTGTGTTAGTGCACCCATCTTGTCTCTTCCCATGCTCCATACTGAGAATCGAAATACACAGAGCTTCTAACGCAGAATAGACAGCAATTCCATGTACCACCAAAATGTCCTCCCTCACATGCCCCATCTGAGCAATCTTGGTTTCAGCATCGTGGCAACGACTACACAAGTGCAGCCAGCACTACCGGCAATCGCACGCATCTGTCTCGATCGGAATTTTCAGCCGCTCCATTCATTCACGGCGATACTGTTCCATCGGACCTGACCGCCGGGCCCATACGAAAGTAAAGAAACACAGATTTCCTGCGACACCTGAATCCCATCCTATCAGTAGCATTGGTAATTTACATCAGGAATTACGCTAACCGCTCCAATCAGTGCTCCCGTGTGCTTATGAGGAATTAAATGAGCTCGGTATCACATCCCCATATCCCAATTGCCGTTTACAACACCAGCTTCCATGCTGACGACAAAATCTCGCAACACATCTACCTCCCCCGTTCCCCCTTTCCGCTGCTCTCTCTCCTCCTGCCACTGCTGCCTTCTCCCTCTCATATCGCTTGCCAAAGCGCGTATGTCGGCGATAAGGCTGTCGCTCATGTACACCCAGTCGGGGTTTTGAAACGCGGGTGTGCGTGAGGACTGGTTTCGTACATGGCGGTGTTGGTAAGTTTGAGATTCACGAAGAAAATCCAGGTTATAGGGCGCTGCCCTGGTGCGTGGGTATGGAGGCATTGTTGGTATGTAATGTATGAGTGTGAGGAGATGAGTGGGCTAGATGTGTACGATGGATAGAGTGGGGGGTAAAGAGTGGTATTGGGTAGATAGTTGGCTACTAATGAAGATGGACAACAGGGGAAGACAGCAAAGCGACTGACAACTATGAAAGACAAACGGGTAGATCTAACGAACGAACGGGACAGAGCGCAAACGCAACTCGATCAGCGAGGTTAACACGTTTAATAAAACAACACGACGACCTCCGTTCTTTACATCCCCTCTCCAAACCTCTCGCGCAAAACCTGCGCTAACAAAGCCTTCAATGCAGACATCTTACCATCAATCTGCCTCGTGATTCTGAAAGCTTGAGACAGCGCTTCAAACGCCCAAGCTGCTCTAATGTTCTCAGCACGTGCTCGCATATACTCCTCTTCATAATTCGGGTACAATTCTCTTGGTCTCTGGCAGCGACGCTGTCGTCTTTCGTCTGCTACGCTGTTATAGCCACCGTGTCTCCTTCCACCACTTCTTCCATGTCCATGTCCATGTCCATGTTCGTATTCTTGTTGATCATACATATCCCACTCAGACCGGTGCTCACGGTAAGCCTGGCGCGGGTAGATGGGCCCGTTGATAGACCTGCGTTCGTAGATCTGCTGCCCGTACGCTGGTTGTACGAGATGTGTTGGAGCCGCAGCAATTGGTTGGACATGCTCGTTGACAACAATAGCGGGGAGTTGGGGCATATGGTGCTGTCGATGCTGTGTCTGCCCTGCTGTCAGGGGTACAGTGTATTGATGCACCTCCCTCTTGATAGACACGGGTGGATGTTCTGGTGTAGCTGGAGGCGTTTCGTATTCCTCTGATGGTTCTTCCTGGTCGCTTTCGTCGTCGTCGGAATTAGATTGCAGGTTATGAAGCGTATCATCGCTTTTGTGGTTGAAGTCGTGGATAATGTTTTCGTATTCGCGGTACGCTTCGGGATAGTCGTTCATGATTGTGTAGATGAGGTCTTGAGGGAGATGTGATTCAGCTGAGCCGGCATGGTCTTCTTCTACTGAGGGTGGTGGTGGGTAGCTTGAGTTCATTGTGTAATGTTCTTGACGGGTGCCCATGTTGACGGTGCTTGTGCTTGTGCTGGTGTGGGTATGTAGCTGGGTAGTAATGAGATGCTACTGCTCTTGCCGGTCATATTTATGCGTTGAGAGCGACTGCGCTAGAGTGTGTTCTGATCGAACGCTGTAGATGTGTCATAAGAGGTTTGTTGTGCCAGCGATGGGTTGGCACAGTGCAGATGAAGTGTTGGTTTTTGGCACATGATGTCTACACGTCATAGAAGTAAACGGCTGGAAAATCCCCTGACTCTATGACTCCCTGCGTCTATGTTCGTGACGGGCGTTTGGGGACATTGAACAAGCCACACCTATTAACAATCTGTCTAGAGTTCCACTAATCCTGCGATTTCGCTACATTACATCCCAGTCTGACTAAGTAAAACAAATACCCCCATCAATAACAATAGTCTGTCCCGTCATGTAATCACTATCCCCACTACACAGGAAGCTCACCGTATCACTAACATCCTCCGGCACACTCGTCCTCCCCAGCGCTATAACATCTTTGTATTTCTTAAACGTCTCACCCTTCTTTGCCCCCATCTTCTCACCCATTTTTTCATCAATCAGGTCCCACATGGCGGTTCCGACGATACCCGGTGCGTACGCATTTGCTGTGATCTTGTGCTCTGCCAGTTCCAAAGCGAAGCTGTGGGTCAGACCACGGACGGCCCATTTCGACGCACCGTAGTGACCGAGGAGGGCGGTGGGCTTGAAGGCTGCGACGGAGGCTGCACCGATGAGTTTGCCACCGGTGCCTTGGGAGATCATTTGCTTTGCGGCGGTGGTGTAGCAGTGGTAGACGCCGTATACTAGATGAGAGTCAGTGACTTGTTCTCAGACCGCGAAAGGGGGTAGCGCACGATTGATTTCGAACATGCGCTTCAAGTCCTCTTCTGTGACGTCTAGTAATGGTTTGACCTGAGCGATACCCGCATTCGCTACCATGGTGTTCAGCGGACCCAGTTCAGATACTGACGCCCTCACCATTGCCTGTACTTCGCTCAGTTTTGATACATCGGCTGTGTATGCGAAAGCTTTTCGGCCGAGACCTTGGATTTCTTTGACTACCTCGTCGGCGCTGGATTTGTTGGCTTCAATGTCGTTGATGCAGACATGGTAGCCGTCATTGGCGAGTCGAAGAGCAATGGCTTTACCGCTACTCAGATTTAGTGAGGGTGTTAATAATTCCAAGGATGAATATTTCTCACATCCCGCGTGCACTACCGGTTACAATTGCTGTTCTGTCTTTTTCTGCCGTCGAGGCGTAGTTACGCGTCCATCGAGGCGCTTGTATGACTATCCGTGGTATGTTGGTAAGCTTCGGCAAGGCACACACCAATGTTCTTGGAGTTATAAAGAGAGGCATATTGGACAATTATTAGATTCGTAGACTAAGATAACAATGGAGCTACGAGCGAAGCTATCATTCAAGTAGAGAATCAGTCGCAAAGGCAGCAAAAGTCGCATAGCTTCTTGACCACCGTCCGCTCATGTAGTTTACCCCGTATTCACTTCCCCACAGCACCGGATAACTCAAATGGGCTATCCGGGCCTGCGGAGATGGTAGCGCATGCGTCGACCCCTCTCGTAGCGTGGCCTGGGTCGGGTCGAAAGGCTCCGTTCACGACGGGTATGACGACAGTGCCTTCGAATGCGGCATGCATGAATCAACTTAAGCGGCATACTTCCGCATAGCCAATTGACGTATTGGGGTGGTCGAATGAAGGGATGGTTGATGGCAAGGGTGAAAGTAGGGTGAAGGTGCGGGGAACTTCGGGGGTGCCAAGAAAGTCTTCGCGAGTCTTCAGCCCGAATTGTGGAAAGCGCGTCGCATCAACAACAAAGGCACGTATTCTTTCACGAGGCCAATTGCACCATGTCTCGCCAAAGCATGGCGCCGCAGCGCAATCTGTCGCTCACGGAAGAATTAGAGAAGCTTGAGCAGTCCATCACCCTCACACTGCAAGGTAACAAAGCTGCCCAATGCCCCACCAACTGAACTGACCAGAGTAGAAATCGACCAGAACTTTAGTCGAGCACATCGCATCGTCACTACAGGCATCTTGCCAATAGTTGAACAATATGGAAAACACTCCGAGGCTGTTTGGGAAGGATCCAAGTTTTGGAAGCAGTTCTTCGAGGCAAGCGCAAACGTGTCACTCTCCGGATACGAAGCGCCCGACCAAGACGAGGAGTCGGGTGTGCAAGATGAAACTGAAGAGTCGCACACATACGAAGATGAGACATTAGAGGAAGAAGAGGATACTATGACTGGCGCAACGACAACACCACCTAGACCGTTATCTGTGCAGGAAGAGGAAGAAGATGAGTCGACAGTAGGGTTTGGCTCACCATCGCTTGGACATAGTACACCACGGCCTCCACCAACCCACAAAGGCAAAGACCTCGAAGATGAGGATAGTGAAGACGAGGTGGGACCTCAATTCGCAGGCATGTCTTCTCCGTACGAGATGCTGGCGTCAGAGTTTCGACCAAATTTGGGCGGCACCAAGACACCCAAGCTGGCTCCCGTCACGCCAGGCAAGTCGCAGGCGCTGCCAGATATGACTGGCTTTGGATCTTCGCCATTCATGCAGTCTACGGCAACAAAGTCTCATTTCAACCAAGATCCATTACTACATCGCGTTCTCGACAAGACCTACCGCGTGCAAGCTACACCTATCATTAGTCCCAGAAAGTATAAGCCTACCGGTGCTTTCACACCTCGCGCTGGACAGCGTGGTGCACCCACCCCGAAGACTGTAACCACCGGCCTCCCACCATGGGCTGAAGATTCTTCTCCGCCGTCGTCCCCAGCACCACAATTGCGTGCAGATATTTTCTCGCCAATGAAGGCACCGCGTACACCTGGTGTTAGCGTGCAGACACCTGCAAAAGGCAAGATGCCCATGAGCATTCAAAGAACTGGGACAATATTCGACGATGAAAGCGACGAGGATGAAGATGACTTGGACTTCAGCCCGCCCAAGACTATTCAGTTCCATATCCCGCAGAGCAAACTATTGCAGACGCCAGGTAAGCTCTTCAATTCCCAAATGTATAGCCACGCTAATGGATTCCAGCTCGTGAGGCTAGTAAGCGCATAGTAGACGATCTGCTTATGACGGCTGGCGGAGATATCACTGACAGCACAGGCGGCATGGACGAGGACAGTCCGAGTGTGGTAAGACGGCAGGTGGACCTCGACGACAGCTTCTAGACGGAGTGACGAGTGAGTCTCCACAGGTTCTCCAATCGATATTAGCGTGCGCCGGATAGCATGATACCCCACAAGACGTAGTAAATTTATACAGTACAAATCGACACGCGCCATATTGCATGTGATGATGCACCACGGTGGAGGGCACTAGAGCGAATTAGGCGCTAGCGCCGAGACCCATGCAGCCAACGACATAGCTGTAGCGTCATTTCCACGACGATTGCAGACACGTTCCAGGGACCGAAGACGACGACCGACCTCTATTCTTTCGCTTCGCAGGCGCCATAATGTCCAAGGCAAAGAGACCACCCACATCTGGCTATGCTCGAATAGCCCAAGCTGAGGAAGAGGAAGATTCCAGCAGCGACGTCGAGGGCGACCATCATCAGAACTCGCTCTCCAACTCACAGTATGCGCCAATACAGCCCCAGCGCAATGCAGGCATGCGTGTCAACGGCTCCGGCGCGAATTCTCCAAATCAAAAAGTTCTTTCGGGACGACGACAGCGTTCCAACTCGGGCGTCGACATCAAGGCCATCAACGCTAGGTTTGAGCGATGGGCCGACGAGATTGCACAAAAGTTCAAGATCAAAAAGCAAAAAGACTCGTCCGAAGATGATCCGCTCGAGATCCACCATTCCGTCTTCCACGCGCCGGATTGGCTGCGCCCGGCCACGGCAGAGTCACTCACGCTCGACTACGACGTCCCTTCGGATCGTATGACCAAACTCGAATTCGATGACATAGTCGAGAGCGTGCGAACGGCCATTGAAATGGAGGTGCATCCCAAGTTGATCACCCAGGGCAGTTCAGGCAGCTACTTTGCACGTAACACACAGGGGAAAGTGGTGGGTGTATTCAAGCCCAAGGACGAAGAGCCATACGCGTCAAGGAACCCCAAGTGGACCAAGTGGATACATCGAAACCTCTTCCCCTTCTTCTTCGGTCGCGCCTGCCTCATTCCCAACCTCAGCTACATCTCCGAAGCTGCCGCATACGTCCTCGATTGCCAGCTGCGCACAAACCTTGTCCCCTACACCGACGTCGTCGGCCTCTCGTCCAAATCGTTCCACTACGACTTCTGGGATAGGAGGGCATACTACAGGAAAAGGAAGCCATTTCCAGAGAAGCAGGGCAGCTTTCAGGTGTTCCTAAAGGGGTTCAAGGACGCCAACATCTTCCTCAAGGAAAACCCATGGCCCGACCAACACAACACCGGTTCAAGTGCGGATAGAGCGGCGCGGAAGAAGAAGCGGAGATGGGCCGAGGACTGTAGGCCGAGCGGGCCACAGTCAGATGGCGAAGATGACGACGAACAACAGGGCATGTCCGGCCAGAACGACCGACGGAGAGGCCTGTGGACACCGGCCTTGCAGCAGTCGTTCAGGGAGCAGCTGGAGAAGCTGGTCATTCTGGACTACATCATGCGAAATACAGATAGAGGCTTGGACAATTGGATGATCAAGATTGACCAGAAGACGCAGCAGGCCACCATTGTCGCAGAACCACCCAAGCTGAACGGAGACGTGGGTGAAGACAGTCAGCCAAGTGACTACACAAGACAATCGATGGAAGGTGTAGATCCATATGGGCGACGAGAACCCATGAGCACCGTCAGTCGGTCAAATACACCCATGCCGAGCGGGCCGACCCCTACCGTCACTATCGGTGCCATTGACAACAGTCTATCCTGGCCATGGAAGCACCCTGACGCCGTATGTGGTATCCCCCTTGATCAACATTCATCGCTAACACTGTCCTAGTGGCGCAGCTACCCGTTTGGCTGGCTCTTCCTGCCCGTCTCCCTCATTGGCCAGCCCTTCTCCGAAGCCACCCGCCGCCACTTCCTTCCCCTCCTCACTTCGAAACAATGGTGGAGCGACACACAAGCAGCACTGCGAGCTTGCTTCTCACAAGATGCAGACTTCAAGGAACGCATGTACGCGAAGCAAATCGCCGTCATGAAGGGACAAGCTTGGAACGTGGTGGAGACGCTGAAGACGCCTGATCTCGGCCCGCTCGAGCTCACCAGAAGAGCGCGTGTATGCGTGTGGGATGATATTGTGGAAATACCAATTGCGGTTCCACTCCGGGCACCGTCGGCAGAAATGCGTAGGAAGCAACAGCCAGGCAGACAACCCAGAGTGGACGAGGAGCATGAGGAAATGGACATTACGGCTTTGTCGACACCTCCGCAGAAGCCACAGCAAGACCTTCTTATGAACTCACCTCCTCTAGAGACTGCACACGAGAACCGTTTCAATCTCACACGCGGTCCCTCACTTCTCGATGTACGACGAGCTGACCGTACCCCCGTTTCTCCAGCAACCGTAAGTGATGTAGGCTGGGGCTCGCGGAAGATGTATTCACAGGCGGATGATCGGCCTGCACATCACGCGCGCATGAGCTATGACACGCCTCGCCGCAACGTCAGAGATTCACGACACAGACGGCTGTCACTGACACATAGGGGAGACATTGATGACTATGGTTTCGACGACGACGGCGATCTGGGATACGCCGCCAACGAAGACAATGAAGGAAACAGGAAAAAGGTCATTGTAGAGCGCTTGGAGATGGTCAAAGGGAAGAATCCCGTGTTCACATGGTGTTGAATATAGTAACTTTCTTTGGCAATGGACTTAATCGGGCGAGGTCATGGTTGCATGAAAGGCGTCTTGATGTTGTACATATAGTTGTGGAATGCGGGCAATCTACTGGTGCGACCGCGATGCACAATTGACGTCGCGCGACCCCCACGCTATCAGATGATGGCATCCCTTTGCATTACCGCGTTCCCATCTGATGAACATGTTGAATTGAACAAACTTGATGCGAGATGGGACAGCACGACTGAGACAAGAGACTAGACCCGCACGGCGTATTTTGCGTGATTTTATCACAGAACGCATTACTCAACAGTAATGTTCACCGTATAGGTGCTTCTTCCGTGATGCGAGTGTTTGATGTTTGCTGCAATGAGGGAAACACTGACGAGTCCATCTCAGATATGTGGGGACCGGCGAATGAACGGCACGGAAGGTGGAGAGGCGCGCGGCCATGAGACATGGCCATAGAGCCCTCGAACGGCGCCTCAACACCATGTAAACTAGATGCAAGACCAACATGGCACAGATAACAATGCGGATCCGGAAGTGTCCTTTGTAGCAGGGGTCTGCTATCGCATCGAGTGGCAAAGGATCCACGGCGTCGTCTCCGGCGGCGGGACCGTCAGAATCAACAGGGTCATCTGACGAACCCGAACACACCCAAGCTAGCCCCTTTCAGCCGCACACGGTGACTTCTCACAGCCATGATGAAAGGCAACAGCGCATTCACTCCAGACGCACGATACGGACGACCCTTCTTTCAACACCTCGATTGCATATTGTCTCTTAATGCCCAACGCTGCCCCACAGCTGTGCCGCCGAATACGATCGCTGCCTCTACTTATCTGTCCTTCATTCTGGTACTAAGCGACTACCTGTCGCCCCATCATTGCGGACCGGTACATCTTGCGCTTTTGAGTCAATCGCAGCAAGAGCCAGGAATCTGCACCTTCAGACGGCTCCGGAATCGCATCATCTACGACTTTTTGCGGGTGCGACGAATACGGCGGCTTGGCACCAGACTTCAGATGCGCAGCGCGGGTCGGGTTCGAGGTGCTGCACGTAAAGCTGGAAGGCCTCTCACCTGAGCGTTGGGAAGTAAGAGAAATTGAATCTGGCCTGCTCTTCACAGTTGGTGACCATGAATCCCGGTCTCTTTCTTGGCCAGCGGAGGGCACAGCGGACAGGTATATCTCCCTCACCTTCAACTCCCTTACTTCTTGACCACACTTTCCCTTCTGTCTCTTCTCGACAACTTTCAAATCTTGCAACTCTCCAAGCATCTCGCAATTATTCATCAAGTGCAAACAACAAGATGCAGCCGTCGCAGTTGAACGTGGACATGACTGATAACGCGTCCTCGGACGTAATATCAGACTCAGACGAACTAGTCGTGCATGGGTCTGCAGGCTCCCAGAATGACGTTGCCATATCCAATTTCGTCGAACCTCTTTCCCTTGAGTCGTTGCCTGAGGTTCCGTTCAAACGCAGTCTCCCAGAGCTAACCGAGCACGTGCCAGGCGACAATGCAACACCCCACAACAGCAGCCAGGCACCACCTGCACCTCAAATCCCGCAATTCGATCCGAGATCACTACTTAATCCAAGATCGTCCAGTGCTAAGCGGCCTGCCTCTTCTGGTGGAGAATCCGATCACGGGCGCACTGATCCCACTATCACCAACCAAGTATCACTAGTCGAGCGACTGCACAACGTCCAAGAGCGCGCCGCAACACCCGTCAAACGTGTGAAGACAGACGATCCACGCAATTCTAAAAGCAACCGGTCAAGTGCCAATGTTGGAAGTACGCTTGACCTTCAGAACAAAAACGGACAGTCCTCAAGCCCTCACCCTCAGCAAGGACCGGCGATCGATCTGACAATGAGTAAGTTTCCGCATCATCAACATGATGACAACCTAACAATTTCAGGTGACGACGAAGATGACGTTCAAGTCATTGGTGACAACGGAAACGACGACGTGTGCATCGGTAAGCTCAAGCAGACTTACATCCAGGCGCATCTGGTCCCGTTTCCGGATCCCAAGAAATTCGCCGGCAACCATGGCGGACAGAGCCGGATCAAGGTCTCCTTTCGCAGGGGCGGCGGTAACAAGGGAAACCAAATTATCATGGTGCTTGATGGCGCGAGCAAAGAGTTTGGCAAGGTTGACATGAAGACGGCCCAAGGTCTTGCCCCTCTTGTCGACAGCTCAAACGCCAGCGGATTAAAGTGGATAGCTTGGACTGAGCCTCGCCGAAAGCTACCCAACGAAGGCCCACCTGGAACTCCAATCTCTGCCCTCATCAGCATGACCCTGCAGCTATACTGTCCTCGCAAGAACGCCGACAACATTGGTAGGTTTTTGAAGAGCAGGAACCTGATCCTCGAGGCCCCCGTATTCGAGCTCGCACGACACGACTACTACAATCCCCAGACCAAGCAGTCGTTCCAGAGGAGCCAAGTCGGGCAGCCTGACTTTCAACCCTCCGGCCAGTACGCCGTTGGCGCACCGACACACAACTACGTCATTCGTAGCGCTGACGAGATTCGCGCTGAGATGGACGATGTCTTTGACAAGGTGATAAGCACATCGAAAGAAGTGCCGATGCGAGAGCCCTCACCACTCATCACTACGGAGCTGTATCCCCATCAGAAGCAGGCGCTTCACTTCATGGTTGAACACGAGCAAGAGACCATTGGAGACGATGTTGAAGACCCTCTATGGAAGCCTCATTTTGACAACAATGGCCGCCAATCATATGTACATCGCATCACAGGTAGCAAAGTGGCGAAGATCCAGCGGAATCTGGGTGGTATACTGGCTGACGAGATGGGTCTTGGCAAGACGCTCAGCATACTGTCGCTGATATGCGACAACGCCTCGATTGCTGCTGCACAACAATTTTGCCAAAAGAAGCCCCCGCCTCGACCAGTCCCCGCAATGCTGCAGGCTACTATCAATAGTCGAGCGACTCTCCTCGTATGTCCTCTCAGCACGATGACCAACTGGAAAGAACAAATTAAGGAGCACTTTCCGATGGGCAAGAGCACGTTGAAGTGGACGCGGTATCATGGATCGGAGCGCTTTAGCATGACGCCCGAAATGCTTGCGAATCACGACATTATCCTTACCACCTATCACATTATTGCCAAGGATCTAATGGATAAGAAGCGGCCACTTCCGTACATCAACTGGTTCCGCATCGTGTTGGATGAAGCACACACAATCCGTAATGCAACCAACCAGTCCAGAGCTGCGTGTATGATGATGGGTCAGCGACGCTGGGCGGTCACTGGAACACCTGTTCAGAACCGTCTGGAGGATCTTGGTGCACTGTTCAATTTCATCAAATTGACGCCTTTCGATAACAGCCAAGGCTTCAATCAATATATTCTCCAACCTTTCAAGAACGCCGATCCAATGGTTGTAGACAAGTTACAGCTACTCGTCGGCGCTGTTACCATTCGCCGTACCAAGGAGATCATCAAGGAAGAGATCCCGAAGAAGATGGATTACGTCGTCAGGTTGAAGTTCTCTAAGGACGAGCAACAGCTTCATGACTGGTTCGAGAAGGATACCCAGCGCAAGGTGCTTGCAGTTACTCAGGGCGACAAGATTGGTGGACAGTCATATGCTCGTATCTTGACTGCCATTCTCAATCTGCGCCTCATCTGCGCTCATGGCCGTGACCTGCTTAGCGAGCAAGCCTTGAAGACCACTGACGGCATGACGTATGAACAGCCAATGCAGCTGGAAGAAGATGAGCAAGAGACACCGCAGCTCACACGCCACCAAGCTTACGAGATGCTCAACCTTCTCCAATCAACCTCCGCGGATGACTGCCACTACTGCGACGGAAAGAAGTCTTTGTTAGACCCTGACTCTGCCGACGAGGATGAAGAGGGCAATGTGCCAGATACCATCGGCTACATGACCACGTGCTACAACCTAGTATGCCCTCGTCATCTTAAGACGCTACGAGAGGAATGGAAGAAGACACTACAACCAGATGGCTTGGCACAATGCCCTATTTGCGATGACGTGAATCGCCCAACTGCTCTCGAGTTAAAGCGCGCAGATTTCTATAGTTTTCTTGAGGAACAAGACAAGATTCGTAAAGACCCTAAGCTAGCAAAGAAACTGGGTAGCTACACGGGTCCGCACACAAAGACAAAAGCTCTTCTCGATGATCTAGAGGAGTTTAGGAATTGGAGTGACCAGCATCCAGACGAGCGACCCATCAAGAGGTATGTATCTTCTTTAATTTAGCCTTATTAACACTATCTAACCACACTACAGCATCGTCTTCTCTTCCTGGACGACGCATCTCGACCTGATCGAGATAGCGCTCAAGAATGCTGGTCACACTCTCGTCCGCCTCGACGGCCGCATGACGCGCGAAAACCGCGACAAATCCATGCAGGCCCTTCGCGAAGACCCATCGATTCGCGTCATGCTCGTATCCATCGGCGCCGGCGGTCTCGGTCTCAACCTCACCACCGCGAATAAGGTCTTCATGATGGAGCCTCAATTCAACCCTGCCGCCGAGGCACAGGCCGTGGATCGTGTCCATCGGCTCGGTCAGGACAGGGAGGTTACAATCAAGAGGTTCATCATGGAGGGCAGTTTCGAAGAGAAGATGCTTGAACTGCAGAACAAGAAGAGGGATTTGGCCGACATGACAATGTCCAAGGAGCGAAAGAGTAAGCAGGAGAGTACGAGGCAGAAGATGGAGCACCTCAGAAGTTTGTTTAAATAGTTATTGGCAAATAGGGAAGAGGACGAAAAGTTGGATGAGGTGTCTCAAGATGTGGTACGGGAGGGAGGGCGGCGAGTTTTGATTTCTTTTTCTTTCCATCTTTGCTGGCGTCTCTCGGTCGTGGAGATTGAGGTTTTTATCATCATGCTGGGGCTTGGTATGGCATTTTGATACGGCATTATTACCTAATTAGGTATCCTTTGCTTGAACAGCAGTAGTTAGCGTAGAAGTTATGTGACGAGTAATGTTTGAACATGTCATTTGTAATTTGCTTCTTGTGGCATCTCGATGTCATAAAATACTTGACATACCAGTGTAAAATGGCCACTGTAGTCGCCAGACACGTCTATCAGGTGCTTACCAACACTGCGTCCAGTATTCTACAACGCCCAGGTGGTGCCCAAGTGGTTTCGATCGGGTGTTTTGATGGCTATACCCAATCAGGTTTGGTGGAGTGATTATGTCATCACTGGCCAGGGTAGTCCCTGGTCTGTTGATTAATAGACACTGCTTCCGGGCCAATCTGAATCATCTACAAAAACATTTCATCACCTAATCTCTTCGGAGATCTCCCATTGCTACTACCACTACTACTGGATCGCCATCTTCTGCCCATATCTCGCCGCCAAGATGGCGAGCGGCATCGATCAGACATCATGAAGTTTGAGGCATACAAGCGGTACAAGGAAGACACGGACTACATAACCGCATGGCTTGCAACGAATGCACACAAGTGTGGGTACAAGGTCTTGTCTGTAAGTCAGGATAACGGACCTACAAATACGGAAGGAACATGGAATGGTGGATCCAGCGACAAAGGCAAGAAAGATGTGGAGAATCTCAAGGAAAGAGCAGCTGCCATTGCTCCTAAAGCGCTGGGTTCCTGATTATCGACGTAGTACGTGCGAAGCAAGGATTTGATCGCCATTGTGAACGGTCTGTAGGGACTGTATTCCAGCTACCTAGTCCAGATGCTATTTACAGTCAAGATGAAGAAAGAAGGTAAGACGCAAGCGGCGAGCCTGCTTTGTTTGGGTTGGCGCACGGCCCTCACGTTGCCGGGGAAGCGACTAGGCTAGCAGCCTAGTCATGTGACTCGAGGCTCAGCCCGTTACATTACCCCCCTCCTTTCCCTTTAGCGCGTAGTTTTCTCCATTTCCTCCAAGCGTCAGTCTTTAGTACGTTACTCACAGGTTCCCATGTCGGTTCAGTATAGTCCACCCACTTCACATATGCCTCCTTGATTCCTTTCCCTCCTTGCCCTATTGTCCGTTCGCCCAGAATACGCTCAACCAGCCATAACTCGTCTCCATCTATAAGTATAGGCCCTGGCTGAGTGTCTCCAACTTTCTGCGATGGGAAAGAGTCGTCAGGCGCGTAGCGAAGCAGGTCTACGTGAAAGACAGGATGGATTTTTCCCGGAACGTCAAGCTTATAAGAGTGGGAGTTGACCTGCTTCAAGACTTTATACTTTCCATGCAACCAGTCTAGCTTCTTGGAAGGTCGTGTTGTCTTCACGTTTCTAAGGTTCAAAAACACCCAGTCTCCCTCCTTGTATTGGGGCGCTGCTGTTCTTGTCTTGTTAGCTTGATGTTGCTGTTTCTCTTGTGTTATCGCGATCGCAGCTTGGGCCCACTCTGTTGCGTCTTGGAGTCTTTTAAGGAAGCCTTCTGCCAGTGCTTCGCCGTCTCTCTTTGGTCGGTCCTGAATAGTTCGATCCTCTACCAGCTGAATGGGTTCATTGTGATATCCGTGCATAAAATAGAAGGGGCTTAGGCCAGTAGATGAGGCCTCGCGATTGTTGATTGCTCCCATAACGATAGGTAAAAGTGCTAGCCAATTTTCTTGCGTGTAGGTGGCCCAGATTCGAATCATCTTCTCAATCTCTTGGTTCATTCGCTCTGTTGCACCATCGGTTTGCGGATGATAGGCAGTCGACAGGCGTTGCTCAACGCTGAGGAGTTTACAGAAATGCCTCCAAAGATCGCTGACGAATTGTGGTCCTCTATCGCTCGTAATTGCCGTTGGAATACCATGAATAGGGTAATGCCGTTCTAAAAGCCGTTGTGCTACTGCTTCTGCCGAGATATCGTGCATGCCTTCCAGTTCAACTCCCTTTGTCAGCCGATCAGTGACCACCATGCAGTTCGTTGCGTCATCGCGTCCAGATGGCGGCAAGTCCGTAATAAAATCGATTGAAAGTTCTCCCCATATACGTTCTGGGATCGGTAGCGGTTTAAGGAGGCCCTTCTTTGTCTCTCTCCATATCGTATTCCTCCCGCAAATCTCGCAGTTACGGACAAAGCGTCGCACGTCGCTTGCTACACCTGACCAGAAGAACTGCCTTGATAAGATTGAGTAGGTAAGATCTCGTCCAGGATGGCCGGTGATATGCGAGTCGTGAATATTTTGAATAATTCGTGTGCGAAGTGGTTCGCAGTCAGGGATCCATATCCGGTCTCGAAATCGCAACAGGCCTCTCTCGTCTAGGGTGCATTCTGCTATACTCACTGACTTCTCCTTCTGAAGTTTGGTAGGGAGGTTCCGCTCCTTGTTTGCTACCAGCGTAGTGAGCTCCTGATAAAGCTTATCCTCTTGGCGGCTTCGGTGCCAGAGATTTTGCATGTCCTGGTCCTCAAACATGCGTATCTCTTCTGTGAAGTCAATCTCCTCGGACGACAGGGACTGGATTTGAACACTCTGCAAGTGCTTGCTCTGGAAAAGACGGATAAATCGAGACCGTATTCGTTCATCGTCGTAGTTGGCGGGTAGGTCTTGTTCTCGTCGTGACAGGGCGTCAGGTTTTCCCATAGTCTTTCCAGGTTTCCATTCCAGGGAGAAGTCGAATCGTGAGAGAAACTCTGACCAACGTACTTGTCTTTCAGACAGCTGTCGTTCGCGGTAGAAGTATTGAAGGTTCTTGTGGTCCGTCAGAACTGTGAACTTCCTAACCATACGTAGTTCAGGAGCCCATGCTTCTAAGCAACGAACAATAGCTAGAAGCTCCTTGTCATGAATTGGATAATTGGCCTCTGTTGGTGAGTGCTTCTTTGAGTAGTAGGCAACGGGTTGCCAGTTGTTGTTCTTGTCCTTCTGCAGCAATAGGCCGCCAGTTGCATGTCCTGAGGAGTCGGCTTCTACCAAGGTGTCCTTCTCTGGATCAAAATGGCCGAGTATTGGTGCTGTAATGAGAAGTTCCTTAATCGTTTCAAATGCTTGATTGCAAGCCTCGTCCCAATGAAAAACCATCTCTTTCTTAGTTAGGTTGATAAGCGGTTCAGCAATGTCCGAGAAGTTTGGTATAAAAACTCGGTAAAAGTTGGCAAAACCAATAAATGCTCGGATAGCCTTAACTGACGTTGGTGTAGCCCATTCGCGGATTGCGATAATCTTTTCAGGATCAACTCGAATGCCCACTTCTGCTTCCACAATGTACCCGAGGTATTTGACTCGTTTAGTCTCGAACTCGCACTTGTCGATATCAATCTGCAGTCCAGCGTCTATAAGGCGTTGAAGAACCTTTCCAACCTTCTCTCTGTGATCCTGAAGCGATCCTGACGAGTAGATTAAGATGTCGTCAACGTAGGCTGAAACAAAGTCGTCAAGGTAATCCTGTAGAACACCATTTACGTAGCGTTGAAATGCGGCTGGTGCTCCTGTTAGTCCGAAGGGAGCAACCCGCCATTCGAATAGGCCGTATCTTGTTCGGAAAGCTGTCTTCCATTCTTCTCCTTTGGCCACACGGATCTTGTGGAAGGCTGCGATAACGTCAAGTTTTGTGAACCATTTAGCTTTAGCTACATTTCTCAGTGTTTCTGTGAATAGAGGCAGAGGGTAACGGTCCTTCCTGGTGATGTTGTTCAAGCCTCGGTAGTCAACGCAAAATCGGATGCCCCCTCCTGGCTTTTTGACCATCAGGACGGGTGCAGCTGCGGGAGAGTTACTTGCGCGGATAAAATCCTTGTCTAACAGCTCGGTGAGAGTTTTCCTAAGCACTAGTAACTCTTCTCGGCTCATGCCGTAGAGCGGACCCCATGGAATGGTCTTCTCGTTTCCGTCTTGATCCTTTTCAATCTCAATGTGGAGATCAACGCCTTTACGATGTGGGGGAAGTTTCTCAGCTAGGAAATGGTCGAAAGCCTTCAGCCATTGGTGGTACTGGGGTGGGAGCTTCGTCTTTGGATCGGATCGTTTGCGCGGTTTCAAAGCTTTCTCAATGTCGGCGATGGAAACAGCGAACAGTCCAGTGTCGAGCGCAATACCGTCTCCTTTGTTCTTCCTACGGCTTCTTCTCACCTCCGCCATGAATGCGGAAGCCATCACCTGAGTAGCCTTCATTAGTGGTGGCTTGTATGACGCTTTCTTGTGGTTCCATGCGCGGATGTTTGACGCGCCGATATCTAGGCAGCCTTGTTTGGCCGAAATTGTGACGTCGGCATCTTCTAACCAGGGCTTTCCTAGGATCACGTCGTAAGTTAGGCCAGGTACAACGTAGAAGAAGACGCGTTTCTGCTGGTGGCCGTCTATGTCTATCGAGGCGTAAGTAACTGTATCTAGGACAGTACTTGGTTCTGCGTTCTTCCCAGCTGCTTCCTCTAGCTGGCGCGGGGCTATCTTGATTGATGGCAGTCTCAGAGATCGAAAGAGTTGTTCATTAATGGCAGAATAGCAAAGGCAACCTGAGTCAACAAGTCCAGTGACAAAGTCAGTTCCATTAAGTCTAACGTCCAGTACAAAGGGATCGCTATCCATCTTTTGCTTTCCGGTCTCTTTCCATTCTTTCTGAGCTGCCGCGTGTTCCTATTGCTCTGCTTCGGAGTCTTCTGGATCTTCCTCCTCTACAGCTGCCTTGGTGACCACAGTACTCTTTGCTGTCTTGACGCTAACGTGAGTTGGTCGTAGAGCGGCTGCTAACGGGCATGTAGCTATTCGGCAATTGTTGCGGCCGCATCGGAGGCAGCGTCGTTCCTGGCGTCGAGCATCGATTTCCTCTTGGTTGACCCATTTTGCTCGTTTTCCAATAAGTTCTCGGTCTTCGGGACGCCTAGATGGATATCCATTCATGTTGGTCTTGCCGCGGAGGCCGACAGCGTTCACTTGGGTAGTTGTAGGCTGCGTAGGTTCCCATTCCATCATGTCTTCGGGGGAAACTGCTGTGAGCGTGGCATTATTTGATTTTGCTGGTGGTTCATAGGTTGGTGCATTTTCAGCAGTTCGGCTACCGTAACGGCGGGTTGTTTTCGTCCATTGGCCGAACAACTCCATGTCGTTGCTAAGATCTGCACACTTCTGAGCGAACCTTGCGTATGTGCTTGTTTCTGCTCCTGATGTACCAACAAGCCTATCCTTTATCCTACCACTTAATGCATTGCGTAAGTAGGATATCTTCGTATGCTCAGGCCAGCTTTCTGCGTCAGCGTTGGCCATCTCTTTCTCAAACCGTGGATAGAAGGAAATAAACGTCTCGTCGTCCTTCTGGCGTATAGAGTAGAGGTTCTGAATGGCTTTCTCCTTCCGATTTCGTTCGCCGTAGAGGAGTTCAAGGCGGTCAAGCAGCTTGAAAGGGTTTGGCGATTCTTCTTTAACTTGTATCTCGTAGTATGTTGTAACGTTGGTTTTCGCTGCCCCATCAAGACGCATGTAGACGTAGCGTAGCTGAGCTTTTAGGCTTCCAATAGCTTGCGCGTCTTCTTCGATCTTGCCCTCCATCTCTAGCTTCCATCCTCGCCATTGTGATTTGTTTCCACCAAACGTAGGCGGGTGGGGTAAGCTGTGCCGCGGCTTTGGGGTTATAGGCACAGATGTGTTCGAAGTCTCGGAGGTTGGCGTTGGATCAGTGGTGGCGTCTGTATTGTGACCAGGCGTTTGAGGTAGCTCGTGCGATGGTGCTTCCAGCCTCTCCATCCTAGTGCTCATGTCTTCAAGTCTCTGTAGTAGCGACTGTAACAGCTGGTTCGAATCGTTCGTCGTCATGTCAGTATCCCCGGGGGAGCTCATTATAGCGGTGCTTTGGTTGCTGCGTGTTCTGCGTGTTCTGCGTATTCTGCGTATTCTGCGTATTCTGCGTGTTCTGCGTGTTCTGCGTGTTCTGCGTATTCTGCGTGTTCTTCTTGATCTTGACTGTATGTGAACGGTCTGTAGGGACTGTATTCCAGCTACCTAGTCCAGATGCTATTTACAGTCAAGATGAAGAAAGAAGGTAAGACGCAAGCGGCGAGCCTGCTTTGTTTGGGTTGGCGCACGGCCCTCACGTTGCCGGGGAAGCGACTAGGCTAGCAGCCTAGTCATGTGACTCGAGGCTCAGCCCGTTACAGCCATGGCGAAGGCTGTCATCAAAGTGGGAACCGTGGAAGTTCCTGACTTTTTGTGTGATATGACCAAACGAGCTTGCAAGAATAGAGCTGGTTGGAGTCTCGCTCTACACGCAATGCAGTTCGATGACGAGGGTGAACTGATGGATATTCTCCTGGAGGTACACACACTGTTACATGACGCTACATTCCATGAACACGATGCAAAATCCGGTCCTATAAGTCAGGAAAGATCTCCAATCGACGCGTCTGGAATTGTTAGCGGTATTGATGGACTCTCCTTGCAATCGGCAGACCAACAGTCCTCCACGATTTTCCAGCGCCCTCATGTCCAGCCTGTCATATTCGACAGAGGAGATGAAGAGTTTCACACAGAATTTTCGCTTGGCTTGTCCCTATTCTTTTGGGACCTGATGGCACGTCGCGACATTGTGAAGAACTTCTGGAGAAGATACCCTGACTTGTACGAAACGACAATTCCCGGGGTAGTCACAGATGTGTTTATTGGCCAGGTCCGTGCTCTGGAGCGAGACTTTGAAGACACCATGGTATGGCCATTCAAGTTTCCAAAGGCACAGTATCCTACCCCGCTTCTCCCCGCTCTGTTCTGTGCGAGGTTTGAGAGAACAGCTCATAACGTTCGCGAGAAAGCCAAAGATGTTTTATACAATGAGATCAAGACTAAGCCTTTTGATCACACTGCGGCATTGGGACCACACTGCAAGGTCGCACTTCTCGCGCAACATACTGCCTGCCAATACTATCGCAAACAGACTCAACACTTGAGCAACGCAGAGCTGATTGATGTTGGGATCACGAGTTTTGAGCATGATCAAAGATATTATTTTGACATGGTCGGCGCTCTAAAGTTACTACAGTCGGGTCGGTGTGTTCTAGCCTCCTCTATTAGCCCTTTCGGCGAAGATGAGTTAACAAAGGCCATATCAGAGTTTCAGAAAACGGGCCATGCCCCGATTTGGATGCTGCTCGGTCTAGCCGTGCAGTCTGATGCCAGCCTAGTCGTGGCAGAAACGACAATTGATAGAGCGGATAATAAATTGGATACGCCTAGGATCATGGACGGTCTCGAGGACACTATCACAAGTTTCTCCAAGACTATTGCCGAGATTGAGAAAGCTAAAGAGCCATTTCCTCGAGGCGAAGCAGAGAAGAAATGCTACGAAGATCTTGGCATTTTACAAGAAAGGCTGAGAGAATGGGTCATCGAGGATAAAGTTGAGAAATGGACTCGCGGGATGTCATGATGCGAATGCAAATATGTCAAAAGCTCTATCACTGGGAGATATGACAATTGGTATCTGGCAGAAAATCCCGCCCGAGCTGCTGTACTCCAGTATACGGCGACAATGCAGATGAACCACATAGGCCAGCGTATCGAGGAACACAGTCGTTACATGTTCATCATGGCACATCTTTACAAGGCCTATCACCTGAAAAATCCGGCGATGCCCACCTGGCCCGACATGGAAATCATCATTCATCGACAAGGCGCCGACCGTCTTTTCGGTGGTGAGGCACCCAACAGTCTCAATAATGCCTTTCAGAAACTTCTCCAGGCATGCGGTTACCCGGCCATGAGCTACAATGAATATCAGAAACTCCGAGGCGATGCCGATAAAGCGAGCGGAGATACAAAACAAGTACGTCGACTCGAAGACCTCAGTCCACTTTCCAAACACGGATTCTATACACAGGAATCCAGGACAACAGATTCACCAGATAAACTTCAATCGGACCTTTTTATAACCCTCCAAGCACCAGATTTACGTGAGCAACTGACAAAACTGTGTCTCTTCCGCCCAGGTCAAACATCTGCAAATCTCGCTGTTTGGCAAGATGAGTGGAGTACAACCGAACAAGACGGAAGAAGTGAATGGCTTGGAAACATTGCTTGTCTGGATACATGGATGCGAGCGGATTCACTCAAGGTAAACTTTGATATCTTCGCCGTCCATTCTGTCTGCGCTAAGATCTGGACCGCGACACTCACAACGCTCAAATCAAGCCCAAACTACACATTCCCGGCATCCATCGACCTCGAAAACAATCCCCTCTCGCATCAAGCTCTTGCATTAGACATCCTAGGCAAAGCATCCACAGGCGACACGGCAGCTCTCGGCATCTTAGCCGAAGCGATTGAAAACATTATCCTCGAGCCGTGTACGCCGTCAAAGCAGCATTCGCGTAAGGTGTGGAATGGCGACCGCAGTCTCGCTGCTGCTATTATCCAGGGCGCTAAACAAGGAATACAGTATCCGGTTGGCTTTTAGGCTAATGATGGGGAGCTTGTGAAGGGCTTTTATATAGGGTGGATCAGGAGTCGGCTTGCGAAGGGGTTAGTGCCCGCGACGGTTAAGGCATGGGTTGAGTGGGAAGAGAGTGGTCGTAGGAATGGGTTGGATGGGCTCAGGTTGTGGACGCTTAAACAGGCTTGGTAGGGGCTTGTTTGGTGACTTTGGATGGTTACAGAGAGGAGTCAAATTCGCGGTAGTAAGACTAGCTTTACTCTGGTGAGAATTTTGATAGTGGGAGTATAGGAGTTATGGGACTATTAATTGGGACGCGTTGGGTGATGGAGTAGAACTCTTGGTTCTCTCAATAGGTACTCCGCTATCATGCGCCTTCCCGCCCCCAACGTTCTTTCATCATCCTTGCTGCCATCTGCTCGGGTGAGTATGGACGTCTCTTACCTCAGCATGCAATGTTGGCAGGGACGACGTCACAAGCAGCTGGCCTCTTCCCCACTGCACCATGTAAACATCAACTCCCATTTATTCGTTATTCCCACCGTGCTCACGATCTTCAGCACAGCTCATAGCACATTACAGTATCGCTACCTACCCAAAGGAACAGATTTACCAACTATCGCTTGCACACCAGCATTACTGCCAGAGCATAAGTGAGACACAACAACACTGCAAGCCAAACTACAGCTAACGTTACAGGCATTCATTTCTCTCAGCTCTAAAAGCCGTCGAACTTCTGGGTGCAGTTCGTCTTGAGTGCTCCTCGGCGTCAGTAATTCATGTCGTCTCCACCGAGAAGGAAGAAGTTGGTATTCCCACGGTTTCCAGAAGATGGTCCCAACGCGGATTTGTACTCGTACGATTATCCGCCGTTGCCTGCGGCGGCGGGGACGCAAAATGCGCTAGAGAGTGATTTCAATGCTCATCAGGATTCCCCGGCAGCAGACGAATCGCCTACTTCGAGCACCGAAACTAGTTCCAGTGAATGGACTGACGATGACGCCATCGCAACCACCTCCGAAGTCCCAAGACGCCGTCGAAGTAGTCCTCCGCCGGGCATGGAGCTAGATTTTTCACTCGAAGAAGAAGAGACCGGAATACCTGTCATTATCATACCAGTATCACGACCATCCACATGCCCAGAGCCTATACCTTTACCCGCACCCATCTACGGACCTGTCCAACGCTCCTCATCGCGTAACAGAGAGCAACGGAATCCCCCACGAGAGGCACTACTACTAGTTCTCCCACGACGAGGACGGGACTCGTATCCTAACGTTCTAGCCAAAGAACGACGCGGCGTAACGCCAACGCGACCAGTGCAATTCCCCTGGCAATCCCGGGTCCCATACACCGGTCGCATAGTCCGCGAAAGAAGCAGACAAAGAACAGATTCCATGTCACCTCCTCCTCCCGCCACAAGAAAAAGCGAAGAACGACATCCCAGCGGCACTTCGTCAGAACCGCTCACACGCTCATACCGCGACGTTTACAAAAGTGTTTTAGCACAGGAACGTGGTATAGCGGATATGATGGCAACGCCATCTCGATCCAGATCTTGTGGCATGATGAGACTGCTCAGTCCATCGCCCAGTGCCCGCGTGAAACAACGCAGTCACTCGCCCAGCTCCTCCTCACGCACAACTGAATCAACGATAAGGGTGAGAAGATTTAGTAGCCCGCCGCCCATACATCCACGACTCCGGTACATTCGTCTTGAAAGTGGTGTTAGAGCCCGACCTCGCGGCCGTCGTGCAGACCCCGGTGGTCTGGAGAGAGAGAGGCGTCGTGCTCACAGACCGGAGTGCCTGGGTACAGGGGGACCTGGACCGTCTGGTGCGTGGAACACGTTCCTGGATGCTACCGATGTGTTGGCAGTTGTGATTGTTGCGTCGATGATTTGGAAGCGTGTGGTAGGCTGACTTTATAAGCAGGAGGGGAAACGACAAGTGATGAGGCGAGGAAGAAGGGTACGAGGTTTATCCACGATGATGACTGTGGTACAGGGGCTGTTTTTCCGTTTCCAAGAGTTGTGGGGCGTGCGTTGCAGATGTGATTCGTAGGGTTCTGGTTTGGGGTTGGGGGAGATGGGGGTTTGTGAAGAGGTGGTTAGGATAGGAATGCGGAAGGTTGGACTTTTTGTGTACAAAGAAGCTTTTGAGTGGAGTTTATATGTGAGAATTGGAGGCTCTTGGTGGATAATTCAGGTTAAATTACATCAAAGAGTGATGGAAGGTGTAAAGTGTTACTGAAGTGTGAGGTTAGCTTTATTGTTGCGGTTTGTGAGGCAAGGGTATTGCGCATGTCACGTGTGTTGTCCTAGCGCTCCTCCCTCCCCTCCATGAGCACCTTCTCCCCTTACCAGCATCAGAGATACGTCATGTAAATAGACCCTGATTATGGCTACATATAAGGTGGCCATGACAGTACAACAACAGACAGAACACAGAATACACTGATGACTGCCTCGCGCGGACACACTTTGATTGACTGGATATACTCCAACATTTATCGTGCAGTATGATGAAGAAACACATCAGATACAATTGGCAATTATCACATACCCAACAACCCAATCATCTCAATTCACGTCTGCAACAGAACTGCACTCAGTAATTGTCATGAATTTGTGAAAGAACAAATGAAATGCATAACATGTTTCATACGGTAAGCGAGTCGTCAATACAAGCGAGTCGTCAATAACGTGTCTGTGCGCGTGATGCCCATAATCGCGTGCCGCACACCCCACCAATATCGCGACGACGGCAAAGTTGAGGCTGCGCAGCCACGTACAATAACTATTATCGCGAGATTTTCCGGTGTATTGATCTATAGACGTAGCTCTACAACTTTGTCTATCTATATTTTGCCGGAGTATTGACGGCCCGGCCGCGTCGGGTGGTTGTTGGTGGGGGAGCCGGTGCAGCCACCTCAGCCAGAGTACCACCGCCAGCACCACCCACGCGTCGTTTTTTTGGCTGTTGCTTTGCAGCGGGCTTTGAAGCCTTACGCTTGCCCGACTAGGGTTGTTGTATAGCCTTTGCAGCGTCGCGATCGCGTCGTTTGGCGTCAAGTTCGGCAGCCTTTACAGCCTTGGCTTCATCCCGCACCTTCTTTGCCTCCTCACGCGCCGCCCGCGCTGCCTCTTTGATCTTAAGTTGATAGATCCTGTTGTTCTCCTTTGCCTCTTTCAACTCTATCTTATCAAGTAGCTCTTTCTCCTTCTCCTTCTCCTTCACTAGCTGCCTAAAGCGGGCCTCTCGAAGCTTGCACGGCGACCACTAAACTGCCCCTGAATAGAACGCTTTTCGCTGCTGTAGATCTAGGGGAGGTTCGTGCCGATTGCGGGGCTTCTGGTGAACGTGTAGCGCCGCGCGCAGTGCGTCCTTCTCGTACTCGGCGATCTCTTTGGCAGCCTGGAGGCGGAGGAGTATTTCTGAGAGGTTGTTGGCCGCAATAGAGCTCGGATCGTAGGCCTGATTAATGAGGTTCGTGATAGTAGCTCTACTCACGTTCACTAGTGGCGGCGGTGCTGTTAGTGTTGACTTTCGGAACTTTTTAAGTACTACTTCGGGATCTATAGGAGCTATCCCAGTGGCTTTAAATGCCTTCAACGCGTGCTTCTTAATAAAAGAGGAGTCCTAGGCAGGCTTAAAAAGACGGTAGAAGTCATCCTTCCTCACAGCTAAGAGACCGTGGCTCGCCTGGAGGTAGTGCTGCAAGCTGAGTGAGTACGCGGCTGCTAGAGGTTTGAACATTACCACATCGAGTGGCTGCAGCGTATGGGTACTATGGGGGGGTAGTACGAGTAACATAATATTGTGGGCGATCGCGTAGTCAATAAACTCCATAGTAACGTGACTCCCATAGCCGTCAAGGATGAGTAAGCGTGTGTGATTGCCGGCCTTCTCCTTCGTATGGCGATCAAACACCTGTTCGAGCCATGCCAGGCCTACCTAATCATTGGTCCACCCTGAGGGACTTGAGGTAACGTAGACTAGATCGTCAATTGCGATATCATCAACCTATCTGGCGTACATGTTGCCCGAAGTAGCTTCGTATATAATCGCGGGCGGTAACGTACTCCTATTAGCACATATAGCAGCGATAACAGTGATCCAATCTCTGTTGCCGTCCTGTATCACTTTCTTAAAGCCCCCAGTCTCATATTTCTGCTTACTAAACACTCTCTTACTCCTCCCCGTTACTCTAATAAGGAATCCCTTCTTATCTATATTATATACATCCTGCGCCCGAATATAGTGCTGAGCCATTTTAGTAGATAGTAGATCAAAGTACGACTCGTACTTGTATACAGAATCAGCCTGGTGGCGATTGCGGTCCAAACCAGTTGACCAACGTGATATAATCGCGTCGGGATGACGGTGAAAGAAGCGCGTCACCTAGCTTTAGGAGGCAGCCCTTCCGGCTATAGCACTAGCAAAGTTCTAGATTATAGTCCTCGTCGGTGGTAAGCCAGCCTTAGTAAGCTCATTAATGTGCTCTAGAAGCTGTAGCTCCTAGTGTAGGTAAAGGAGTTGCTGATTACGTGATTTGGCTTCATTTGAGCCCCGGATCTGTTGATGGCGTCGCGACAACGTAGAGCGATCAACACCAAAGCGGCGCGCAACCTCAGAGTATGTAAATTTATCTCCGGGATCACGCGATTCAATAGCTTCAATCGCAGCGTTGATACAACTCATAGTTGTGGAGTTATGGGTGGTTGAAGTGGTAAGGGTGGATTGGTGTTGATGTTGCGGGGTGTGCGGCACGCGATTATGGGCATCACGCGCACAGACACGTTACAAGCGAGTCGTCAATACAAGCGAGTCGTCAGCCCCACCAACTTTTACAACTTTAAAGCGACGCATCTCAACAACGCGATAATATTATTGCTAGATATTGATACAGTAGATTACTCTATATAAATAGTATCAGTCTTGCATGTGCGCGAGCTGTGCCCAGTCTCCTTGCACCTAGTGCAGCGCCTTTAAGCCCGCTGGCTGAGGCCTGATCGCGCTCCTCCTTAACGCTCTTCATAAGCAATCTGCTAGTTAGCCTCATTTTGAGCCAGTATATCCTCTCCAGCTCCCTTTGTGAGTACTCCATGCTTCTGTATACGCCTTTTGGAGCGCCGCCTACGCGCTAAGGCTGCGCTGTTGGCTCTCTCAAGACTGGAGATCCGATCGCGTATCAGCTCAGCAGAGAGCATCATCACCTTAGCGCCCTTCTTCAGCTGGTTAATCGCCTCAATAATTAATGCTAGTGATGAGCTCTTGTGCTAGCGCACGCGCTCACGTATGAGGCTTGACTGAGCCTTAAGCTCACGCGCATTGCTCGGCGTTTGAGCTACCTAGGGAGCCTCTGGCAAAGCTGCTAGAGTGGGTGTACGCAACTATACATCTAGCTTTAATAGAACAGCCTCTAGTTATAGAGGAACAAGGCCTAAGCCGCGGAAGGCTGAGCAGATGTTGGCTAGTGTGAATGCTCTATTAAACGCTATCTTGAATGCTGGCAGAAACTCTAGCTTAGTGATGTGGTTGATGTAGTTGCGCATGAAGCTCTCCACCTCACGGCTGTACGCGCGCTTCAATAGCGAGAAACAGCCAATATCAAGTGGCTAGAGTAGGTGAGATAAGTAAAGAGGCATACAGAGCGTTGTGAAGGTCGTCCGAAGATGATCTTGGGTTGGTTCTCGGGGATAGAGTGATGCGATGGACACGAGGGTGTATAGCACGATTGGTAGATCGATGTAATATACGGGGAGTTGAGAATCAAGTACTAATCCTTAGATTTCAAAGTTGAACACAATGAACCGTAAGGGCTCATTGCCTATTGTTATATACTAACGAATGTCCTATGTCCTATACGTCCTACGTTGTCCTACACTGTCCCATGCGTGGGACATCGTGGTACATCGTGGGATTCCTTGGGACACACGTGACATGTCCCATGGTGGCGTTCCGCCAAGCTTTGTGGGATGCGGGGCAGGCTTACGTCATTGGTCCTTGTACACCTTTGTACGCCTTTGTCTGAGAAGGGATTCCGACAAGGTCTCCATCCTTCTGCCCTTCATATCTTGCACTGTGTCCTCTCCTTAGGTTCGTAACAAGCGTATAGATATTGTTCTCCTTACAGAGCTCCTAGAACTCTAGAGATTAGTGGCTCTTATAGCCATCAATAATAAGCAGGCGACGCGCGCCTATACTACGAGCCTGCGTGTGAGCGTTGAAGTGCTTTAGCCACTCAACTCCAAGCTTATTATTCGTCTAGCCATTGTCGCTGACTGCGATCGCCCAGTCGCGTGGGATCTTAGCTTCCTCGTACTAGGCTGATAGGTGGTACTAGCCAGCGAAGATAAGGAACGGTAGGACTGACCAGCCGGCTGCGTTGATCGTAGCGATTAACGTTACCCACTCACGATTGCCTAGCTAGATAGCCTTTAGCCTGCCTCTCCTTTCTAACGCTGTTACAACAAGCTAAGTTGTAATCTTGCCTATTATAAAGCTAGCTTTATTAAAGTTATAGACGTCCTTATCGCAGATGCCGTACTTCGCCTTTGTCTCCTCTATAAGCTCAAACCAGCTTCGGATAAGGGCTAGATTCTTATAGAGAGCTCTCTGCCTATCGTACGCTTGGTTAAAACACGTCTTAAGACTGTCTGTACGCTAAACAAAGTTGCGCGGCTAGTAGACGCCGACCTAGCCAGCGCCGCGCGCAGCTAGCTGTCAGATAATAGCACTGTTGAAGATGAGAGCGTACAGACGCCGGGTCTGACTAGTGCGACCCGGCATCTGTGAGAGCCAATCAGAACACAGGAAGGCTTAGCACCCCCTAGGTGTGCCCACAACCGTAGACAGAACCACAACACAATCAATCATCAATATCATCACCATCATTACCTATTTCATCAGTATTCCAGATGAGAGTGAATATCTGACACTAGCAGCTTATTAGCCATATCCCGTACAGCTGCGTAGGTAGGCGGAAATCCACGCTGATCTAGGTGAAGTATATAGCTAATAATCACCTCCTCTTCTCTCTTAGTAAGCTTCTTTGAGTTAGGCTGGCAATCGCGTCGGGCAGGTCGACCAGCGCGTCGGTCGCGCATTGTCATGCGAGGGACACTATAGATTGAAGCAGCGCTGCTTTCAGACTAAATCTGACCTGCTTTAATAGAGCTAATAGCAAGCTGGATATCAGCTTCGTTTGAAGATACTTGAGGAGCGCGGCGTGGAGGCATTGCGTGTTAAGATAGAGTAGGTGATTGAAGTTGGTGGGGCTGACGACTCGCTTGTATTGACGACTCGCTTATAAAACATGTTAACAACAAAACGAAGCGATCAATTCGTGCGAATCTAGCACGCACCGCCATACTTCAGCCCCATCTTCCCAGTCTCATCACTACCCCGCCTCTTCCACTTCCACTACCACTACCACCCTGGTGTCATAAAATACTGGATATACTAGTGTAAAAAAGCCACTGTAGTCGCCAGACACGTCTATCGCGTGCTTACGTGCTTACCCACACTGTCCAGTATTTTATGTCAACCAGGTGCTACCACTACCATTGCATCTCCCGCATTTCTTCTCCACCTCCTGACCCCAATTTCAGCCGCATCCCCAGCCCAACTCAACATCTCAGCGGAGCCCACCGCCATCTTCGCATCACCTTCCCACCTTCCCAAACGGGTAACAACCTCGGCCCGCACTCACCAGGGTCCTGACCAACCACATCTCAACAAATGGTACACGCCGCCGTACGCAGGCACGAAATAGGGTGCTGCGAGTGAGATTGCGGGAATTGCCAAGGGGCGCGAGAGAGAGAAATTAAGAGGGAAGTAAGCTGCCAAGGCTAGAGGGAGGAAATGGAGTATTTGGAGCACCTGCTTTGATAGGTATAGGTATGTATACTAGGTCTGAATGATGACGGTGGCGTGGGTAGTAGTAGTGATAGGAACAGGAATGGTCCGTATGGAGATTGATGGATTTGGGTATGTTGACCCGGTTCTTGGGAAGTGGATTTTTTTTTAGGGAAAGATAGATATCTATATCCTCACGCTCATCTTCTCTCATTCTCCTTCCGTCCCTTCCTCCAGGCGCAATCCCACCTCCAAAATGCCGTCCCTTACCCCCCTCCCCTTCCTCTTCCTCCCTCTAACAATACTCGCCCTAACGATCCCTTCCCTCAACGGCCCCGCCTACCTCTCCCCCTACCTTAACACCACCGTCAAAAACATCACCGGGATCGTAACCGCAAAATCCGCTGATGGAATCTACATCCGCTCGCCCATCTCAGACAACGACATCCGCACCTCGGACTCCATCTACGTCTACAGTCGCACAATCGGCAGCAACCTCACCCTCGGCGACACCATCGTTGTCGGGGGAAAAGTGACGGAATACCGCTCTAACAAAGACTACCTGTACCTCACACAACTCAGCAGCCCAGTCCTCGAGCGGAAGATAAGTTCAGGCACACCGATTCCACCGCGTGTGATAGGGCTTAATACACCGTTCCCCCCTACGGAAAAATACAGTAGTCTGGACAATGGTGGTATTTTCGCTGTGCCCAACAACGCCAGTTTAATCAGCACGGTAAACCCAACTCTACGCCCGCAAACCTACGGCCTGGATTTCTGGGAGTCACTAACGGGTGAACTGGTAACGATACGGCGACCCACTGTGCTCACGAAACCGAATCAATACGGCGATACGTGGGTCGTTGGTGGGGACTGGAAAGCTACAGGACGGAATAACCGCGGCGGTCTTACTATGACAGCGCAAGACGCTAATCCCGAGGCCATTGTCATCGGAACGCCGTTGGACGGTAGTAAGAACCCCACCGACTCCCGCATGGGCGATGAGATTGAGGATGTTACCGGGGTGGTGACATATGGGTTTGGGTTTTATCGGATTTTGCCTACGACAGGGGTGCGGGTTGTGAAGAAGAAGGAACCTGAGGTGCCGAAGAAGACGGGGTTGGTGTCGAGTGGGGGGTGTGAAGGGCTTACGGTTGGGGCGTATAATGTGGAGAATCTGGCGCCGAATTCTACACATCATGCCGGGTTGGCGAGGCATGTGGTGGAGTTTATGCGTAGTCCGGATGTTATTTTTGTGCAGGAGGTGCAGGATGATAATGGGCCTACGAATGATGGAGGTGAGTGTTTTTTTTTCTCAGAGTGGGGGTTTTTTTTGACTGGGAGTGTTGCTATGGATATAGTGACAGGAGAAGGAGTTGTCTTTTCCTACCTTTTTACGTCCTACGCATGTCACGTTACAGGCGATGAAAGGAGGACAGTAACACTAACCTCCCACTCACACAGTCGTATCCGCGAACCTAACCCTCAAAACCCTCACAACAGCTATAACCCTAGCCGGCGGACCAAACTACACCTTCACCGACATCGCGCCCACCGACTCTCAAGACGGCGGCCAACCCGGCGGCAACATCCGCGTCGCCTACCTCTACAACCCCAACCACGTCCGTCTCTACAAACCCAACCCAGGCGGTGCTCTCGATGCCAACGAGGTACTTGCCGGTCCGGCGCTAAAGTACAACCCTGGACGTATTGAACCTGCAAATGAGGCTTGGACGGCGAGTCGGAAGCCGTTGGTTGCGCAGTGGGAGGTCATTGGGAAGAAGCAGAAAAATAAGCCTGATGTTTTCTTCACTGTGAATGTGCACTTTGGGTCAAAGGGGGGCAGTAGTAGTGTGCATGGGGATGCGCGGCCGCCTGTAAATGGAGGTGTTGGTAAGTTTGATCGACAAAACGGACGAAAACGTGCGTGACAGTTGTCTAACATTGTGGTAGACGATCGGCTTGAGCAATCTCGTCTCACTGCAAACTTTATCAAGGTACGTTGACAAACTTCCCGGTGGCTGTATGCGGCGGTGCGGCGCGGAGCTAAGTCGCATCCTCCCATCCCTTCCGTACCTTGGTCCTTCGGGAGGGTAATACCAAGAAACGCCACATGTCACACAATAGAGATCTCATTCCGGAAGAATTGGAGGTCAAAACAACAAACAACAAAGAGAATAACACGTTGAGATAGGATATCCTTTCAAAGGAGAGTACCGCCCGCATCATCACTGCAGGCGACTTCAACGAATTTGCTTTCGTCGAGCCCCTTGAGGAGTACGCCACAATATCCGGACTCAAGGATCTTGACGCCGTGGTCGGCATTGACAAAGTCGAACGTTACACATACATGTTTGATATGAATGCCCAACAGCTCGATCACATGTATGTGTCGCCATCGCTAGCCAAGAAGAGCAAGGCCGCTTATGAGCACATCCACGTCAACACGTGGCCTGAGTTTGCTGCTCAGGTCAGCGATCACGACCCATCCGTAGCCAAGCTGAACGTGTGCGCCTAGACGAATGGACAAGCCGTCGAATAGACGCGCATATCCGATTCGCGCATCGGTGAGGAAAGATAGATGAATACCAAGGCACAAACAAATACCCACAGTCTGGACACACATGCCCCGAGTGAAAAACAATGGTTTTATGTCATGTAATTTCGATACATGCAGTGCTGCCGTTTGTTGAGTACTAGAATAGGTAGGTTATCGTGGCTCATTGCGGCGTGGTTAGCTGTAATGAGAGATGGATAATTTCATAGATGCAAGTCGCTGTTCCAGTCGCTGACAGATCTGACGTGCATCGAGGCGTGCCGCAGTAGCGTCTCTAGCTCACCGTGCCACATGCAATTACTCTATGGACACGGAGCGTTGAAGCGGAAGGGTTCATCCAACGCTCGCCGATCCGGACCAGAAAAAACCTTACTGCCACGCGACCGGTACTTGGAAAGATTGTCTCTGACGTCTTCATTGGCGTTTCTGGGCAGACGACATCGCGTGCGTGTATCGTAGAGTTTGGATTCGTGGGGTAGCGTCCGGGGCAGCGCGACGACTACAGTACGAAGAGCGGGCCTTGCCAGTGATACTGCAGCGGGACCACGTGTGGACGGGCCCAATATTAGTGAAATGCCGTGGCCACATGTCGCTTGCGCCTGTACAGTACCGTAGTCCAGGTTTAGAGGCCGTTGCATGCATTCACAGACCAGCGCTCGGAGGTTCCGTGACCCCAAGACAAGGCAACTTCCATTGTTCCGTCGGTGCTGTCGAATTACAAGAGGCCAATGCTCCATTTATCCGGTCCACATTGACAATCATGACTTTTAGCCCGGCACCGGAGTGCGGATGTTGAGCTTACAGAGCGGAGCAGAGGTGCGAATAACGCCTGGGGGCGGGGAGGCCCTAGTAAGGCCCGACCCACTATCTAGCCATGCCAAGTTGCTCCGCCAAACCCAAAACGCGGGGGAGACAGCCGATGAACGTTTGCTGAAACTCAACACCAAAACATCCATATCGCACGTTTTTCGTTCCTGTTCCACGACGCAAATTCGCGTGTGCAACGAAGCATTGCCAAAAGCTTCGTTCTGCCGGTGGAATCAAGACGTCCCGGCGCCGAGCCTGCATCCAGGGTCTCCATGGTGAAGGGCGTTATGCCAAGGTCTTGGGCGGCGCTTCTCAAGGCTTCGAATGGCCCCGTTGCTTGCGCCCAGGCTTCTATCTAACGCCGCCCCGGTCGTTCTGGATCCCAGCCAGCGCCGAATCCATGTGCTTGGCCCGGACGCCGACATACCATACCTAAACGATCAAAAGGTGGGAGTAAGTGCTTTCGAGCTGGGCCGCAGTGATACCGGACCGTATTCCTGGTGGGGGAAAGGGAGGCTCGCGGCTGAAACTTAATCAAGCATATGCTCTTTCTTTAGAATTGCTGAGTAGATGCGCAGCTGCATCGGTAAATTGTGTTGGTTTGTGCTATCCAAGCGGCGGTTTGACTGGCAACGGGAGGGAAATTTGTCAACCGCAGAAGACGGTGTGGTACAAGGCCGACTGGCGCCAAGTAGAAGTGCGTCAAAGTAATCGAATCAACTAGTTTTGGCGCCCCTCATCCACAGCCACGCTTGGACGCAGCAGTTGACAGATCCACATTCTTGTCCCATCCAACCGCCCCATGGGGTCCCGCGGCGCACTAAACAACCCGGTCATATCAAGCAGAGGCCATCTCGTTGCGAGGCAGCACGTATCCGGTGTACGCGAGCTCGAGTACATATAGAGACCTTGGCTGCCTCCCTCGAGTGATTTCCTCAGCTTACTGAAATCCAATTTACGCTCAGGGACCAGGCAAAATGGCAGCCGCTCCGCAGCACACCTCTCTCGAGACCAACGAGAAGGGCGAGGAAATCTACACCAACGATGTCAACAGCTCTCAACTCAGTCAGCCGTCGGATCTCGACGACTATCCCGACCCAGATGTGGGAAAAAGCGATGAAGAACGCGCTAGGCTTGTGAGTTGCCACATTCCCCCATACAACCACATACTAACTCTTGGTAGGACAAGGCTCTCGTCTGGAAAATGGACCTGTGGTTGATTCCGTGGCTTTCGCTCCTGTATCTGCTCTCGTTCCTGGACCGCACCAATATTGGAAATGCGCGCGTTGCGAAAATGGAGCCCGATCTCAAGATGGGTGGCCGCGACTACAACAATGCTTTGACCATCTTTTTCATCTCATATGCTGGCTTTGAGCCGCTGACCAACATCGCCATCAAGAAATGGTCACCCCGTGTATTCTTCACAGCCATCATCCTCGCCTGGGGTATCATCATGACTCTGATGGGTGTTGTCCATAACAAGGAAGGTCTGCTGGCCTGCCGATTTTTCCTTGGTATTGCCGAGGCCGGCCTGTTCCCTGGTGTCAATTACTACCTCTCGTACGAATTTACCGCCAATTATGGAAAGATGCCATGCTAACACCAATGCAGCTGCTGGTACAAGCGTCAAGAGCTCGGTTTCCGTGCTGCTCTCTTCTTCTCGGCTGCTGCGCTTGCCGGATCGTTCGGTGGTCTCCTGGCTGCTGCCATTACTCAGATGCACGGTACTGCTGGTTACGAGGGATGGCGATGGATTTGTAAGTACTAACCACAATGTTTCTCGTGTCATCAGCACTGACAACTCCAGTCATCATCGAAGGTCTAATGACCGTTGCCGTCGGTCTGCTCTGCTGGTGGATGACTTTTGATTTCCCCGATACGGCTCGCTTCCTTACTGCCGACGAAAAGCTCCGAGCAGTGCGCAGGCTCAAATTGGATGGACAATCTCGCGCCAAAGTAGGAGGTATTGACCGTCGACACGTCTTCGCTGCCCTTCGCGACTGGAAGACATGGGGATATGCCGTCATCTACATGGGTTGCCTGTGCCCGTTGTACTGCTTCTCCCTCTTCCTTCCGACCATTCTTCTCGGTATGGGTCATGCGGGTACCAAGGCCCAGCTGTTGTCAGTTCCACCATACGCTTGCGCTGCTGCCTTGACCGTCATCGTTGGTTGGGTAACCGACAAGACGAAGCTGCGCGGTATTTGCAACATGATGGTGGCAATCCTGGGTTGCATTGGTTTTATCATGTTGCTTGCGACCACAAACCCCACCGTTCAGTATGCTGGAACATTCCTCGGCGCAATGGGCATCTACCCTACCGTCTCAAACACCCTGACATGGGCTTCCAACAACGTCGAAGGCTCGCTCAAGCGCGGTGTCATGGTTGGTGTTGTCGTCGGCTGGGGAAACATGAACGGTGTTGTGTCCTCAAACATCTACGACTCCAAGGAGAAGCCACATTATCGTACTGGGCACAGCATCGTCCTTGCCTACCAGTTTTTGTTCCTTTTCGGTGGAACCGTCTTCATGCACTTTGCACTCAAGCGCGAGAACAGACTCAGGAAAGAGGGCAAGCGCGACATTTGGATCCAGGGCAAGACGGAGCTGGAAATCGAGGAGATGGGCGACATGCGCCCCGACTTTTACTACACCACCTAATTTGTGGCAGCTTCGCAGGAGTGTTAGAATTTGTTATTTTCCATAGTCAAAACCATTTGCCTATTGGATTCTTACATTTTTGGATAGTTTGCTTCTCGTGATGCTGTGAATCTGGTAGTGTGGTGTGAGTGAACTAGTCCCTCACCAGCAAATACTCATTGTAACCTGTCGCTATCTCGGTAATAACGGCAGCCACGCATTAGCCGTACGATCCGCTCAACCGAAATTGTCGCGTGACCCAACATGGCCGTGAAAGAGACAAGGTATCATAAAAACTAATCACGATGTCAAGAGACAGGATTGTGATGCTTAGGAATTGCCAGTGTTGCTCGTTCGGCACCAGTGTTTGCGGATACGGTAAAGTGGAGCGAAGCGATGACATCACTTGAGGTGGTTTGGAAAGAGCGTTTTCATCTTGATGACAAACCGTCGTGCTCTCAATTTTAGTTCCGAACTTGGTTTTATATTTTCATAGAACAGAGTATGCGGCAAGGCATCGGAAATTACTCGTGAATTCACTTATGCATTTAGATGTGAAATAATTGCGATTAGAGCACCAGCAAAATACAAAGAAGTTTCCAAAACGTCCCATTAATAGGATTCTTCTGCTATTTACCTACGATTAAAAGAAAAGCCACTGTATACACTAGTAAAAAGGGTATATGTCGCTGAAGTGAAAAAAAATCAAGTGCGCTGGGCATCCGCCTCCCCACAATGCGAGACAGCTTTTGCAGGGTAGAGCGGAGGGTATATGCCCAAGTCGCTGAAGAGAAATTCCCAATCCCTAGAAGCCTCCCGTTTTCCCATTTCCCTTCATCAAGTGCCGAACCAATGGCACAACCCAGTCATTGTTTGTACATATCCTACAAGGTCCCGGACGGACCTGTGTCCTTTATAGTTGTATGTCTGCACCATAATACTTAGAATGCGACGCCCACTGCTCCTGGGCTCGGCGCCATGATGCTCCTTCGTCCATTAATGCCAACGTCTTTGGCAGTGATTTCCATTCCTTTGAGAAGATGGAAGTTGGGGCTCATGGGTGGCTTGGCGTTCATGAAGCTCCTAGTGCTACGGGCGCTCGCGAGAGCAGCCTCTACTGCGATCTCCTTCTCTTTGACAAGTGTCAAAGGTGCAGGCACGCGTCTTAACTTCCTGGGTGGCGAAGAAGTAGCTACCGTGGAAAGTGAGTGAGATGTGGGCGTGGGCGACCCAGAACGTGTAGAAGGACAAGATGAGAAGAGTGTCACGGTAGCAGTACCATTGCTTTCCTGGGAATCTTGTCGAGTATGTAGTGTGCGCGATCCTGCTGTGGATGGGCGAGAGGCGGGAAGTGGCGGGGCGGGCTGAGTCTCGCACCTGTAGAATGAGTCTGCTGTCTTTGGGGTTGCGGGACGCGAGCTAGACGCCAGGGAGGAAGTAGATCGCTTAATCCATGCGCCCAGGCGAGCGATAGGAGTAGTTGGTGTAGCTGGTGGTGGTGGTGTGATGGGGTTAGAGGTCAAGGGACCATTGTATGAGAAAGCTGGCGGGGCAAGGCTGAGGCCTGCTGTTGTTCGTCTCCCTGGGATTTCCGATTCCGGAGTGGTGGGTAGCGGCTTGAATCCCAAGGGTGCAGAGAAAGCGGAACCGATATCAGAAAGGGTCTCGGAGCGAACATGCATACGCATTGATGGCGCGATGTAAGGTACGTGATGCGAAGGCGAGGGAGGAGGACGGTTGATCATCGTGGAAGATTGATTGCTCGAGCGATATGCGCTGGCTCGATGCTCCTCGACGATGGTGTTGAGTTCCCGAATGGCATCATCGACATCAGTTTTTGTACGACGAAGACTTCCGGGTCGTGAAGGGGCTGTGTTGGCACGGCTGCGGGATGGGGATGGGAGACGTGACAGAACACGTGATGGTGATAATGTTCCAGAAGTTCGCGAGCGCTGAAGTGTAGTCTTTTCAAGAGTGTGGTCAACGGTCATTGGCGAGTTCTCGGGAAGTAAAGCTAGCGTAGGGGTGGCCATAGTGCCCATTGTAGTTCCCGAAAGTCTTCGTTCGTGTGTGACGGTGCTGTTCTGGCTTTGCACGCTACTACGTCTGGAGTGAACAGCGACTGGCTTGCGCTGGATAAGATAGGAAGATGCGGACGGGTGCGAAGATATGGAACTTGTACGCGAATCTCTCACACGGATATGAGCTTCTGCAGGGCGTGTCAAGTGCGACGGTAGACTAGTCCAGCATTCTGCATCCTCGAAATCAGGTAGTGGGGACAAATGGCCACACCCATCAGGGAGATAGATGGACAGCTCGAGTGGACGGAAACTACGGCGGCGCCGGACAGGCATAGACGCGTCATTGAACATGGACGGCATGTCATCGAGGCCATCAAAGTGTCGAAAGTTAGTCGGGCGGCTGATACTAGGCCGAGTTTGTGTGCGCCCCGGACGAGTAAGGGTTGAGATACTGGCGCGAGACGAAGCACGTGCAGCATATTCACGGCTGTTGGAGACCCATTGCGAAACATGGCGGCTCACGGATTGGCTTGTTGATGGGCGTGGGTGTGTTGGCTCCGCGCAAGGCGGAACTACGGAACGAGGTTGTTCGTAGCAAATGCGTGAATCCGTCTCATCTGTTGATCAAGGGCGTTAGTTTGGCGTTGGATCGACCGGATAAGTTATTTGTTGTTCCAATATATTGATATGGCGTTGGACTACAGGACCGGGTAGAGGGGTACATTAACCATATTGAGTAGGGCGCAAGCGAATTGCATGATGCATCTCAACAGCAACAATGGTGTGATGTAGACCAGAGGGATGACAGACCAGATCGACAGGACACTCAAATGCAGTACCGTTGGAGCGTGAAGAGGTACAAGCTAAGGAGGATATGTGACGGTAGAGAAGGGTAAAAAGTAAATCGTAGACGTACCAGTAGCCCCGAGCGTGGAAGGGCCTTGTTCAACTACGTCGTCTCGTGATGCACAGCATCCAAACTTGATGGCCAGCCATGGAGATCTCTGCTCCCTCTCTTGAAATGCCTTGTATTCCATTATTTTTTTTTAATACTGCAAACCAGTGCAGCTTCTAGTCCATGGCCAAAAACAATACAAACGGTCAGGTGTAGAGCGGGTCGCGCCTGCAGCAGGCAAAAAATAAACAAAGTCAAACACTAGAAAAAAGGTAGCAGAAGAAGGGAAAAAAAGAAGAGGCAGGGAAGACGTTGACAGCGCGAACTAGTCGGATAAATTCCCAGCCTGTCGACAGATGTGTTGTCACTCGTTTGGTGGTTCGGTTCTAGAATACCTCGCCTGTAAGGTCCGGCCTTCAGGAACTGCAGACCACTCGTAACTCACAGGATGACAGCGGCTCACATGATATAGATGAGGCATTCCTCTGACTTTGCGTAGGCGCCCAATGGCAACGCATCCCTACCGTCGAGGTCGTCAACGTCAATGTTAGTTCGCAGCGAGGCTTGTGCGCATTGAGTCGGCATGTGTGGTTGTGGGGGCTGATTGGCCGCGACATTGAAGTAAGCGCTCGAGGCAGAGCGGAGACGTGCAGCATCGTGGACCAGTGGCATGGCAATAGCGCTTGCAGAGTAAAACTGGCAGACAATCCGTCTGGTTATAGTGTACTAGGATGTGCTCGTTGGCAGAGACGGCATTGGAATTGCCTGTTCATTTCGGCCATGTTCGAGCATGCGCGGAGCTTGAGTCGCATCCAAGAGCCGGACCTGAAGACTGTGCGGGGATACCTTGCGACACAAACATCTATTTGCGAACATTGAAACATGCACTGCGCAACGGACCGTCAGCGATTGAAAGGATCGTCGACGGCAGACAAGAGGCACGGCAGTGGTGATGGATCCACGATGCTAGACCTTGGAGAGAGATGCAACTCTCGTGTGCGCCTGCCCCATCTGCCAGACCCGTCAACGCCAGCTCGGTTCCAGCCGACGTGCCTTTCCTCTTCTGCTCCCCTTGGCCAATCGCTCAGTTGTTCGCACATTCCACTAAATTGCACTATTCACTAAAAAACGCTCCAAAGGCGGCATATCGTCATTGGCGTCATTTACAGCTCTTGAAACACTGATTCCAATTTTGAACTGGACATCGCACCCAATCACGATTGCCGGATAGCTTTTTTCTTTTACTTTTGTCGACAAGTCATGCCACAGAGCACATTTATTCTTTTGCCGGGGGCGGGTGGAGCCAACATATGTGCGTAGTCAGCCTCCGCATCTTTAACATTCGCGGCGAGAACAGCCCGACGTCTTCACCGGTGCTACTTCTTGGCACGTGGTAGTAACATGCACGGTTGGTCGGGATTAATTGGAAGCATGACGTTGTGACAGCGGGGACTTGTGCACATGGGCTGAGCCGTAAGTAGTATCGGAATCTTGTTTGGTCTAAATAGCCATAGAAGAAAAAACATCGCTCTCCAATACCAGAAGGGACTCGCTATCAATCTGACGCCGCAAAGATACATCCACATTGCAATGTGTATCATGTACACCGAAATCGGGTATAAAACAAATGGACCTCCAACACCTCTGCCGAAAACACATCCCGATTAACTTCGAGAATGAGAAAACGAAATGAATGTAGTTGATCGACGTCATCATCGTGTTTCGAATAAGACAAAGTTGGGCAGGGACCAACGTTCACCCTCAGCCGTCGTTCCACGCGTTGCGTTCCTCTCGGAAACTGCCGTATGACGGACTGATGCGGTCGTGGTCATCTTCGGCCCTTTCGTCGCTGACGTCGCGGGTTTCCCAATGGTTGGCTTCGCTCGTCATGTGCGGCTTGATATCTTGTTTTCTCTGTTCCTCTTCGCTTTGCCCCTGAACGGCAAATGGGTAATTGAGGTTATGCTCCGATTCAGGGTTGTGTGGCTCAGGTTCGTCGGGGTTGAAGCCTTCTCGCACCTCTTCTGCTTCGCCTTCCTCAGGGTAAGTATGACTATGGTCATGTTAGTCACACTCAATGCTAGGAAAAATTTGTCAAACTTACACAAAGTGCTTCGAAGGGACTTCGTTCCATCCCGGGCCGCCTTCCTTGCGCGCTCTGACGCGATCGACTTCTTCCGCTTCGTGGTCCTCGACAACCAGATCGACAAGCTGGCTCTTGTCAGACTTTGCCGAGCTCGAGGAAGACGATTTTTGGCGCAGAAGATTGCTAAAGGGCACACGCGACTTGGACTGCGGTGACTTTGAACGGGAAGACTCTCCGTTGCTCGACGTATCGCGTTGCTTGCCCTTGTCTACAGACGCCTGTATGTCTTGGATTTGACTCCTTCGTCTTCTCTTGTTCTCCTTGGTCGGTTGAAGCAGATTCCTGTTGGTTGATGCCGTCAGAATGTTGGGGTCGGCGTACATGCGATCTTCGCGCGACGGACGATGGGCTTCAATGACGGGGTACTATAGCTGAGTCAGACGAGGCGCAGCACTCATTTCGTCTATGTACACTTACATTCCAATCTCCGAACTCGAGCTCACGCGCGTTTCCGTAAAGCCGCTCATCTTCGTCGTCCAGCTCGGGCTCACTGACAACGTCGGGTGTACCATACTTGGCGCCCTCACCTTTGAGAGCTTTGTGTGGACCTGGGCTCATGGCTCTGGCACGGCTCGACGTGACTTTGCTAAGGAGGGGTTCATGTTCCGATCCTTGTCCGGGCTTTGGGATCCAGTACTTGCCTTTTCCTCCTCGTTCATAGCGCATTCCCTCTGCCATGCGAGCGGCACGAGAAGAAGATTCTTCATGAGCCAGGACATTGTCGCGCGCATCGAAATAACGGTACTCGTAATGGCCACCGGCGAACGTCTCCTTGGTGTCCTGAATGAGGTCCAAGGGACCAAAAGCATCACGCAAGGCATATTTAACAGGTAGTCGCGCAGCCGAGATAGTCTGGTCAGCGTAATCGTGCCATGAAAAGGCATACCAATGAGCAAGTGCGAAGAGCGGCATCTCAAAGCAGATCATGGCATCTTGAATGGCAGCAGCGAGGTTGTCGGGACTGTAGCCGGGTACGTCGTCTGGGATAGCACCGAGGAAGACAAGAATGGAGAGGAAGAAGCCCTGCCAGTACGAGGCGAAAATGATGCCCTTGATGCACAAGAACTTGGGCATGGGTCGGAAGGGCTTCAAGTCTGTTGACATGCACACCCAGAACATGGCCAGAGCGTACAGACTGATGGTGATGCTGACGTTGTAGATGATGCCACTCCAAAAGTAGCCCGATGTTAGGCCAATATAACCCTCCTGGTAGGTGCCCGTAGCTTTCATTATGATAGTGGCTATCGAGAGAAGAGGTTTGATCCAAGCGTATTGTAGGATACCACGCTTGATAGCGAGGAAGGTATGCGGGTCCGAGATATCGATCTTGGAGCAGACGAGGTTGAGGGGCCATGGGTGGGACACGGGAGCCCGGCCGGTCATGAGGATGATAAGGGCGCGTTCGCCGCCGATGAAGTTGATAAGCAGTTGGAGAAACGTGTAGATGGTGAATGCCTGGAATGATTAGTATGCATCTTGCCAGCACAAAGACCGCGTATACCTCATAGACATCTCGAAAGGGTTCTACGTAAGCGGAGGCAATTGTGGACACCAAGCTTGCCCATGATGAAGCCGCGTAGATTGGGACCCTGCACATGGTAAGCAACGATAGGCAGCAGCTTGACATAGTACATACATGAGCAGTATGCGAACCACATATCTTTGTAGCACTGGCTTTCGGTAGTTCTTCCTATTTACTGTTCAATATGCGCACATGCTGGGCCGAGGGAGTGGCTCACGTTTGTAACCAGACAGCGCTGCACCTACGTCAGTTGGAGCCATGTAAGATGGGAGATTCGACACATACACGAAAGTGACCAGACTCGCGACCAGGGCGCATACACCTGCTACGATGATGATCGCGCGTGCAAACCGAGCACCGGTGCCGCCAGACGAGAAGTCGGCGGCCTGGTAGTCGGCATGAAGGGTGGTGCCTGTAGCCATGGGAGGCGAGGCGTGGAAGAGAAAACAAGTTACTGGCCTTGGATAGTAGTGACTCCAGGCGACTTCTTGGAGGAGAGAAGAAAGGCGAATCTAGCGACCGAGAACAGCCATGGCGTACAATAGCCTCACCAGACGTCGTGGGTCTTGTGCTCGTTTCGCCTCCCGCAGTGTTGAGGGTTTGTGGAGGACCAGGCCCAAGCTCGCCTACCCTGCAAGAGGCCCATGACGCGCATCCTGAACCCTGCCCGATATAGCGCCGTCTCCAAGCTTCAGAGTCGAGAAGGCGAGGCTGCAGCCGCCAACGCCAGTACAGTGAATATCGTTTAGATTCGACCGATTCCGCGCATTTGAACAAATAGCTCGCCAGGCAGGAGCCATCCCGTCGCAACTTCCTTCGACCGGTCGCGCCTTCCTCGTCCGTCCACCGTTAACAATGCGCGCCTTCCCCGTGAAGCCATGAAGACAATCCCTCTCCTCAACACCACGCGTTGCAGCCATGGCGAGAATCGTCGCAGAGCCCTTGGACCCGCGCGACGGCTTCAATTGGTGAGCTGAGCGTCCAAAACCAAACTACTGCTTCTCGTGGCTAATGCGCGCAGGGTGTTCCTGGTTGAATTGCTCATATGCGGCATCTTGACCATCTTCTTCCTCTTCTACTTCAACCGCCTATTTGCGACGCTCATATCCTACGGCATCCGCGCATATACATGGCGCACCTTCAACGCCTACATTGACATCACCGCGCTCCAGATATCGCTGCTAGGCGGCCGGCTCTTCTTTAAGGAAATACGTTACCACGGCCACAATGAGACCATCCTGGTCCATGGAGGATACATCACGTGGAACTACTGGCTGCGCCGTGTCAAGGATGCAGGCATCTATACTGATGGCGATCCTTCCTCGGACGGCGATAGCATCAAAAGCTCCAGCACAGCGAGGACCCGGTCCGACAGCCGGAGTGGCAATTTAGACAGGGCAGAGAAGGGCGGAAAGCAGACCCGGAAGGAGCTACCATGTCGTATTTCTGTCAAGATCTCGGGCATCGAAGCCTTCATGTACAATCGCAGCCCCGCCTATGACGGAATTATAGAAGCAGTGGAAAAGAAGGCCCAGAGCGCGGCCAAAGATGCACATTCTCCGGAAGGTTCGGTGGCCGATTTTGAGAAGTCCAAGGAGAAGGAGAGATCCAAGCTCAACAAGACCCGTACCGAAGTCGATGTGGATGTTACGCGAGCCAATACGGGCCGGTCGACGTCGTCCAGTCCCAAGAAAGCCGAAATTCCAGCATTCCTCAGACTTCTGCCAGTGCATGTAGACATCATCAAGGGTGCAATCGTAGTTGGTAACGAACATACGCTGGCTGTCATTACCGCGCAGTTTGACAAGGCAACGGGCACTTTGGATGCGTCTTCAAGTGGGCCCCTAGACGTCTACCAGCAGCTCTTCCAGTTCCAGGTCACTCACCCCGTCGTGCACATGAAGCCCAACCCCGACTACAAAATTGGACAGCTCGACTCTGCAGTGCAATACAAGCAGGAAGCAGCCCAGGGTATCTCAGAAGATCGCATAATCGAGAAAGAAGCCAGGCGCAAAAGGCGTTGGGGCTGGCTGAAGAAGCTTCTAAGCCTTCCTGCCTTTTTATCCCGGGACTCAGACTCGATCCATACCCACGCCAAGTCAGGAGTAGCATCCAACGGCCCCTTCAGAAACTCTCAATGGACCTTTCCAGGGCGCGAGCGTTGGAAAGGATTAGCACGATATCTCGATGATACAAACAATGATGGTCACGGAGAGTGGGACAGCGTCGAATATGCGAAAACCTCTTTGATTGCGGATATCCCATGCGTCAATGTCTCATTCTATTGGGATGTGACTGGACCGGTACCAAACGACATCGACCAGAGTAGACATGTTGACCCTGCGCGGCCAAACGACATCAATGGAAGTATCCCGCCAGACTACGGTATGGATATACAGGTATTTGGTGGCATCATCAACTATGGACCTTGGGCGGATCGTCATCGTGGCGTCTTCCAATCCATCTTTTTCCCAGCCTCACGCGTCGATGCTGTTCCTTCAACTCCTCTGAAACCTGGCGAACTCCGTGTTCTATCAGTGTTCAAGCTGTTCCTCAGCATTGAAGAAGATACGATTTTACGCATACCGATCCGTGAACCATCCAAGGACTGGAAATGGAAAGGAAAAGCCCACACTCTTGCGGCGCACGAAAAGCCTGGCGCCGACAAGAACAAGGGCAAAGCCAAGTCCCGCATCAGACGTGGCAAGCACCGGGACACCACAGGTGCGCAAAATGTCCGCCCGTTTGCGTGGATCGATGTCAAGATAGCCCAACACACTACCGTCAACTATGTCATGGACATGTACGCTTCGAAGCAAGGATATCAGAGCAAGGTGGATGTCGACGTCGCAAGTACCGAGATATCATCTAGCGTAAATCATGGTCTTTTATGGCGTTCTGGCGCTATCGCCCTTGACTGTGACCTGTCCAATCCTCTAAGCTGGAACGCTCTGCGGAAGTGGATATTCAACATTAAATGTCAAGACTTGGAATTATTTCTACTTCGAGACCACATGTTCCTGATCATGGACCTTGTTGCCGACTGGGGATCTGGTCCACCACCCGATTACTTCCTTTTCGTCCCCTTTCAGTACTTCATTCATATCGACTTCTCCAACTTCAAGTTATACCTCAACACGAACGACTCTAACATCATCAATAACCCAGCTGACTTGGATGACAACAACTTTGTCATCCTATCTGGTAAGGAACTACAGGGAGATGTGTTCATTCCTTTGGACAAGTTTCGACCGCTGCAAAGTGAAATCAACTTCGATGTCAAAGGCCAAAACTTGGGTCTTGAAGTTCTGATGCCTCAAAAGAATACCCTACAGACATTCGTAAAGACCCCAAACGTGGCGCACCTCGGCGGCCTCACTCTGACTGGTAGTCATACCTTGATGAACGAGACGTCGGCGATGAATACCGACAGACTTTTCATGGACGTCCAGGGCCACAAACTCAACATAGAACTCTACGGCTGGCTCGTTCATCATTTCTTGAAACTCAAGGATAATTACTTTGGCGATGACATGCACTTCAAAACACTCGAAGAGTTTCAGGGCCTCCCAAGCGCTGCTCTAGCAGGACAAGATGCTGAGCCTAACGATCAAGCGACCAAAATTGCCAACGACTTAGACGTCATTCTGTGCATTTCTGCAGATGAAACATGCGTACTAGTCCCTGCCAACCTGTACTCAGCAGGCCGTGGCATTCGAGCCGATCTTCCGTACGCTTCAGCCGATCTCAGATTCACCAATTACTATATGGATTTGATGGTCAACCTTAGTCCCATCAGTATCTCTCTAGGAGGCCTAGTACCGGATCTTGAAATCCCGCACGAGTTTTCGAGTGGTCGCACTGAGCTCTTCATCGACTCCACTGTCATGTTTGGACACCGTCTATTTGGCCTACCTCCTCTTGAGCCGACATACCTTTGTAGTTGGGACTTTGAGGTGGGGAGGATATCTGGAGATTGCACGTCCGAATTCCTCGAGGCGGCGGCAGGCGCGGCACGCTCATTTGCTTTCACTCTCGATGATGATGAAAACACGTTACCTCTCACAGACATTCCCGTGATACACGATGTTACCTTCCTCCGACTGAGAACAAACGATATCAGCATCTGTGTACACATTGGGCAGGAGGCACTGCTCCTGAAGACCAACCCGTTGGCTTTGGACTTCAATGACCTTGCCGGAAGCACCTTCTCTTCAAAGCTCAATGTGGTTATACCAGAACTGACTGTCACCGCTGTCCCATCCAGTTCTGTGTCACATCACCGGACACGCTTGGGGGAAAAAGGCGCTATTGTCACTCGTGCTTATCTTGAAACCACCATAACGCTAACTCTGCTAACGAGGAAGGTGGACTTCACTGAGGAACGTGAAAAGCAACAGGCTCACATACAATTGCATGACCAGCGAACTAATCGCACTGGCTTTATGCTTGCCAGTGGCCGAGCCGCTCAAGATGACAGAAGCCGACAGAACATACGCACGCCGGCTATGCAATATCCCGACGTGCCTCATCCCATTTTCCTTTTCCAGCCACCCAGACGACAGGAAGGTTCGTCGGCCTCGGGGTTTTCAAGCCGTTCATCCATGACTGGGCGCCAGCTACGCTCCAGTAGCAAGCAATCTTCGTCATCAAACTCTTTTGCCGGTAGTATTCGATCAGCACTCAGGCACAAAGTGAACGGGAAAAATGTGGGATCCAGTGAAAGCCGGACTTTGGTTGGTAGTTCACCAATCCTTATGCAAGGCGAGGCCAAGCGAGACTGGGAACCCTCATCCGTTGCACTGTCTACCAATCTAGCTGCGCCTTACTTCCCATTTGAACAGATTCATCCAGATCTCTCGGATGTGCCGTCCTTTCCTTCTGGAAATTTACCCAACCCGCTTCGAGAAATCAATGATGTCGTGTTCAATGATGTGTCAACAAAGCGTCTGGACGAGAGCTTCGCACATACCAGCATACTGATCAGCGCAGAACCGGGTACACGGGTCTACTGTACTCCGGAGTTCGTTACATGTATATCAGATCTGATTGCGCTGATTGAGCCCAAGCAACCCGAGGATCTTCTGGACGATTTCCAAGTCAAGGTCATGTCCAAAATCCTAGACAACAGAACCAGACTGGAAGGAAAGGGAGCTCACTCGAGTTTAACGTCCGTATTCCCTTCACCCACGTACGTTTCCAGCATAGCTTCCAGCCGCTTCGATAGAGGAGACGGGCCGGGACCGATATGATGTAATTCTCAATCGATTAGGGCTGGCAGCGAGAATCAAGAAGTTCCCTGGAGATCAAGCCGTTCGAAACTCCCTTTCGCTACACTCTACCTTGGGCTCACTTGGCATTTCCGTTGCCGAGGGCAACCTTCAAGATAATGACGGAGGGGTTGCGATTCAGGCTGAGATCAAGGATGTCATGGTATGGATGTTGCAAAGCAAGGAAACGTCGATGAATATCTCTTTTCGCTCTCTCGAGAATGCCATGGCAAGCAAGAAGGTCGAATATCTAGCAGCACTCATACACCGGACAATACTGCTATCTGGGAAGCTAGTAGCAGACTTTGCTAAAGTTGAGCAAAGACAACAACAGCGATTGCGCTATCTTGCGTGGTATCTTTCCAGCGTTCAGGATCAGCATCCGGATCCCGCTTTTCTGACCAAGGCTTCTTATGCTCTGCGCGCAACAAGAGACCATTTACGTAGTCACGACTCCTGGAAGATCATCTCTCGATTCCGCTATACATGGCAATGCCTTTCACAACCCGAGAAGGAGATGGTATATGGCAATTGTGTGCAGCCGGATGTGATTTGCCCGGGGGATGCTGAGCAAAAGGTCATTGCAATGTGGGACCAGTGGCGTACTTGGGACCTTGCACATGTGAAGAAAAGTCTTGCCATGAGACTTCTCTTTGGACACCTCGAGGAGAAGCTTCCCACACCAGAATCTGCGCCATTACATCTCGACATCAAATCTGCAGAGATCAAACTTACTATCGACCCGGGCCCGAAACAAAGCGAAATATCACTAGGTTACCTAGCAGTCAATGTCGCATTACTACCTCCCACGCTACCTGAAGGACTGATGTTGGTGGGCACGGAAATTCCAAAGAAATCCACCATCATTCAGATAAGCTCTCGCGATACAGTTTTGCATGTTCAGTGGGAGATTTGTGAGCTTGCAGAGTCTCTGCTGGTGTTGTTCCAGAAGGAGACCCTGCAGGCAACGCAGACGTCCAAATCCGTTCCCTCATCGCCAGCTCACAACCCCCCGGCAACGTTCGATGAGGATCTCCAAGTCGTGTTTGCAACGGACAAGGTTCAAATTACTCTCGATACTATTAACCTCCGGAGCATCAATACAGGCAGAAACATGCGTTTCTCTCTTCTTGATGCCGATAGCAAAGCTTCAGGTCTCGGCGAAATCCTGTCGGCTCATCTACACGTTGACGTGGCTGTGAGCGAGCTAGGTTCACGATCCCGACGCCTCTCCAAGATGCAATTCGAGCAGCCAAGCATATACTTTGCCTCGGTGAAACACGGCAGCAACAATTCGACACCTGACGAGATCAAAGTGGCAGCGGTCAGCCATAAGATTGCTGTAAAAGTGCAAGAGGACATCCTAGGTCTCATCGAAGTCGTAGACACTGTGGTCAAGGATGAAGTCGCCTATTTCCATCGCCAATCGAACATCGTACAAGAACTCGCAAAGACATCCTCTAAAGGTGGTGCGGTTGAAGAGAGCAAGACGCAACTACCAAACATATCCCTTGCACTGTTCATGGACGCATACCAAATCGAGCTGGCAGTGATACAGCCACTCGGTTGGTCAATTACAGGATCTTCTGGGCGGATTGCTGTTATCCCAGCCCTTGGCAAACACGTCACATTGCGGGTCGACTACGACCTAGAGGCCAATTTCCACAGGTTGTACAGTACATCGGAAGAAGGATCCCATGTGATTAGTTCCTTTGTGCTGCCACCACTTAATGGACGGCTGATGATCACACAAACCGAAAAGGAGACCAAGGTTTCGGCAACGGGCATAGTCGAGAAGATGCACGTCCAAGCGTCAGAGGTCCAATCTTTCATCTCCACCATGAACAAGCCAGAAATCTCGCACATGTTGAAGGCAGTCCAGGACGATGTTGAGGTTCTGAAGACGCACATCGAAGAACTGTTTCCTCCTTCGGCAAACTCGCCAGTTGTCAAAGCCCCCACCTCATCCCGCAACACTCTTTTCACGGTACAGATGACACTCCATGGCATGCACATCTCTGCGGCTGCACCAGGTCAATACCCAGACTCGCCAACAGCGAGTCTCGTGTTCCAACTCTCCACGGTGCAGATAAAGGCTACGAATGTCGACTCAAACCAAGAAATCTTGCTGTATCCTGAGGCTGTAGTCCAGATACACGAGGTTACTGTCGACATGAGCCTCAAGGACCTCGACTCTTCTGTTCGTCGCTGCGGCAATCTTACTTTCAGTGCAGTCTTCCAAGCTACAACAGAGAAAGACTCCGAGCCTACCCGTCGGGTATATCGTCTGCGCAGCTCAGGGCTGGAGGTGAATGCTTTTGCAGACACGGCATCGGCGGTTGTGGATGTGTTAAATCACTTGCAAGACAGGATCAAGGATCTTGACCTGTCGAAAGAGAAGAAGTATTTGCGACGCCTTCGACACACCAAAAGCAAAATTTCTTCACGACGTGATCGCAGTGTCAAAAGCGCAGCCCACGAAGAGACTGATAGTATCAACTCTGGGGCCCTCTTTACGTCAACATACTCTCTTGAACTCCTTGACTTGCAGGTCAGCTGGATTGTCGGAAACTCGGTCGCCCCATTTCCTCGCAACGAGATTGAGGATCTCGTGCTTTCGTTTGGAAAAATCGACCTTTCGACGCAAAAGGATGATGCTGCTCGCTTGATGGTAGAAGATATGCGGCTGCAAATGGTGCCAATTTCAGCCAACAAGAAGGCGCGTTCGCTCAATTCTGCTTTGCTACCAATGATGGTCTTCAATGTTGCTTATGCATCAACCAAAGATACACGCAAGTTGGCCTTTTTTGCTGCGGGAAAATCTCTCGATCTTCAGCTGGACTCACACTTCATCATGCCGGGAAATGTCATCGAACGATCCATTTCTCTTGCTGGAAAGAAGTTCCGCAAGGCATCTGCAAATTGGAGTATGACACCAACTACGACTGGTGCACAACGAAAGAAGCCGTTTGGCAACAAGCGTCTTGCATCATTGACGGCTGATGTTAACTTTGCTGGAGCAGTGGTGCATATCCATGGTAGCGACGCTCAGCCAGTGCAGGGTTCTTCTGGTCGAGCGCAGCAAAAAGGAAGATATAGCCAATTCGTAGGCGACGAGTCTAAGAGTAGTATGGCTTTGAGGGCACCGGGTGTGGCGGTTCGGGTCGAATATGCGGATGATGGTAGTGACCCTTCCCTCAACGCTGAGCTTCGCGTCGATGGCTCGACCAATACGTTGCTGCCAACTGTGGTGCCAATCATCATCGACATATCGGACAGTATAAAGGCCGTAGTCCGAGAAGAAGACGACGAGGACATGACAACGCCGACTGAATCGACGAACGAAGAAACTAAACCGGCTGCGAAACTGCTGGAAGACGAGAACATCATCACTGCCGATCCCACCACTATTCTCGGCAGAACAAGGCTCAACCTGGGGCTCCGGATCTGCAAGCAAGAGTTTAGTCTTAGTTGTCAGCCCATCGCTCGTGTCATGGCAATCGCCAAGGTTGAAGACATTTATATCACGGTCAACAGTGTCAAGTCTCAGGAACATGGTCACTTCTTTGCCGCATCTGCCACATTTGAGAAGCTACAGACCACCGTCCAACATGTATACTCGCGCGAGTCCACTTTCAGCTTAGACATGGAGTCAATTGTTCTTTCATTCATGAACAGCAAGCACCTGAGTGGCACTAGTGGTATCTCGGCTATCCTCAAGATTAACCCTACTGCTCTTCAGATCAACGCACGCCAGCTACAGGACTTCTTGCTATTCAGGGAAATTTGGGTACCTCCAGAGATTCGTCGTGCCTCGAAGCCTGCTTCACCGAATGCCAACTCGGAGCCGCAAGAGTACCTCATACAACGCTACCAGCAGGTCGCTGCTGCCACGGCTTTTCCATGGAACGCAAACGTAGCTATTGCTGACGTCAAGGTCGACCTGGATCTGGGTCAGTCAATTGGAAAATCAGCTCTGCATATCCACAACTTGTGGGCGTCTTCCAAAAAGAGCACCACTCGGGAACAAAATCTGTGCATAGGTGTCGAGAAGGTTGGCGTCGAGAGTACAGGACGCACGAGTGGCTTCGTTGAGCTATACGGAATGAAAGTACGCACCTCGATTGGCTGGCCAGCACATGATCAAGACACTCGCCAGACGCCTCTCATTCAAGCGTCGATTGCGTTCCGTCAGCTACGTGTCAAGACTGGTTTCGACTTCCAGGCCTTTGTGATGGCGGATATTGCCGATTTCGCCTTTCTCATGTACAATGTCCGGCCCGAGGGAGAGGATGTACAAGACCGACTGGTCGCTATCCTTGACGGTGGCAAGGTGCATGTCTTTTGTCATGCAACGAGTGCTGCACAAGGTCTTGCGCTATGGCAAGCGATCGAACGTCTCATCCAAGAGAACCAGCAAGCCTATAAGCAGTCTCTCAGAGACATTGAAAAGTTCCTTCGCCGCAATTCAACAAAGCATGAGGTACTAGACTCACCAGAGTCGCCTAGCCAGATACTCACCAAGCCCGACGAAGACAACTTCAAGGCGCCTATTTCGTTGCACACTGACGTTGTTGTCACGCTACGTTCGATCCGCTTCGGTGTCTTCCCATCTACATTCATTGACAACCAGGTTCTTGTGCTTGAAGCCGGCGATATGCAAGCTCGCTTTGCTGTCGCATTAGAGAAGAAGATGAAGATACACTCTAGTCTGGGCATGACTCTTGGTCAACTTTCCGTTGCACTATCATCAGTGCCGACCCCCAAACAGACCAAGCCCGTCACCGAACTTACCGTGGAAGACGTCTCCTCAAGCGCTAGCTCCGCACGTGGTGGGACAATCCTGCGAGTACCCAAAGTCATCGCCACAATGCATACTTGGCAAGTGCCAAAAGGCACACATATCGACTATCTCTTCCGCAGCTCACTCGAGGGCAAGGTGGATGTTGGTTGGAACTACTCCCGCATTTCCTACATCCGTACCATGTGGTCCAATCACTCCAGAAGTTTGGCCTCTCGCCTTGGCAAGCCCCTTCCAGAGTCCAACATCAAGATTAGCACTTCGCAGTCCCTTCAAGACGACTCCGACTCTCTCCCTACGGGCTCCGATGCTACCAGTAAGACCGCCTTGCCCTCTGGTCGACCACGTGCACCTTCGGTCAATGCCGATGGCCAAGAGAAGATCACTGCTGTAGTCAATGTCCCGCAGTCACGATACGAGTATACGCCCTTGGAGCCACCGTTGATTGAAACACCGCAGCTGAGGGATATGGGTGAGGCTACACCGCCGTTGGAGTGGATTGGATTACATAGAGATCGGTTGCCGAATGTCACGCATCAGATTGTCATTGTTACACTGCTAGAGATTGCGAGGGAGGTTGAAGAGGCGTATGAAAGGATTCTAGGAAGTACTTGAGTTGAGGTGGGATGGCGAGTTAGTTGGGGTGTCTCCTTGGAACGAAGTTTAAGAGGGTAGTATTCTTATTGTGTTTTCATGGAGTCTTGGGGATAGTTCATCGGATGCATATCATGGAGTCTTTAGTCTTTAGCTTTTATCACCTGAGACCTTGTATACAAACAGCTTACTACTCTCTTTCACTCACTGCCTATAAAGGCGCGTACCTCATGGATCGGAACCGCTGACTAGCAATTGCCACCTCGGCGCCCTTGCACAGTTTGCTTGCACCCTAAAAGGCGTTAGTGCGCGCCCTTTTGGGAGCTCCTCGCTCACCTGGAGTCGAAAACGCGCTCACCAGGAGTCGAAAACGCGCTCACCTAGAGTTTGGCTTGGCGCAATCTCACCCCCAGTGTACTATATAACCCCACTTCCACCCCATTGCTACAGACAACTCTGACAACTCTCTTGCTCCTCAAGTTACGTCACCCCCCAAGACAACTACCACATTACCCCACCACCGCATACCACTATATCACCATGAGCTCTGGCAGACACACTGAGTCGTAAGTACACATCGCTCCCTCCTAAGCATGCTTTGTATCCTCCTCCATGCTGTTTTGGGGGCCAACATCACGGTTACGGATTATACTGTATGCAGTATGAGGGTATATAAAGATCAGATTCACAAGTGCCACATCCAATGTATCCAGCACGCTAACACATTGGAGTGGCCCTTCGAGGTCTCGCCAACGCGTTGAAGACGACGGGTACAACTACTTCGACGAATCGAACGTAGAAGTACCCGTCGTCTTCAGCAGCAATGGCAAGGCCAAGGCCAAGGTCAAAGAGCCCGCCTATGAGGGTAAAGGCAAGGGAAAGGCTCCGGTAGTCCAGGAGCCAGAGGAGGAAGGTGAGGGCGAAGGCACCACTCACCTGAGCACCCCCGCCACAAAGGCCGGTAAGTCTGCCCTTGCCGCATACGAAGCTAGGAAGAGAAGACTGACATAAGACAGGAATCTCCTACGACGACTACCACTTCTCAGACACCAGCATCGACTACGACTCCACACCTACCCCCTCTTCTCCAACTCACCCCACACCCACCCCCAGCCGCCTTTCCAAGAACATTGTCGCCTTCGACCCAAACAACGCAAACCCCTACACGATGCCTACCGATCCGGTAGACCCCAACCTCTCCCTCCTCCAAGCCCGCACCCTCAAGAACTCGGTCACGGCACTCCCGGCTACACTGATACCACCGGCTCAGCTGCCCGCTCCATCGTCGTCGGACCCCGAGGTCCAGCTCATCACCAGCCTCCGCGACGACAAGAAGATGAAGTGGATGGACATCGCGATCCAACTCAACGCAGCACGACAGGACCGCAATAAGGCACCAGTCTGGAACCCAGCCAGTGTGTACTCTCGATACATCCTCGCAGCTCCGATGACAGCAACACCAGTGGCTGAGATTGGCTTCGACGCCAAAGATTACACTTACTTGAGGGATCCCGGACAGGTTCTTGTCCAGCCTGGCTCTACTCCCACGAGCGCAGATCCCTCTGTCCCCGGTTCCGCTGCCGCTACCTCCTCTGCTCCTGGTTCTTCTGCAGCAAAACCGAAAGCCAAGGTCGCTGTCCCCCGCGCCGGACGGAAGCGTGTGAAGAACCTCGAGAACGCGATTGAGCTCAAGGACAACGTCAGACAGCCCGCGACAGCAGAGGAGTTGGAGGAGCTGAAGGGAGAGGCGAGGATGCAGATGCTTATTGAGGCTGTCGCCAAGGTCGAGAGGAACTTCTGGACGCTCGTGGCGGATGAGGTGGACAGGGTTGGCGGTGTGAAGTACGAGGGCAAGGTGTTGGCCAATAGGTGGTTTGAGCTTTGAGTGTGTGTGGTGGGAAGTGGGAAATTTGAACTTCAACACCCCGCTGAGATGTATGGCATGACAGCGAGGAGGTTTGTTTTGAGGGGTTTTCATTACAAAAGCAGTGGTGTTTGGGAGTTTCATTTGCGGCGGGATCTTTTTCTTCTTCCAGATACCCAAGGTTTTGCGTCTTTCTATCGGCAAGGGTATCATTGATATCAAGCCTGTCTCACAAAATGCATTATTTCGTTGCTTGATTTGTTTGATTTCATCTACCAATGCACGAATTCGTGATTCATATATGTGCTACTTCACTCAACTCCCAGCACATCTATACCTCCTTTGCGGGGACACCACCCGGCAGCGTCTGAACCTTCTCTTGGAAGAGCTTCTCAGCACCCTGCCACACAGGCGTTGTCGCGCGGTCCTTCAGAGCCATCAAGCTAGGCAGCAGAGCGTTGCTAAAGGCTTCTGAAGACTCACGAGGCAACGCAGAGGGAAGGTGGTCAATGGAGATGACAGATAGTCTAGGACCGTCACCCTCGACAGAAACCTCAACTGTGGGCTTGTCAAAGGTGGTGTTGATATCGTAGATGGGAATGGGGTTATGAGGGTTAGTAGTGTCACAGCTGACATCGCAAACGACGCTGAGTCTGCGGTTTGGCGACTTGAGACTCTCCTTGTTGACAAAAGGCGGGATGGGCTTGGAAAGGTAGATGCAGTTGACGAAGATGTCAGATTCGACAATTTCGGGGTATGGGCCGTCGCGCTCCTTGGTCTCGGCAAGATCCCACTTCTTGATCTCAGGGCAGCCAATCTTCTCAAGGAGGTCGACGGCACCAGAGCCGCAGCGGCCGAGAGCACCTAGCACCAGACTGCTGGGCTTGTGTCCTGCGATCTTTTCGCCGGCTGCGACATCTTCCTTGAGTTGGGTAATCAACTCGCTCTCGTTGTTGTAGTAGCCGCGTCCCTCAGTGAAGGTCTCTAGACCAGGAAGGGGCTCGCCGTTGGGATGGGTGAGTTGCCAAGCCCATGTCTAGGAAGAGTCAGAAATGTGGTAGCATGGCACCTTCCTCAACATACCTTGATGGCAAGAGCAGCGCCGACGAAACCGGCGTGGTAGCCAAAGGCAGCAACGCGCCTGCCTGACTCATCTTGCAGGAACTCGAGGTCATACAATGTGCCACCGCCACGGGGGAACCTCGCCAATACGTTTTCCCATCCGCCTTGCTGCTTGTAGCAATGTGCAAAGTGTACGAATGTGTGCTCGAGCGGGAACTTGTCCTCTGGCAGCTCCTTTAGGCCGATGATGATGCGGTCCTTGGGGGCCGTCTTGTATGCGCCTTCCTCGATGAGCGTCGCGCCTACCTCCTCGAACTCGTCGTCTTTGAAGATACGGGCGTAGTTGGGGTCCTTGGGCGAGCGCTCGACGAGGACAGGGTAGCCAGCATCGAGCAGCTTCTTTGCGGTTGTGGGTGTGAGACTTGAGGGTATTAGAAAATTATATCATGCAACTACAGGGACTACTCACCACGAGCGGTGTTCAAGAGGTTTAGCCTCTGCGCGGGCATGTAGTGTGGGGAAAGCCATTGCAGTTGGATCGTGTAATAAGAGATTAGTTAATTCTCAAGTGTCAACTACAGCCAGTGTTGTAATGTGAGGCTATCTTATACGTGATGGTACGGAATTCGGAATACTGGGGAAGTCTGGCGGATTAATCACGATACGATGACTCCATGGTCTTTTTTTCCTGGGGCTCCCACGTCGAGCTCCGAGAACGGCGCTACTGCAGGGCAGCAGCGGTACCATCGGACCCGTCCAGTCCATAATAGTGCAGGCGGAGAAGTCAGATTTAAGTCACAACGGTCGCTGCAACCATTTACTCGCTCCATGCCATGGCCCGCCTGGCTTGGAGTGAGACATTTACGTAGTGGGGCACTGGCCTCGATGCCATCGCAATGCGCACGTGCATGACTCGTCGGCGCTTCGACCCTGTTCGATGTTAGAAGCTAGGTAAACTTCTCCTCGGCCGCCTCAAAACTCCAAACCACAATGCAGGCGCGTCTCCATGCTCTTGTCCCCGCTGCAAGCAAGCAGAAAAGGCAGGATAGCCGCTGAGTAACGTCACTCACTCTCGATCCGAGGTTTGCAGTATACAAGAGATATACCAGAGATATAACCGAGCGGATATAACGTCGGCAATACCTCGACTCCGATTCGCTGATAGTGCACCGTCGCAAAGCACACAAGTCGTCGTCGACATGGCGCCAAAAAGAAACACAGCAGACGACAGTCCGGCTGGACAGGCCTCTCATTCGCGTGAGTCGTCGACAACCAGCGTCCGCCATCCACACGCGCCCGCTACGCCCAGCCAGCTGCGGAACGCCCATGTCCCTTCAGACAGATCCAGCTCGCCAGAGGAAGTCATGCACCCCCGGCGCCGCTATTATGACGATGAGCCTCAACCCTCGGGTAGCGATAGCCACGACCTTGGCTTCTCCACCGACGGCATACAACCTGCCACCGACGCCTCTTCCGTCCACTCGAACCGCGAGAATACCGCGTCTCAAGGTCCCATTATAGAGATTGACTTTGAGCCAACGGCGCGGTCGCGACTGCTCGAACTTCAAGATGAGGCGCCGGGGAGGCCGGGGGTACATCGTAACTACGGTAGCTTTGCAGGCAGCATACACTCGGATGAGAGCTTTGGAGGTACCTTTCCGGGCTTGAGAGGGTCACCGGATGGTGATGGGCCAGACGAGACAAACTCGCTGCTGAGCGATGCCTTTGGCGACGGCGTCACAAACAAGGGAGGCAAATCCAAGATGAGCACGACTCGCTGGTTGGCTGAGCGTCATGGCATCAAGGATAAACGTATGATGTACTTGAAGTACTACATACCAGTCCTCAACTGGACACGGCAGTACAAATGGCGCTACTTCAAGGGCGACCTCATTGCAGCCGTCACCATGGCCTCCTTCTACATCCCCATGGCCTTGTCCTACGCCTCCAACCTCGCACACCTGCCGCCCGTCCACGGTCTCTACAGCTTCGCCCTCAACCCGCTCATATACGCCGTACTGGGCACTTGTCCGCAGATGATCGTGGGCCCAGAAGCACCTGGTTCGCTCCTGATCGGAGAGATTGTGCGCGAGAATATCAGAAAGGGCAAGGTCGGTGACAACGACGGCCGGCGCAATGCTGAGATTGCGGGTATAGTAACCTGCATGGCTGGTGCTTTTATTCTCATAGCAGGTTTCTTCAGACTTGGCTTCCTCGACAATGTCTTGAGCCGACCTTTTTTGCGAGGCTTCATCAGCGCTATTGGTGTCGTCATCTTCGTGGATCAGACAATACCGCAAATGGGTTTGGCAAGACTAGCTGCCGATGAGGTGTCTCACGGTAGCTGCTTGGACAAGGCCTTTTTCCTCTTCCGCAACCTTGGACAGGCACATGGACTTACTTGCGCAATGTCGTTTACTGCATTTGCCATCATCATGTTTTTCAGGTATGTTGCCCATATCTTCGACTCTACCCTGCTGACCGTCACTTAGGGAGTTCAAGAAGCGACTGCAACCACGATACCCCAACGTTGCCTACATACCCGACCGATTTGTTGTCGTTGTGCTCTCTGCAGTGCTGACATGGAAATACCGCCTAGACCAACAAGGGCTCGCCGTGCTCGGAGACGTCAATTCGAGCGCCAAGTTGTTCTCTGTTCACTTCCCGTTCGAGACCTCACACCTCAAATACGTGGGCGATGCCGTCAATACAGCCCTCATTATCGCTATGCTGGGCTTCTTCGAGTCTTCTGTTGCGGCCAAGTCTCTGGGTAGCGGCGACAGTACCAAAGACGGCGTACACATGCCGCTCAGCGCGAACCGAGAGCTCATTGCTCTCGGCACGGCAAACATTACCGGTGGTCTGTTCATGGCCCTTCCAGCCTTTGGTGGCTATGGTCGCTCCAAGGTCAACGCATCCACTGGCGGTCTGACACCGATGAGTTCCGTCTTACTCTCCATCATAACCATCCTATGCACCGTGTTCATGTTGCCATATTTCTACTACCTACCCAAGGGTGTGCTCTGCGCCATGGTTTCTGTAGTTGCATATTCGCTTATTGAAGAAGCACCACACGACATCAAGTTCTTCTGGAAGATTCGTGGCTGGTCAGAGCTTGTCCTCATGGGCCTCATCTTCTTCATCACCATTGTATGGGACCTCAAGCGCGGCATCGGTGTCGGTATCGGCCTCTCCCTACTCCGTCTCATTCGCCACTCGGTCCGGCCGCGCATCCAGATTCTCGGCCGCGTACCGGGCACAGCGAATCAGTTCTCAAATGCGGAGTCCAATCCCGGGGCCGTGGAGTTCATCGAAGGGTGTCTGATTGTCAAAATCCCCGAGCCACTGACGTTTGCCAATACAGGAAATCTAAAGACTCGTCTCGGTCGCCTGGAGGATCACGGCACCGGCATGGCACATCCCGCACTACCGCGTGTGCGCCGTGCAGAAAACAACAAGAACATCATCTTTGATGTCCACGGCGTTACCTCGCTCGATGGTGCGGGCGCACAGGTCCTCTCTGAAATTGTAGAGTCGTACCGCAAACGCAACGTCCGAGTCTTCTTCTGTAGGGTGCCCAAAGAATCAAGCCCCGTCTTCCAACTCTTCGACAAGAGTGGCATCGTCGAAATGTGCGGTGGAAAGCACCATTTCGTCTCCAGCGTAGAGGAAGCGCTCCGCCTAACGGAGCTGGAACGCCTGCAAGAGGAGTGGCAGGTCGACTCGGCGGAGAGCTCCAGAGCCGTTTCTAGCACGACATGATTGGTATGCTGATACGATACGAAATCCAAAGTCATGATATTTCCTATTTCAGCCACTGCTGCCACGTGGCGATGATAGCATTGAGCATGCATATCTGCATTGGGTGAAGGCGTCGGCGTTGTAAGCGCTTCGTATTTTTACTATCATGGGATATTTGCTTGTGCTTGTCATATCATGTCATGTATGTATGTCATTCTTACGCCTTGGCGTGTGTTGTAGAATTTATACGCAAGGCAAGACTTATATTCACACGTGAGAATGTGGACTGCAGTGATACGTACGGCAGGACATGGAATACGAGACTCGGCATGCATGCGGGGAGTTGAGGCTCGTACGGATACAACGGCTGTCGCTGGTAGCATGGGGAGCGGCCCGTCTGTCTGGCAACCTCACCGATTGGATTCGTTGTACATACGGGATGTTCACCTAGGCTTTGAGGCTCAGTGCCGGTATTTGCCTGCTTGATTTCGCGCAAGTTGATGATCGCGGTATAGATAAGATGGTTGACCCGGAGATTTTCGATGACAACCGGTACTGATTTGCGCCGCACCGCGATGCACTGCAGCGGCTACAAATATTCCGTCTTGCTAGCTTGCGCCACGAACGAGAACTCACGATAGTGTGTCTATACACAAGCGGGATATTTTTCTGGGTCTTCACGTGTGGCAGGGATATGTCATGATTCAGAGGTTTGCTGATTCAGTCTTCGTATCGAGTGCGCGCATAGTATGTGCATGGCATGTCACTGTGGGGTTGGGCGGGGGATATTTCTGTGCCCGAAGACGTGTTGGTCGAGCTGTCTGTCGTGAGATTACGTCCGAGGAAGCCCGAGGCGGGGAGCAGGAGTAGGACCTGGATACCCCAGTGTGGGGATGGATGTCGTATTGTAGATCGCCTTCACGGCTTCAGTCTTTCGTTGAAACGCGCGCTGGCTGATATGCTAACAAACCTGTACGCTGTATCGAAATACAGTCTTCATGACATCAGCACACCATGCAGTATCCAAATCCAGTAACCCGTCCACTCCGTCGCACATGTGCATGTGCGCACGACTCGCCAACCCAACCAAGCTTTTGCCGTCCCACCCTTGACAAGCCCTGGAAAGGCTTTTATCCCCGTTTCTCATCCAGCCAAGCGACTCTTAGCTACGCTTAGCACGGCTTATGTGGTGTCTTGACTAACCAAGCTGGGGTCTGCGGTGCCGGCCCCCGCAGCCTTCTACGGGCCCTTGCGGGGGAGCTATTGGTTCACGAGCTGACATGCGGGGTTAGCGCAATGTCATGCTGTTGTGTGGGCTGCACGGTATTGTTGGCAGAATGGACAGGTTGGAGAGGTGGGTTAGAGTATGTGTGTGGTTTAAATAGCGGTGGCAGAGCCCTCCCTCCGAGGTGAGAAGGGTGTGTCTGTTGCAGGCGCGGTTGCATCTATCCATCCGGTTGCTCTTTGGAAGACGAACATCACGGTACACTGAATCGGACTCCTGGCTACCAGCCACTTCTCACAATTATCCTTGCCCCCTCCTTTCCTTCTCTTCCTCCGCAGTCATGGCGGATAAGTACGATGGCGCTGAGGAGCGTGAATACGTTCATCCCCCTACCCATCACAAGATGTCGGCTGGTCGCTACATCGCAACGCGCATTCCGACGCTCAAACCCGCACACGACAAGGTGGCTAATCCGATTGCTCTGCTCCGCATGTTGAACCTGCAGCAATGGCTTTTCTTCCTTGTCGCCTTTTTCGCTTGGACGTGGGATGCGTTTGACTTCTTCACTGTCTCCTTGACTGTGTCGGATCTGGCTGAGACGTTTGGCAAGACAAAGACGGATATTACGTGGGGTATCACGCTGGTGCTTATGCTGAGGAGCGTGGGTAGTATCATCTTTGGTTTGGCGGCCGATCGGTATGGGAGGAAGTGGCCGTTTATTGTTAATAATTTGTTGTTTATTGTGTTGGAGTTAGGGACGGGGTTTTGCTCTACGTATAAAGAGTTCTTGGCGGTTAGGGCGTTGTTTGGTATTGCTATGGGTGGGTTGTATGGGAATGCTGCTGCTACTGGTAAGTCTTATTCTTCTACTCAGGGTCAGATGAATGACTGACCTCTTTAGCCCTTGAAGACTGCCCTGAACAAGCCCGTGGTATCATCTCGGGTATGCTACAACAAGGGTATGCCTTTGGATACCTTCTCGCCACTGTCTTCTCCCGCGCTTTTGTCAACACCGTCGGCCATGGATGGCGCCCACTTTTCTGGTTCGGTGCCGGACCCCCTGTCCTAATTATCCTCTTCCGTCTCTGTCTCCCAGAAACGAAAGCTTACCTCGAGCGCAAGCGACTCCGCGAAGAAGAGCCCAACGCAGCCAAGGTATTTTTTGAAGAGGGCAAGGTCGCACTGAAGCGTCACTGGATGGTGCTTGTGTACCTTGTGTTGTTGATGGCTGGCTTCAACTTCATGTCGCATGGAAGTCAGGATCTATACCCCACCATGTTGAGCAACCAGTACAACTTCTCTCCTAACCAGGTCACCGTCACTCAGGTCGTCGCCAACCTAGGCGCCATGTGCGGCGGTACTATCGTTGGATATTCGTCCTCCATCTTCGGTCGTCGCATATGTATAATTGTCATGTGTGTCATCGGCGGCGCACTCCTCTACCCATACACCTTCACCTCCAGCAACGCCGTCATAGCTGCGGCCTTCTTCCAACAATTCTGCGTCCAAGGTGCCTGGGGCGTCATTCCCATCCACCTCATGGAACTCTCACCCGGCGCCTTCCGTACCTTTGTCGTCGGAACAAGTTATCAGCTCGGTAACCTTGCGTCCTCGGCCTCCTCCACAATTGAAGCCACAATTGGCGAGCAATTCCCGCTACCACCAAAGGGAAAGACGGAGCGGTACAAGTACGGTCTTGTCATTTGCATCTTCATGGGCTGTGTCTATGCATACGTTATCCTGTTGACGGCAATCGGACCAGAGTACCGGGGCAAGAACTTTGATGCTGCTGCGGATGAAGACCTGGCAGTTGTAACCGGCGCGAACGACAAATTAGGTGGGAGACATGATAGCGAGGTCGAGGCCAAAGACCATGTGTGATGCAAAAGAACAAACCTGCATTACGTCATGGCCCGTCCTTGTCCGGAAGGCGCGTGTGTAGTATAGTACAGTATAGTCCCTCGGCATATACCTACAATGTCCCGTCGTTCCGCAATATCATCTATATTAACAAAGCCACAACTTGTCCCAGACACATCCACTGCTATCCCCGATCCGTTAATCTACCAATACGCCTACCAAGCCTCATTTACCTACCGTCGCATCGCATCTCGATCGTCACCCATTATCCTCTATCTCCCATCTCTCTATCACCCTGCCCCAAAGGACCGACCGAACCCAAGTCAACCCAACCCGCCTTACCAATCCCCAGAACCCAGACCAAACATCCTCACATCCACCCTTCTAATATCGCCAGCACACCCCATGTGACCACTCTCATATTAAACCCCATTACGGCATTGACGTAGCTAATATAGTACTACCCAGGGCTGCACGCATCTCCATTGGTCGTGTTGTTAGCGACGGGACCGGCATCCGTCGCTAGCGTGAGCCAAGACTGGTTGCCGGATAGATTGAGGCTATATGTGGTAATATATATTTTTGCGGGTTCTGGCTTGCGTTCTTTTTGTGTATGGGGACGAAGAGGAAGGAGGCATGCATGGAGGCGTGGCCGCGTGGTTGGGGCGAGAGTGCCGGGTGTGGAGTGCGTATTGCCGGTGGTTGTGTGTGTGGGAGGAAGGAAGGGAGGTATATATGTGGGTGAGGAGGGATGGGAATACGAAATACATATTCTTTACATCTGGCCGATCTACCAAAGGACCGGATATCAACGCTCAAGATGAAGACTTCTGCTCTCCTCATCGCTGCTGGTGCGACACTGGCTAGTGCTCACTGTACATCTCCCCTCCCTTCTCCCCTCACTACACTCCAAAACAACACTCCCCCATCACACTCCATCTAAAACCAACATCCTACAGACACCCTACCCTCCATCAACGGCGACGGCACCTGGGTTCACGTCCGCCAAGCCAAGAACTGGCAAGACAACGGCTTCGTCGGCGACGTCACGAGCTCCGACATCCGCTGCAACCAGCTCCGCCCCGGTACCTCTGGCGCCCTCAGCGTAGCCGCCGGCTCCTCAGTCAAAGTCAGCGTAAACCCAAATGCGTACCACCCGGGCCCCTTCCAATCGTACCTCGCCAAGGTGCCGGAAGGTCAGGATGTGAACACCTGGGATCCTACCGGTGCTGTGTGGTTTAGGATTTATGCTGAACAGCCAAAGTTCGGGAGTCAGTTGACTTGGTTGAGTGAGTTGCCTTTTACCCCTCTCGTCTTTCTTTATTGGGGGTTTACATGCGTGGTTGAGCACTGAGCCAAAAATGACAATCTACTAACACAACCCACCCCAGGCGCCGCAAACTACAACATCAACATCCCCTCGTGCATCGCGCCAGGCAAATACCTCATGCGCAACGAGCACATTGCGATACACACTGCCGGTACAAGAGGCGGTGCGCAATTCTACCTTTCTTGCGCCCAGATTGAAGTCACGGGTGGTGGCAGCAAGACGCCGACCAACTTGGTGGCTTTCCCCGGTGCTTATAGTGCGACGGATCCGGGTATTTTGATTAATATCAATTACCCGATTCCTACAAGTTACAAGAACCCTGGTCCTCCGACGTTTACCTGCTAGATGGGTGGGTTCGAGGTAGAGGGTGGGATGGGAGTGTACATATTTGAGGGCTAGAATGTTTGTAGAAGATATTTTCGGGCATTATAGGAGCTTGTGGAATTAGATGTTGTGTTTTGATCGTTGGTTTATGATTTGATGACGATGTGTATGATATAGGGATGTGATGGCTTGTCAATGTATGTATGGCATTTTGTATCGACATGAACGTATCTTTTTCATGGGAGTCTGTGAAGAATTTGTTCGTCTCGGTGAATATGGAAAATATAATATCATACTGCTGGTTCAACACTAATATCGAGCAGATTAATTGCAAATCGAACAGATTTGTGTCAGGGCAAGTAGCGCGATGTTGCTTTATACTAAAACAAAAAGCCCCAAAGTCAATTCCTGGCTATTGTGTCAGTCACTACCTACAAACAACCCGTAGTCTCCATTTACCACACAGAAAAAAACGATACCACACTACATTCGCGCCACTATACCAAAAGAAACCTAATCCCAAATAGGTACCCAAGCCCTCCACAGCTACCCTCCTCTCCCCTAAACCATCTCACACCCCCTCTCATCCTCCACCAACTTGCCTAACCTCCCCCCACCATCGCCATCACCATCAACCCCACTCCGCCTCACCAACGACGGCGGCAACAAAAAGTGCCTTAGCGACCTCACACGCATCGGCGCCGTGTTCTCGCCCTCTACCTCCAACGCACGGTACGACGGCCTGCGTATCGGTGTTGTGGCCCCGAAAGGTGAGGGGGGAACGAAAGAGTAGCGGAACGCGGGATGTTTGTTGTATGATGGTTCCGATTCTATGGATTTGAAATGTGCGGGGTTGATGTTGTGGTGGGGAAGGGGAAGGGAGGGTTTGAGGGAGGCTGTTGATGTGTGTGTGGAGGAGAGGGTATGGGTTTTTGTGAGGGGGGGATGGTGGGGTTTGCGGGTCCTGGGGCTGGGTTTAGTGGTTGTTCTTACATGTGGATGATGAAGGTGTAGGTGGGAAAATGTACTAACCTCCTGATTGTCTCACATGATTGAGGCGCTGGACGTTTGGGTCGGAAGGGCCATAGTGCTAGGGTACCGAAGATACCCAGTGCGGAGAGTGTAAGCATCAAGGCGGGGTATAAGCCGTAGAACCAGAATTGAAGCCATGAGTGTGCAGTGAAGGGCTTCATTTTGGGGAGACGGGGAAGCTATTGGAGTGGGAGGTAGAGTGAGGTATTTGTTGCGCGCGGGCTTGGGGGACGTGAAGATGGGTAGAACTTGCGCGGGGGAGGAAGATGGCATAGTTTAATAGTGTGCGCCATCACCTACAGAACGGTCGAAAACAGAATGCCTTGATTGGGGCGGATGAGGAGAACGATGGACTGCAGTGTGAGTGATGCAAAGCGACACTGTCTTAGTGCCACTGGCGGTTGAAACTTGCTCTCGCTTACGCCTGTTACTTCCATAAGCTGTGTATGGTGTGACAGTCGAGATTCAAAAGTGAGGTTATTCGTAAGCAGTGTGGTCCGATTGGGGCGCGAAAGGACTGAAACCGATCCCCCTAGGCGTTCAACACCAACTGACTGTGCCGCAATCTACATGTTTTGTTCGCTAGATGCCACCGTTGAAGTGGCTATCATGGTATGAATTCTTGATTTTGTCTTCAAAGCATATAGAGCATGAGTAGTGTCGCGCATGCATTTAGAGTCATATGGATTCTCCAAAAACTCTCTTGGACAACAGATCGGTCACGGACACATGTCTTAGACCATCACCGCTATTCAAAGCAGCTCCGCCTCTTGGCTAAGCTCCGTCGGGCGTATGAAACTGTTCCCGCCAAGCTTTTGACAAACTTGTCGTGATGGACGCCTTGAAACACGTTGGTGTTGACTTTGGGGCCGAAGAGATCTGATCGTACACGGCCTTATCTTATGATTGTGTTTTCCATGATGAGAATGGTCCACATCAAGTATAACAGATGATAATAGTATCAAAAATTCAAGCTGTCTCTACCTCTTCTTCGTTGAGCCGATGGAATCGTACTCACAGTCCACAGTATCCTAACACCGCCATGTGAATCTCAGTACCCTGAAGGATCAGACATTATACACATTTGATTCAGCAGAAACCTATAAAACACGGAATACACGTTACACGAGTATCCAGGCGTGCTTTTAAACCGCAGGATGCACCTCGTGGGTGTGGAGTGTGTCTGAACGCCACACGCGATGATCACAACTCGGGCGTAACTGACACCGCATGAACAACACGTCCGACATCGGGCGTCTAATTGGGAATATCATCGCAAATCATCATGATAAGTAATAGCCCTAGGGCTTTTCGCATCGCTGCGATCGCTGTAAGGTTTGCGCTGGTGTGAGGTTTCGTTGACGATCAGGTTGCCAATTCGCGAACTCTGGTTGATGTCTTTAGTCTAGTGTCTTCATAGTTTGACGGGACGACTTGAAGTAGAGTTTTGGTCCGTTCTTTTTCTTTTTCTCTAGCGCGTTTTCCATAAATTTCGCCGTACGGGCAGACTGAGAGACGTTGAAGATAGTCAGTCTTGGGTGGCAAAGATAGATTACAAAGTCCGTAGACTAACGGCGCACAACCAGTAATTAGATACAAACAAAATACAAGTGACCCGATACAGTAACGGAGATTAAACACAAACAAGAAATATTTGGTCAAAATAAAAGGATTTGCTTTTGATACCAAAAAAATTGTGGGCTAATCTCAGAATTCAGTAGTGTCGGAGATGTCCGGATTTGAAGACCCCATTGGTGATGATGCTGTGCTGAAGACCGAGGACGGCTTTGGAGCTGTGGAGGGATATGATAATTCCTAAAGTCATAACTGTGGTGTTTGAGGGCTGGGTGGGTGTGATCTTGAAGGGCCGTGAGTGAGTGATATTGAGGGAGTTCAGTATGTAATTGCTGGAAACCACAAGGCCTGGCAGAAATGACGTAAAATGATTTCAGTTCAGTCTCATTGTGTCAGCAAAGAACATGCAATCTTGATCAAGTGAAGACTTTCATATTCGTTAAAAGCGATGATTATACTTCTAGTGAAAAATCTCCATTGTCTTCATCAACCCATAAAATCATAGTCTATATCATCATTGAAACGTAGTGTTCACACTATCGCTTGCCTGGCACTTGGGCGCAGTGTAAGAGCGGTTCGGGTCGTTCTCCCAGCTGGTGGTGCCTCCGCTGCTAATCTTCGCAAACTTGTACTGGATGGTTGATCCAGCGGCCAACGGTACTGTGATGGTCCAGATTGGGTTGCTTGAGGTGTAGCTCGCTGCTGAAAGGGTAAGTCCGTTGGCTGGGGTCCAGTTACCCAGCTGAGCGGTGTTGCCTGTCATCTTGATTGTGTCGCCGGGAACAGTGACAACGCGGTCAGTGAAGGTTACAGAAACTGTGGTTGGGCATCCGGTGGCAACGCCAGTGGCTGTGCGTGTGGTGAGAGTAGTGCCGGTGGTGGGTGTGCCGGAGGAGGCGAGGAGGACCACAGGGTTGCCGTTCTTGACATTCACACAGATGTTACCGCTGCCGTCGGCGGTCACTGTGCCCTGGCTTCCGTATACGTCGATCCATCTGCCGTTGGCCTTCTGGGTGTTGAAGCAGTGCTGCGCGTTGGAGGTGCTTCCGCTGTTTGTGGTAAGGACGACAAGGTTGCCTCCTGCGCGACTCCAGGCATAGGCGGTGGCGGCCACATAGAGATGGACGTGGTCATTTCCGCCTAGACCTCCTGCCGACTTCCTTGCGGCTGTCAACTTCTTAATGTTCTGGTACATGTCGGTGTTGGTGCTGAAGCTGCTTCGCCAGAGGTCCTCTCGGTTGGCTGGGTCATCGCCACCAGCGTAGCCTTGCTCAGTCCCGTAGTACACGATGGGAATACCACGTGCGAGGATGACGTAAGCCAAACAGTTTGTAAGCAGGGTTTTGTCGTTCTTCACGGCCAACCAACGCTTGTTGTCGTGGTTGTCGAGGAAAGTACCAAGTGCCGCAGGATCCGGGAACGTGCTGCTGACTGTGTTCATCATATCTACGAGTGCTTGAGATGAGCCCTTCTGCTGATAGAAGTTGTTCATGGGATAGTAAACCGCATAGTTCAGCAGACCGGGCATGAGCTTGGCGTACTGGGCAAGGTAGTCTGGGTTTCCATCAAATACTTCGCCGATGCTGTAGACACCAGCTGCAGCAGCAAAGCCTGGCCAGAAGTCCTTCTCAACGTGCTTGACAGTGTCGATGCGGACGCCGTCGAAGCTGTACTCCTTGACAAGGTAGGAAATCCAGGTCTTGAATGTGTCGCGGACCGAGGTGAGAGACGTGTTGATGTCGGGAAGACCGGCAATTTCGCATACCTCGACACTGTTCTGATTGCTGTAGTCGATAGCGCAGGGAGTGTGGTAAGTTGAAGACAGGTTCAGCGGTGCGGGTTGGTTGGCGGTAACAGCACCCGGGCCCATATGGTTAGCAACAACATCAACCATGACGTACATGCCCTTTGCATGGGCAGCAGCCGTCAAGCTCTTCAGGTCGGCAGCTGTGCCATAGTTTGAGTTGATTTTGTACAGATCCTCGGCCCAGTAGCCATGGTATCCAGCAGCCTTGTCTGTGTATTGTCAGCATGTACTTCCCCAGATACATGGATATTGAGCATACTCGAAACGACCGGAGTGATCCAGATGGAATCAAAACCTAGTCCTTGAATGTAGTCAAGCTTGGCTTGAAGACCTTTGAACGTCCCACCGCAGTAGTTGCCGAGGTTGCTGCATGCGCTGCCACCAGCATCACTACTGCTGCGAGCAATACGATCGGTCAAGACGAAGTAGATGCTGCGAGACTTCCAGGCGGCGGTATCAGCCGCGTTGACAACGGAAGTGATGGAGAAGAGAACGGTGGCAAGGCGGTTGAGTAACAACATGCTGGCGAGGTGATGCTTCCCGGAGCTGGTGATTGAGGTGCTCAGGGTGTGATGCCTTTGACTTTGGACGGGGTCGACTGTTTAACTTATAGAAGTGCCACAAGTGGGTTGTGGACAATCCTTCACGATCCCCTCAGCTCCGAGTCGTGCTTACTAGAGTCCGTCGTCGACTCGGGTGCGCCTTCACCGTGGTTAATGATGCTAAAGGAGTCGCGGAGGCTAGTTAACAAGCCCTCGGTCCGTCTTGAATCCACTGATGGAGATGTGCCTGGACGATCATTTTACTTTTAGGTGATCATCGGACTGGATGGTAGGCCCTTAGCATACCTCGTGGACGGTTGAAACAGGTCCGCGGGGTACAGAAAACGGTGCAGAGGCCTAATCAGGAAGCTGCCGAAAGTCGTAATCATTGATTCCGACTCTTCCAGTTCCGGTATTGGCTGCCGTGTATATAGCGCTGGCTTCGCGCTGACTGCGCGCTGGCTCCGCGCATTGACTCTAGGGTAGACTAGAGGATGCGGAGCTTCCAGGGGAAATGAGAATTGTCGCAAGGGCTAGATGACGGTGGCGGCGTAAGCGAGCTGATGTGCCTCGGGTTTGGGTGCTTAGTGTCATGATCCTGAAGGTGGAGTCCCCGCGATCCGGCAGTAGCCATGTGATTTTCAATCTAAGGCGCGGGCCGGACAACGTTTTGAAGGCCTCATGACCGTCCTTGGGGCTTTCTTTCATGGCTGGGCTCTTAGCTCTTACTTCGTCCCGACACTGATCCAATCGTGGTGCCGGTGCTGACAGCTGTCGCAACCACTACCACCACCACGGCAAGCGGCCGAAGGACGCTAGATTCTTCCATCATGATTAGCGCAAGAAGCGGACGCGGTCCGGTGTTGGTGCTATTGGCTATGCGATGCATCTTGCAGATGGTAATTCCACGAATCCAGGAATCCACGGAGTTGTAGCAGAGTGTGGAGCCGGCATGCTAATGCATAAAATTACGGTAGCAGAACCAGCCATGCGGCCCAAATGAGGCATCAAACTTCGCAGAAATGCACTACTCGCCTTTGTGAGCATCATTTACGAAATCCATGTTGGAGAGGCCAAAGTGCTCTGCAGACTGTGCCGACTTTGATCCAATGGAATAATAAAGCCGCTCTATAACCATGTAAAATTTGGCAGCTGATCGACACCAGGAACGGAGAACTATCGCATCAAAGAGGCCAAGAGGGTATCGAAATTGCTGATAGTGAGTTGCTGAAGAATGGCTGTATATAGCTATGGAGGATTGCTCTTTAACATTGCGTATTGTGCGATCAGTAGTGCAAGTCTCCAGCTATTTATCTGGTCTTTATCAAATCTGTTGAGAGTTCCACCTTTCCCGATTATGTTGTCCAAAGTTGTACCAGTTCTTGCTCTTGCAGCTAGCGCTTATGCGCATGGCTATCTTTCTTCCCCTATGAGTCGGACCGGTCTGAATGCGCAAGTAAGTTTACCTGTTCGGTCAATGTCAACGTTGATAAGACCTCCTCTGGAAGCCATTCGCTGACGCCTTAAAGTCTGGAGCAGATACTTGTCCCGAGTGCACGATTCTAGAGCCCGTAACGGCGTGGCCGGACCTCGATGCTGCAGCTGTTGGTCGCTCTGGACCTTGTGGATACAACGCCCGCGTCTCTGTCGACTACAATCAACCCGGCCCGAGATGGGGTTCCCAACCCGTCATCACGTACAAGGCTGGGGATGTTGTGGACGTGCAGTGGTGCCTCGATGCCAATGGCGACCACGGCGGCATGTTCAGTTACCGGATATGCCAAAATCAAGCTATCGTCGACAAGTTTTTAACACCAGGATATCTTCCTACCGAGGCGGAGAAGCAGGCTGCTGAGAAATGCTTCGAGGCTGGTGAATTAAAGTGCACAGATGTCCCGGGACAGACGTGCGGATACAACCCCGACTGCCAAGTGGGGCAGGCCTGCTACAGAAATGACTGGTTTACTTGTACGTGACTTCTCATCTTCTAGAAACCCGACGAAAGACTGAACTCGTATAGGTGGTGGCTTCAATGATGGTTCGAGATGCAGGGGCGTCGACAACGCACCGCTGAACTCGTGCTATACAAGCATCGCAGGTGGATACACCGTTAGCTCCAAGATCAAGATTCCCAACTACACAAGCAATCACACCCTGCTTTCGTTCAAGTGGAACTCTTTCCAGACGCCGCAGGTTTACTTGACATGCGCCGATATCCAGATCACTGGTACCGGATCGGGAGGCTCAACTCCCCCCACATCGAGCAAGGCCCCCACCTCATCATCAAAGCCGACAACGACAGCGACAACTAGCACATCCACAGCGGTAGCTAGCGGTTGTGCAACCCCTTTCGCCACTGTAGCGGTGACCTTCAACTCCAAGGCCACAACGTCATTCGGACAGACTGTGAAGATTGCTGGATCAATCTCACAGCTTGGGAGTTGGAACACAGCGTCTGCGCCAGCACTCTTTGCCAGCCAATACACATCTTCCAATCCGCTTTGGACAACAACCATCAAGCTGCCGGCCGGGACCAGCCTCGAGTACAAGTTCATCAAGGTTGAAAGCAGTGGCTCTGTAACATATGAGTCTGGCGCCAATCGTGCATATACCGTACCGAAGGGATGTGCAAGTGCGGTCTCTGTTGATAGCACATGGAAGTAGTCTTTCTCGAGTTCAAATATTATTTCGTTCTATCAGAGAAAGTACACGGATGCAACGGAAGCCTCCGCGCCTTGGGGTCATATGTTGTATCTAATCTCATCAGGTGACTTTGCTTTATTATATTACATTTTAGTGCTGAAAAGTATACCCTTGAGCCGGAGTCCTGGACAAGGGCTTGGTGTGGCCACTTTCGTTGCCGGTAGCCGATGCACAGACACGGCTTGTTTCACGTTCCCACAGTGATGTTCTCCGCAACGTTCCGCTATTACCTATGCTCTCAGTTTGCTAGAAGAAAATGTCACATACGCCCCAGCGTTTACAGGAGATGTTGGAAAATGCTCCAGAAGAGGACCGTTGACCTTGTCGGCGCAACAAAGAAAGCTTTCATGATCAAGTAGAGAGCCTCCCGCCTGGCAAGGTAGTTGGCGGGACCAAACACTCTTTGCGTCCTCGCGCTTTTATTATGGACATTCACGTCAAGGCATTCGTGCTCTCAATATCTTTTCGATATATGTATCACGTGAGTTCAATATTGTTTCTCTGTAGCATTACATAGCACGCCCTAAAGCACGCTCTGGTGATATCTACGTAGGTACTGTCTTCGACCGTATGACGTTGTTCATGGGGGTCCAATCCGTGTTCTAAAACAATCGGCACTTTCGGGTGGGTACATGTGGGTACAGTCTCGTCTCAGATCCAGGGCTGGAATCAATACGATTGGATATTTACCTTGAAGGAACCTGACAGCGGAACCCACAACTTGTCAAAAGCACGACAAGCCTTGGCCCAATAACAATATGGGACCTGCGAAATGTCCTTGCAGAAATTGGTTATTAAATCGACACCCTCTTCTTCTGTACTGTCGTGATGCTGCCCCGTATTTGAAATCTTTTCGTTCTTCACATTTTTTGTTTTTATTTTCTTGTAGCTGCGCTGCGTCCTCTCATTATCATGCTTTCCAACTCGACCAACAATGCGCTAGCCGCTCGTCACATTCAAACCGATACCCATGTCGAATACACGATAGACTATTGGGGCTACGCGGTGCGAAATTTCCCATGTACCAATGACCCGGGGAGTTGCGAATACCTCGATGCCGTATACGGTAATCACTATACATCGATGATCTTCACATTCATATTGTGGGCTCTTCTCGGAACAGTCTTACTGGTGATTATCATGTCACGGCTTCTCAGGCCTCGAAAGCGAGATGGTGCGAGACAGAGTCTACCCTATCGACTAGTCAGACTAGGGTGCTCTACTATCCGGCGGCATCTCATGCCTGAATGTACAAGGATGTTTCAATATACAACAAGGTTGCAGGTTACCATCCTGGCTCTTTTCTGCATCTATTTCACGGCTTTCTCGTGAGTCACCTGGTCCATGAGCAGTTAATGGTTTCTGACTTCATCAAGGTTTGCTGGTATAACCTACAAGACTTGGATCACTCCTATAGAGGGAACCAAGCTGCACAACACTCGGAGTGGCATCGGAGGCTTTTCTGATCGTGTTGGCGCGTTTGCGTTCGCTTTCACGCCGTTGACTATTGCCCTATGTAGCCGCGACTCGATACTTAGCATGCTCACGGGTATTCCGTACCAGAGCTTTAACTTCCTGCACCGTTGGACTGGTCGCATCATCCTCGTTCAATCATTCGTTCACGCTATCATCTGGACCATTGTTGAAGGAAAGCTTTATCAACCACAACCGACGACGTACAACAAGTGGATCAGCCAAAAGTACATGATCTGGGGTTGCATTGCACAGGGTTTCATCACCTTCTTGTTCGTCTTCAGTCTACGACCTGTGATCCGCTGGACGGGTTACGAGTTCTTCCGCAAGTCTCACCTCATTGTCGCCGGTCTTTACCTAGGTGCTTGCTGGGGCCACTGGGAAAAGCTGTCGTGCTGGATGATAGCCTCACTAGCCATCATGGGTTTCGATCTTGTTGCGCGTACCGTTCGTACTTGCCTTATCCATACCGGGTACAAGGATGGCAGTCACGGCTTCGGTTTTCATTCAATACCTTCCACGATGGAGACTTTCCAAGACCCAACAGGGACAATCATCCGTATGACGTTCACACACAGCCACAAAGCATGGGCGATTGGTCAACACTACTACTTGACGTTTCCGGCACTCAACATCTGGCAGTCGCATCCCTTCACGCCTGCCTCCAACCCAGGTGTCTCATCATCAATTCAGAGGCATACCTACATCATTCGCGCCTGCAATGGAGAAACTGCTAAGCTGGCTGCTCTCGCCGAATCAGTTGCGAACTGCTACCCTCGTTGCGTAGCGTCAACGCCCGTGATCATGATGGGCCCGTACGGAAGCTCTATAGCCAACGAGGAAGTCTCGAATATCCTCGCCATTTCCGGTGGCACAGGAATTACCTATACGCTGCCTGCCATCATGACAGCGCTAGATGATGCTTCACCCGCGCGCAACATCGAACTAGTCTGGACTGTGCGTCATCTGGAAAACCTCGCATGGATTGCGCCGGAACTAGCCTACCTGAAATCTCAGCTCGATCAGACATGGACGAATGAAGTTGGAAATCACGACGCCGACAAGCTAGAGAAAGCGCCCATCGTGTCCAGCGGATCAGAGAAGCGTTTCAGAATCCGCATTTTCGTCACCCGGCCGGATACGACGCAACAACAGCCCTCCCATGAGCTTCGATATGGAAAGAGTGAGGACTACGGCGATGCGGGCTCGCTGGCACAGACTCCATCTGGGGACTCCATATCTTTGGCGCTCCGTCTCGAGGAGCTGTGTCGCAGATGCCCCAACTTCAGCATCACCTGGCTGAACAACGCGCGACCGGATGTGGCGTCTTTGGTCGATACTTTCATGAATGAGACAGTGGAGAGTGGTAGGACACAGGTGATTGGTTCTGGTCCTCCCCAATTAGGCACACAGCTTCGCGCTGCTGTCGCGGCGAAGAATGTGCCAGGAAATGTGTGGCAGGGCGATGAAGGAAGCGATGTTGAGTGTGTGTGGGACGACAGGATGGGTTGAGGCATGATGTGGTTCTGTTGTATATATTTTATTTTACGTTTGTTGTAACTTACATATCATTCAAAAATTGAATATTAAGTCCACGTTGCGTTCGGTTCGAAAGAAAGTTTCCTTGATTCTAATGTCTTATTATCTGTCACCTAATACACATGGTTGTCGCTCCGTTCATCGATTATCTTATATCTTGATCATCTGCTAGCACCCCTCATTCTGAAAATCACGATAATGCAGACAATAAAGCCCGGAACGCACATATAAAACATGTAGTCGTAATTCGTTATAAAATAACCCCAACTCCGTCGCCTCCCACATGGCTCACGATAACAAACTGACTCCAAAATCACCTCCCATCGTATTCCACGCTCCTCAGAATTCCCAAGGCCTGTTCCTGACACCACTGGAGCAATATGTACTATCCCTTGATTCCAAGACAGGCAAATCATCCATGGCGCTCAACGGATAGTCGTACCCTTCAGCCCCCGGTATGGATGTGTTGTTGTGTTGGTCCATATCAAAATCATCGAAATCCATCCATTCGTCGAAAATTACGTTGTCGATACCGAAATCATGCTCGTATTCCATGAGATCATCCAATGTGAAGCTGGCATGATCATCACCCTCCAAATCTTCACATGATGCGCCAGCTATTTGCACCCCGGCGGCTGGCGACCATGACGTATTTACATGCTGTGGATCTCCGGCCATGATAGCTTGTACCCTTTCCCCATAATTCTGCTCCGCGATGGGTACTGTCACCATTGCGCCGTGAGCTATTAGGAGCTTCTTGATGTAGTCTGCTGCTTCGGTGTCTGGCCGCTTGAAGCCTCCAGGTGGATTCATTATTATGTCCAAAGCAGATTGGCCTGTAATGTTGTCGCGTTTATTGACATCAATGTCATTGTGATGAAGTAAAAGGTTGACTATCTCGGTTCGCTGCAATACTACGGCTATTTGTAATGGTGTGCAGATTCCTAGGGCGTTCCTGTATAGGGTGCTACTAAGATTGACGTCTAAAGCAACATGTTGGCATCCTTTGCCCAGCTGGGCATGTTCGAGTAGAAGCATCGCTATGGCCAAACTATTCCTCTCCACAGCTATTTTCCATAGTGAGTTTAAGGTGGTTCGGGTTACACGTCGGAGAAACCCTCCATCATTCAACAGATCGATAGGTTCTCTCAAATTCTCCAAACAACTGGCTTCGATTCTTTTGGGCCTATCGGTACCACCAACTGATGTGCTGTTGTGTTCAAGGAGAACCCGAATCAACGGCCAATCTGATCTTAAAAAGGCGTTGAATAGCAACCCCAGTAGATGCTGGTCAAATTCAGTGCAATCGATTCGGTGATGGCCTAGCAAGATCCTCACTGTGTCAGAATGACCACGGCTACATGCTCTCTGCCATGGTATTCCAAATGAAGGTTGATTGACATCAACATCTGATCGTAATAGCAAATGGCTTACTATGTCAGCCCGCCCGTGTAACACTGCGGTTTGAAATGGGGTGACCACAGTCCGCAACAATCAATTAAGTGGGTCCTAGAAGGTTCAGATTGGATTGATTGATTACCGCTTTAAGCCTAGTAGTTACCTATAGGAGTTTAAGCCCTACCTAGATAGGTAAGTGGGTCTAGGAGAGTGACCGGATTGAATTGATTGTTGCGGAGTCTAGGGGTGACTGATCCAGCCACAGTGTCGACAGGTATCCCCCGATCTTCGAAAACCCTTAATAGAAGGGTCATGATATCAAAGTGTCCATATCGGCATGCGAGATGCAACGCAGTCGTATCACGCGAATTTCGACTACTGTCGTTAAGGATAACGATATCTTGATGTTGGAGGAGTATTTCGACTAGACTCCGCAACAATCAATTCAATCCGGTCACTCTCCTAGACCCACTTACCTATCTAGGTAGGGCTTAAACTCCTATAGGTAACTACTAGGCTTAAAGCGGTAATCAATCAATCCAATCTGAACCTTCTAGGACCCACTTAATTGATTGTTGCGGACTGTGATTTCGACAACTGTGAGGTGACCCTTCACAACTGCCAAATATAGTGGTGTATATCCATGCTCACAGTGGTTTATATTGATCGTGTCCGAGGTCAAAAGGAGGCTGACCATATCGCTCAATCCTCTCGCAACAGCTGTATGGATTATTGACACATCGCCACAAAGCCATCTATATGGCCGTATAACCATGTTGACATTCAATTTCCCCGAAGCTATCAAGCATCTCATCATTGCTGTATGACCACGGGTCACCAGTAAGTACAGGTGTCGATAGCCTTGACGTTGGATCCATTCCTCGGAGATCATGGGCAAAGATAGCAGTGTGTTCATCAGACTCCGCAACAATCAATCGATCGACATGATTGATTCCTATATAGGTTAAAGAGTTACTTTATTAGGCAGCCTTTAACCTAGATAGGAATCAATCATGCCGATCCGATTGATTGTTGCGGAGTCTGGTGTTCATGAATGCAGTCTGTGGGCAATTCGCCGCCATGCCAAATAGAGTAGATCCGCAGGACTCCAATTCATTAATGTTGCACTGATTGAGGGCAATCTGGAAGATTTCAGTTTGCTCAGTCTCAATGATGTCGTATAGCACATGTTTCGTTATCTCCGCTTGGTTTTGCGCCAGGACAGTGAAGGCATCCTCCTGCTTCCCTAGTACAGCCTCGTGTAGGGCAGTTTTTTTCTTTTCGTTTATAATATCCAATTGGATTCCTTTCTGTACCAAGAAGCGAACCATATCAATCTGATTGGCTTTGACGGCACAATGCAAGGCCGTAGAACCATCATCGGCCCTCGCAGAAACCTCAATACCGAGTCGAAACATAACTTCGCATATGCCAAAATTACCCGAAGATGCTGCTCGCATCAATGTGGAAACGCACGCTAGAGGAAGGTCACTCCCAGTATCCGACAGGACACTGAGCGGAGTGGACGGCAAGATTGTGTGACCTTGTTCCTGTCGAGGGCCTCGCATAGACTGAGGGGAGCTAAGAGCTACCTCAGGATGGCTGTTGCGGAGATGTTGTCGTATGTTGTCTTTCCGGGTGGCCTTGAAGTGACAGCTCTTGATCGGGCATGCATGCCGAGCAGACTCCGCAACAATCAATCGGATCGGCATGATTGATTCCTATCTAGGTTAAAGGCTGCCTAATGAAGTAATTCTTTAACCTATATAGGAATCAATCATGTCAATCGATTGATTGTTGCGGAGTCTGATGCCGAGCCAGCCCCAACCGATGTTTCGCTTGTACATGTCTAGTGAGATCAGACCTTAGGGCAAAGTTTTTCAAACATTCTTTGCATTCGTGAGGCTTTGAGTGGGTTTTTTTGTGCTGACTAGTACTGTGTTGGTGACGCCATTAAAACTATTGAGAGGTAGTACCAGACTCCGCAACAATCAATCCAGATTGGTCAGATTGATTGATTTGATTGGTCATTTGGAGTTTTTACCAACTCAATCAACTCAATCTAAGCTTTTCAAAATAGCTAATCAAATCAACTTGCGAAGGTCAGATTGATTGATTTGATTAGTTAGATTGATTTATTATTAACGAGTTGTAAGGCGAGTAGTGTCGTATTAAGAGAAGGTTTTTGGTGTTGAAGATAGTTATCTTGGACCCCTATCTCGCTTAGCTTGTGATCCCTGTCGGCCGGGCAAGCCAGTCTCTATGCATTCACTTCTCACCAGCTAGCTCTCCTCTTATAGGACTAGCTCCTTCTGCTTAGGGGCTAGCCTCTTCTAGGCTTCACCCCGCACCTATATAGCTAGTCCTTCGCTGTTCTTAATACAACAACGATTTCGCTCACTCAGTTCCCTAATAATCCCTTACACACAACACTAGTTGCCTAGCTACCTATACAGACATTTTTCTTTAGTGTTTAGTATCGCCCACGATGGCCAAACGCTCTCGAGTTCCCACCAATACTGCTGCCGCCGCCGCCGCCGCCAAACGGGCGCGCCTATCAAGGCCCTCTGTCCTATCTCAGCGATCGCTGTCGCCTCAGGAAACCCTTGGCGCCGCCGTAAGCCAGGCCACAACGTTTGAGTCGCAATTTTTCGAGTCGCAAACAGAGGAGGAGGGTGCGGCTGAGGGCAGCCAGGCTGGTACAGCAGCAACAACAGAGGCTAGTGTTGATACAGAGCCTGATAATGGCGATAACTTTGACGGCATTAACTGGGATCGCCTCCCTCGGTTCATGAAGCCTCTTACAACTGGGCGGCGCGTCAAGAGTTGGATCTTTCAACATGGATATCGCGTTGTTGAGCTCTACGATCAGAATCGAGTGTGGTTTGTATGCAAATACTGCCACATCCACAAGGTCATTGACACTGGCGGCAGTGGAGTTTTTGACGTATCAAAGGCCACCTCCTCAGCTGCAGCTCATCTTGGCCTTCAGAAACGAGGCCATGGCTTTACAAAAGACGGCCTGAAGCCTCGAAGAACAGGGCAGCAACTCTCTCTACGACAGACGCTGGAGACTGGTGTTGCAGTCTCTCAAGAGGCTGCCAACGCGATGGGCAACTTCAACATCCAGCAGTTTCGTGAAGTTGCAGTGTTCTGCCTTCTTGATAACAACTTGCCAATGGAGCTACTTGCAAGGCCGTCCTTTCGCGAGATGATTAGCCTTGCAAACCCAGAGGCAGAGGCAGCTTTGTGGGTAAGTCCTCGCAGTGTAGCTACCTACGCAATGCGCCTCTTCCAATATATGCAGCCACAGATTGTCTGCGCTCTGTCAGAAGCTGCAAGCAAGATCCACATAAGCTTTGATGGTTGGACGACAAAGGGTGGCAAGCGTGGATTCTTTGGAGTCGTTGCACACTTTGCTAACGCCTCTGGAGTGATACAAGATCTCCCCATCGCCCTCCCACATCTCGCAGGCTCTCATACTGGTGATGCTATCGCTGATACAATTAAAAAGACGCTCCAAGAATACAGTATTGGGAGTGATAAACTCGGCTACTTCGTCCTCGACAATGCTGCAAACAACGATACTGCAGTCTCCTCGCTCGCCCACGCGTACGACTTCAACGCTGCTCACCGACGCCTCCGCTGCGGCCCTCACACGCTTAACCTTATTGGCCAGGCAATTATCTTTGGCAGCAATCAAGAGGCGTACAACAACAACAACGACGAGCAGCTCCAAACAGAGGAGGTGTACATGCAGGAGTGGCGTCAAGAAGGGCCCTTAGGTGTACTTATCGACGTTATCAACCATATAAAAACGCCTCAACAACACGAAATTTTCCGAAGCTTCCAAACCGCCGCCAACGCCGAGTTGCCAGCTAGAGAGCGCCTCCACGTACTTGAGCCTGTGAAGCCTGTTGTTACACGCTGGAACTCTTACTACGCTGCCTTCAAACGCGCAACTCAACTCCAGGCAGCATACAACTCTTACGCTGAGCACTACATTAACGCACTCTCCCTTGAAGATCGCCGCGCTTGTCAACGTGGCAATAAACTCCCTGAAGCACCTAGTTGGATGAGATCAACAGGACTTACAGCTGCTGATTGGGCGGTGATAACCAGACTTGCTATCAGTCAGGTAACTCAGTTCGAACTGACTGAACTGACTGCCAAGACTCAGTTCAGTCAGTCAGTTCTTGAGGCAGCTGGACGTCAGTCCAGTCAGTTCAGAAGCCTCCAGACTGACTGAACTGACTGACGTTAGACTGACGTTAGCTGTTTTTAAAGCAGTATTTTAGAGTTGTGAAAGCCACATTTAGTGCGGCTTCGAAGCCGCGCTAGTCCTAGATATAAAGACACTAATCCTATATAAGTTAAAGCATCTGGCTTTAAGCTAATTAGAGTTTGCGGAAATG